ATGAAAAAGGCAGAAGAGGGCCAAAGAGAGGAGACACTAAAATGCTGTTAATGTTCACTGACAGATCTTCAGTAGTTCAAAGGCTGGGGCAGACCAAAGGTCAGAGAGAGGAAAATGAAAGGGTAGGATGTGGATTTCGGGGATCAGCCAGAGAGCTCGTACTCCAAGCGCATTTTGGAGGAAAAGCCTGCAACTGGATTTAACATCCTCCCACATCCTGACAAATTAAGCCTGGAAGGAATTGAGGAACATCGTTAGAAAGGGTATTTTCTGAAAGTGTGGTTTTAGGTTTAAATAGGCCAGCACTTTAAAAGAGAGCTAAGATGTGTCTTATAGGCGATAAAAAACAATACTTCAAAAGAAGTTCTCTTGATATGATAAAGAGGGGGAAAAAAACTTGCGTCTTGTGAGTACTGAGATCATGCCATAGGTGAAGTGTTAGGGAGAAGGGTGTGCGGCGGAGAGGAGAATGGGAAGATGTGGTTAAATATAAACCTGGTTTTATTTGCAAAGCTTTAGTCTTTGCAAAGGCCACGCTCTTAAAGCAAACACCTTGTCCCGGAGCTCACAGCATTATTTATGTTTCAAAATCCAGGCTACAGTCCAAAGGATTTCAAATTCTGGGACAAACTATTTCTTTAGAGTCCACTGTGCTGAGTGTTAACATGACAGCGAACCATAACATATTAAGGAACTATTAAGGAGAAATTAATACGTAATTGTGCGAACCAGGCCATAGTTAAGTAGAAGTTTGTAAGTAAGTCTTTTAGTTCCTTGAGGGCTAGTCATCTGCCGGGCACTTCTCTGCAGTGCCTAGAACTTCTTCTTTTTTTAAAAAAATAAATGATAAACAATAAATATTTAACTTAACTGAGACATGTAATATTCATTTTCAGAAAAGATGATTATTTGAAATGATGAATCTTCACTAAATGGAATAAATTATCGATGAGAATGGAATTATGTCTGCACATGTGACATCTGAGTGAATGTCCATGTGTTCAGCACCAGTATTCTTCTTCTGAGAGCTGGATTAAGGTCTTCTGCTGCCAGACTAGAAAGGTGCTCTTGTCCACAATTATAGGAAAAAATTAGGTGAATGGAAATAAATTTCTGAATTTGCATTTTTCTCCCATTAATTGTTCTGAAACATTTGGCTTCTCCTACAATCTGTTCCTAATAGACTCTTGTGTAAGAGCAGAACCCCATTGCACAAATGTGGTTGTCGTACTTTGCTAAGTGTACCATCTTGAGCTCATTGGCACTGAAAAGTTATTAAAATTATGCCAAAGAGAAACTATTTATGAGATGAGCTGTTGTGCAAAGGAAAACTCCATTGCTCTAGAGACCATAAACTCTCCCTCTGGCTTACGCCAGACCAACAGAGAGCCGTGAACTTGGACCACGTAGCACTGGCCTTTGAAGTCTTATTTACACGGAACTGTGCTCACGTGAGAGTCCACCAGCCTCTCCTGAGGGATGCCCAGGAGACGGCATCTTCAAGTCTGCTCTTCTCAGGGATGCTCTGCACGCTACCTGGTGGCCTCTTTTCGTAGGCCTTCGAAAAGATTTCATTTTTAATGTCAGTATCAAGAAAAGTTCTTCTTTGGAACATTTTTTGGGTACACGCTCTTGTATAACTACTAAGGTTTTTCTTTTTGCACCTGTTATTAAAAAGTCGTCCTGCTAAACCCAAGCCCGCCCATAGCAAAGTGACCCGGTTACTGGTACGCGTGTTCATGTCATCCTCTTTCTTGCCTTTCGTTTATGTCCCTACCTCTGTCTTTGCTTTCCCTCCGACTTCCCACATATGTCACCAAGTAGAATGTTATGTTTTCTTTTAAGCAACCATAAGACTTTCCAGGGAATAAGATGAGGTAAGTAAAAATATCAATTCATTCAAATAGACATGCAATTGTGTTGTGTTGATTTTTACCAAGAGCATGGTGCTTTCCAGCTACTTTGCCGCCTGAACAAGTATGAGAACCATGGATTTAGAGCGTTAGCTGCGAGGGGGCAGGGCAGAGAAGGTTCTGTATGATAACCCAGCAAACATCAAACCACGCTCTCACCACCAGCCACTGATGTTTAAAGACCTGTTTGGTGCACTGCAGAAAAGTACTGTCTTCACAGTCTGCTTGTGAATCTACACCACACCACAGTCTCGAATGCGGACCACTGTTTCCAGCTTAGCCTTTGGCACAGCTCACGTGCCTCTCCCTGTTGGAAGCCCCCTGAAAGCAGTTGGCAGCCCGTTAATCCTTCTCACCGAGTACGTTTCTCCTTACTTCTGCTTTCCATTACCCAGTGTGTCTGTGGATAATTGACAGTGATTTCTGAATCACATTCTCGGACTGTGGATTCGGGCTGGAATGTCAGTGTTTGCATCTGCTATTAAAAAAAAACTTACAGTCTCTACCCCAGAGAAGAGCATAATGAGGTCAGTTAAATCCACCGAAGGAAGTCCGTGCGAGCTGTTGAACCCTTTGCTCGGCCCACGCAGTGAACGCCTGACGGCCACGGGCAAGTCCTCAGAACCGTCGCTGGGCGTGCTGCGGGATCGCGCTCTCCACCTGCCGGGGAAGGATGGAGTCACAGGCTGGAAACAGCAGCTGCAAACAATAAGGAGAGTTGCACCAGAGCGTGAGCACACCGAACACCCCGGAACTGCGAACCTAGACGACTTGCCATTTCATCCACTTTTGTTATGTGTATTTCACCACAATTTTAAAAAAGTAATGAGTGGCATAGAACAAGGTATGCAACATGGCAGGGATGAATAGCAATTGTTTATAATAATTAACACCATTCTATTGATATTACAGTATGTCATAGTTATACTATCATTGCTATTAATGATGTTCCTATGGAGAATAATCAATACCTATATGGTAAGCACGTTACATAGAAATACAGCTTTTGTCACTATTTCCTCACCACTGCTCAGAAAATGAAAGGTTTATATTATCTGTCACACTTTAAACTTGGCTGCCAGATTCCAGACTTGCAGAAAGCCCTCTTAGTCAACAAGGAGGAATAGAACAGTTGAACCCATTACCAAATTCCTTGCCCCCCAAAAAATAAAAGCAGGGGAGCGTATGAAGTCCTCTATCTGCACATCGTTCCTGCGACGCTGAGAGCTGCCCTGAGCGTAAAGCACGGACACGCAGCTGCATGAGTGCCAGGGGCTCGGCCGTGGGCTCGCGGGAGGGCAAAGCGGCCTGGACCCCATCAGCCCTTTCCAATCTGGCCGTTACCCAGATAGTCCCCTCATCTCTCAGTCAACTTCCCACACGTGACACACTTTTATCCACGCCGTCCCTGCTCCATGGCCATGCCCTCTGGTCAGCACACCTGTCCTGTCGCCCACAGGGAGTCAGAGCCCTGTCCAAAGAGGCAGCCGTGACGGCGCCAACAGTGACCCACGTATCTGGCCACCACCATCCATCACCCACAGTGTGCAGAACAGGGATATGTTTTGTTTATGTCTATTTCTCTTACCTCCCCCCCAGATTGTCAGGTCCTCCCAGGGAGCTGCTGTTTGTATTTCTTTTGACCTTGTAAAACACTGAGTTGGTGGGCATGGTGCGGAGGGCAGGAGGTGGAGGGAGGTTGGGGTGCGGGGAGGGGGAGGCCAGTACCAGCCCGAGCCCTGAAGGAGCAGGAAGAGTGGGTGGGTACGTCAGGGAAAGCTTACAGGCGCTTGAATTTAAGTACAAGGCTCTTATGCTTCTCCAGTCTTCACTGACCCTTACCCCAATCCACTTCTCCGGGGTTCTGCACGGGATCGCCTTAATATTTGCCCAGGGTCTTCAAGGCCAGGGGCAAATCCCCTTCCCCAAGAGCTTTCACAGTCTGACTCCATCCCGCGTGGGTCGGTCCTCCGACCGACTTCACACTACGTACCGCTCAGGGTGAAGTCTGCCCGCAGCCGGCGTTGGCTTCTCAGGCTCGGCTTCTCCCGGCAGCCAGACAGCAAGTGTTGGAAGGGCCAGAGCGGCGTCTTTTCCCATCCTTACAGTTCTCCGCTACGACGCCCATCACGGCGCTGTGTTGTGTAGACAGAATAGGCTTAACACCTATTTTTAAACAATCGAGATGGTGGTCCATCTACGGAAGTTAATATTACTGAGCTTTATGTCCATATACTGAATGCCAAATACTCGTGTATCTTTTGGTGAGGACCTTTCACAGAACCGAGAGAGATCGGATCTTGAATCGGTGGAACCTGCCCCAGTCAGCACCTAAATATGAAAAACTCTGTCGCCTGGACATCGACCATGTGAATGTCTCCCCACACACAGTCCCTTGGTGTGCCCGAGTCCCTCTGCTTTCCTTGCCTCTGCTTTCCGACCGCCAGCACGTGACGACTTGGGAGAATCAGGCATTCACAATGCTTCATGAAATAACTCTCTGTAAGAAAACACACACACACAAGAAAAACGGTAGCGGGGAACTCTGACATCTTTAGGTAGGTGTCAGGCCCACTGCCTTGGGCATGTGCCACTCACTGAGCCAAATCCCACTGCCTGTGACTCGCTGCTTCCTGGCCCGTCCAGAGCAGCACACAGTGAGACATTTCCTGCTCCTGTGGGGGACCCAAGCTGCCTGCTTGGGGCCCCCCCCCGCGTTTGCCCCGACGGTCCTGAACTCAGAACACGGTGATTACTCAAAGCTATTCTGAAAGGTGTCTTGAAGTGTGTCGTTTCTTTCAGCAGCTTGAAAAAATCCCGGAGAACGAATTCAGGGTTCCCTCTGACCGTTCTGTGTTTGGGACACACCCACAGCTCTTCTTCTCCAGCTCTCATTGAGGATGATTAACGCACAGGTTGTATCTGTTTGGCTCTTTTTCCAAATCATGATTCTACTGTGAGTCATTTTCTTTCTTTTCTGCAGCAACCGGTTATGACACAACAACAGTGGTGTACGGTAGGTCAGCGGACGGTATACACCGCACGGCAAAAGTTATAATTTCACCTAAATGACTTCAAACAGAGGAATACAAACACATATTTTTATTTCAAAGTAAGAGAGGTTTTAATATGTCGACACAGATCAGCTATAACCCAAACATTTCATTGATCCCCGAATGAGTACTTTTCAGATCAATTACTAGTTCTTATTAATTAACATTCATGTCTACCCGTTTGGGGAGGATGAATCATAATCACTGTAATTTCCATTTTTATGAAAGAGAAACCAGACGGGAAGGAGGGGCTGGGAGTCTAATCACCTTGCTTCTGGTTTCAGCTCGGATGGGAACAGGCAACAGCCCCAGGCAGGTTCTTGAAACTTTGTGGCCTCATTTTTGTGTGTATTGAATAATGAAGTTGGATCTCATGCTCCGTCCTCATCAATTCCCCTACCTCGTACGTGGCATGATTTTATACCTCGACCATGCCTGAGGTGCTTCCATTATACCTCGGTAGATCAGAAGAGACCCTGCCCATTTCTGCAGTCGAGGGACCTGGGCCTAGCTACGTAACTTGTGGGACCTACTGCAAATTGCAAAGGTTGGACTCACTGTTAAAAACGATTAAGGGGAGTTTCAAGAGAGGGAGCACAGCGCAGTCAGTTGGCCAGGGGCCCCTCCTGGCAAGCAGAGCTGCGCTCGGGACAACAGCCCCAGTGCTGGCTTTACAGCGATCAGCTTCACCTCAGGCGACCCGTGTTTTGAAACAGCGTGCCAGCTAGTGCCAGCTAGGACGAAGCCAAGATTCCATGTCCAGTTCTCCCCTGGCCATTTGCATTCCGCTCTGTGTCTAATGACCCCTAGTGCTGAACCGCAGTGCCGTGTCTTCAGTCCCAGGCAGGACCGGTCTGACTCACGAGGCCAGTGGGACTACGGAAAATAGGCGTGCTTGTGTTTTTTCTCATGGAGGGGCCGAAGGTCATTGCCATGGAGCTCAGAAGGGTAGTTTAAGCACTTAGCATTTCATATGATGAGGTTGTTTTTCTCTCCACTGGCAAGGGAAGTTAACCATTTAAGAGTCTCATTTGTTTCCTTTATTTTTTAAATCACAGTGTGTTCGTTTGTTTATTTTTTAAAGAAAAATGTAGGAGGGACAGCTACCCAGGCTAGAAATGTTTTTTTTTTTAAATCTCTCTTATTAATGTGCTTAGGGTTTAAAGGAACTATCACAAAGCATGTTAACCACAGGAATATTACTTGATATAGCATCTTAATCATTGCGAAAGAGAAGCCCTTTCCCTATTGGTTCTTGAACTTTTCCCACTTGTATTTAAAATAATGCAAAAATAATAGCCATCATCTCCCTTAAAGGTAGCAAGGAGTTACATTATAAAAGTTTCACATATAAAATTGTATTCTCTAGCAGAGAATTTAACACCGCCATGAAAGGCAATGCCTCCTCTAACGGGCGTGGTAGCCTTAGGAGTCCTCCTCCCTGTGCCTTCGAACACTCAGTCTAGTCAAGGTCGCAGCCGAAGAGCTCCAGGCGAAGCGCGATGCTCTGGTTCCACGTCTTCGGGATGATGCGGATGTATCTGGAAATGATCGGGGGGTTGAAAAAGTTCTTCACCTGTCCCTTGAAATTACTATTTCCTTCGAAAACCTGAAAGCAAAAATGTGAGACAATCCTTAACGATGGTATAATGAGTGTAAAAAAATCTGACAGATAATTTTTAAGTTCTTTTGGTTCACACCCAGGACATCGAAGAACACAGAAGACGTGAACTCAGAGGTGACCCTCGGTCAGTGACGAAGTCCCACCCCAGGCGGGCCTCTCCAGGGGTTCCGCCTGGCCGGTGATCTGAGCCCAGGGAGGGGAAAGTGGAACATGGGATGTGGGGTCACGGCGCAGCTGCCAGCTGTCCGTGTCCTCAGGCCCCTCGGAGCTGTGTGACGCTGAACAAGTCACGTCTACTTTCTGCTTCTCAGTCCCCCGTTAGCCAAATGGGGAGCACAACATTACAGAAGTTGTGAAGATTAAAAAAAGTATGTAAACATGTAGCAAGTACCTAGTCAGTGCCAGGTAGGGGCACCAATAAATGGTTAGCTACTACCAACATTTCAAATAAGATGCAACCATGCGCTTACGTTTCTCCTTTTTGATATACCCTGTATCTTCAGCTAAACTGTGTCCCTCCCTTTCTTTTCTTTTCTTTCTTTCTTTTTTGGCATCCCCAGCAAGTTTCCCAAGATTTACACAGAGCAGAAGCTAAATCACTATTTATTTATGACCACGAGGCTTATCTCGCTATAAGGCTGAACTGGTTCAGTGAGAAACAAACCAAACCAAGCCAAAGAAACAGCCAGCCCAGGGGTTGGTTGGCTTACAGTCATGGATGTTTGATCAGTCACGGATAACAACTACCCCGAGGCAATGCCGAGAGGATGCTATTTTACACCGGAAGGAATTCCAGACCCCTGTGACGGACTGCATGCCCGTGTCCTCCCAAAATCCATCTAATAAAATTTGACATTTTGTATCCAATAAGCGGGAGGGTATGAGGAGAGGGGGCCTTTGGGAGGTAATTAGGGTTAGACTGAATGGAATTAATACACTAATAAAAAGGGGAGGAGTCATGGACCTCTCTCTTGGCGTGCACTCAGCAAGGAAGGCGAGATGCGGGTGCAACAGGAGGAGGGCTCTCGCCAGCACCCAACCTTGCTGGCACCCCGGTCGGGACCCCAGCCTCCCGAAGTGCACGAATAACTGACGGCACAGGTGCACAGTGGAAGTGCACAGGTGGCTCAGTCGAAGCACAAAGGTAACGAGCACGGCCCTGCCCCCAGGCCAGGTACCCGCAGAGCTAGGGTTCCGAGGACCGAGAGAGCTGGTCCGCGCCAGTGCGTGTCTGTCAGATGCAGAGAGCTGCTTGCAAACACCAGGTGCTGCTCTCAGCACAGCACCGTCTCCTGACTCCCTTCTTCGTGCCGGGACACCACCCCGTACCTTGTCCACCATGGAGGACCCCTGCCTGTAAGGTGTCCAGTCCACGCCGCCGTCACTGTAGTGGACGGTGTAGCTCTTCACGTACATTTCAGAGGACAGGGACCTGCAGCCCTGCGTGACGATCGCCGTTATCTTCTTCACTTGGAGCAGATCAATTTGCAGCCACTGTCTGTTGTTGTTTGCCTGTGAAAACGGCAAGAACACAGTGACAAGACAGATGCTAGCACCTTTGCCGTTCCAGACCAAGTTACCCTGAAATGGACAGAGCTCAAAGGGTTTCTTTTCCGAGACATTAGGGTTCCCTGTCTCCTCCAAGCCTGCCCAGTTCCTTGTGTGTTGTTACAGGACGTGTATTAACTTCTTCCAGAGCATGTCACACATGGTACGATCGTTATTTGGTTACTTCTTTGTATCCTTCTTCTTTAAGGAAAAGGGCTAGCTTAGTTTCTGTCTGTGCACTCGCCACAATGCATGGCACACAGTCGGCATCCATCAGATATTTGTTAAATAAACAAGTAAATGAAATTTACTGGGGAAAAATATTAAATCGATACCTTATCTGTAATTGTTATTCTGGAAAGCAAGTTTCCTTAAACATGTGGTATTTCTGATATTACTGAAGGGTTTTCTGTAGAAGAATTGGATCGTATCCTCTCTCTATTTATTCTTAAAAAGTCCCCCTTTTCTTTCCACTGCTAAAGTCAAAGAGGAGAAATAGTCCAATTTCTTCTCTGCAGAGGTTCCAGATACAGATAATGTTTGAGAGACCCGATAAAGCTATTCCCAGGGCTTGACTGGCCTGGTAGGTGTCCCGTCTCCGGCCGAACAAAATGCCTAATCACGTGTTTGAGGGATGCACTTGCAGAAAGAGGATCAGAAGGACCGACTGGGTTTACAGTAACCTGAGATGAATTTCAACTGTGGGAGCTTTGTCATGCTCCACAGACTCAGTTCTCTGCGCAACAACGAATACTGATATATTTTCCTCAGCATCACTCACATGTGCCTGTGTCTGTGCGTGTACATATATATATAGGTAGGTATATAATCATATGCCTTATTTTTGAAGAAAGTTATTTGAATTAAAATGATTTGCAGTAGGTAGTTTTTTGTTAACCTCCCAACACCCTCTAGTGGCACTCGGTGGTATCGCAGTGTGCCTTCAGATCAAGGCTGTGCTCGCGACACCGAACACAGGCCGCTGGAGGCGTTGTCTGTGCGTACAATTTTTCTACAGGCACGAAAGGGGTAGAGACCCTTCCATCTGCTTGCATGCCTGCGTACTGCATGCCTTGCTTAGAATTTCAGTCTCTCTATAGAGACCCTAGAAAGACACTTCATGCTGATAGGTTAAGGGAAACAAAACTCTGACCTAAAATCCCAGATTCGAAAGGGCAGCATTAAAAACCAGCATTTCGTCTCTGGAGCCTTTGTTACTTCACAAAGGGCAGGAGCAAATTATACGCGGAGCCTTTTTTTAAGGCTGTAAAGGGGAGGGTGGGGTGGCACGGCCTCACCACGAACTGGTCTGGGAAACAGCTGACTTCCTTTCTCTTTGTACCTTTTTTCTTTCTTCTAATGATTGCATTTTTAAAATTACATCAATGTAACATAACATTGTTACTTCTATTATTTTAACTTCTGGGGTCTCAGCTTCCCCCCTCTGCAAAACTGCAAAGTGAGGTGTTTGGCTGGCTTCAGGCGGTGGGAGGAGCTCTGGCCTCTGTGTGGGGAGAACGGATTTCTGATCCCGCCACTGGCCCAGGTGAAAGTGATTCAATCTCCCTTGTGTTGAGACGTAAGAGGAAAATCTGCACCAGACGCTTGTAGAACCCTGGCTGCTCTGGCATTCTGTGGTTCTCTGAAAGTCCAGAGATGAGCGTGTGGGCATAGACATTGGTGCCCAGAACTACCTGTGTGGGGCCCACAGTCTCCTGTGTTCCCCACTAGAACCCCTGGTAGCCCGGCGTGGGGCCAGGCTGTGGGGACCTGCTGAGAGAGCAGGGAACTGGAGTGCCGGCTCCTCACGGGAGGGAGTTAGGGGGACGGGAAGTAGGGAACTCGCGTAAATTAGTTGACGGGACTGTTCTTATTTCTGATTTTGTTCTGATTCCTCGGGTCAGTGAAGAGTGCAGGAAAAGTGAGTCAGTGATTAAGAGTTCCCCTAAACCTGTCATCTGAATCACTCAGTGGGCCAGTGTCAGGGGCACCCTGAGTCTCCAGGAGATGTTTCTTCAGCCTAGATCACTGATTTATAACCCTGGTTTTGGAGCATTTTACTGCACTGCCAGTTGTGTAAGGGAATGTCACAAGTTCTCCAAAAAGAAGGAAACAAAAACAATTTAAATGGCACTCTTAAGAAAATAAAACATATTACTGGACTGTGGGATGGGGAAAAAAGAGAAGATGTTACAAATCTAAATCATGTATCACTAACGTCAGTTGTCTCAAAGGGAATTTGCAAAGTGCAGCTCTAGGCCAAATCTGGCCCACTGCCTGGTTTTATAAATAAAGTTTTATTGGAACACAGCCATGAGCATTCATTTTGATAATGTTTCTGGCTGCCTTCCTGTTACAATGACAGAGATGAGTAGTTTTGACAGGAAATGTATGGCTCACAAGCCTAAAATATTCATTGCCTGGCCTCGTGCCCGCCCCGGTCTAAATTAAGATCAAAGACCTGCAAAGATGGTCAACGACCTCTCTGTGAGCCAGAGCCAACGCCACGGCTCTCAGGTCAGCAGGCATCCTAGATCCTCAGCCCTGGGACACAACCTGCAGGGACGGGGTGGAGGGGGGGTGACTGTCTGGCTTCCCGGGGCCCCCGAGTTCCTTAAGGTGGGGGTCTTTGTTTTCTCCTGGGGCGGGGAGGGCTGTGCTCACGAGGGAGGAGTCACCTTGGCCTGCCAGGCGTTCACGCGGCCCTGGGCGTTGAGACGGGCGCGGAAGGGCTCCCAGGAGCCGCCCCACCAGGACGTTTTAAACGAGGAAGCTGTGATCTGCTCGTCTTCGATCTTCCCACTCTCCACGCCCAGCGGTGTGGAGCAGCCTGCGGAGAGAGAAGTAGCGGGGCTGATGACGCGCCAGCGGCATTCCCTGCAGGGCATTTCGTGTGCGGAGGAGGCAAGGAACACGGTGACCGCCGAGTACCTGCAAAATGGCCGTTGCAACAATCCGCTGTTGCTCTACAAGCGCAAACCCGTTTCCAGGCTTCCCTTGTACTAGGATGCAACGCTCCTAAGTACCTCTGTGTTAGCAAGGAGAAAGGCACGGCAAGGAAAAGTAACTTGCCCGCAGCGCCACTGCTGGAAGAATCAGAAACTAAACTTGGGCCCGGGCAGTCTGACCCCAGAACGTCTAAACTCACTTCCCTCCTTCAGAGAGTCATGAGCCTCGCGGTTTGGCTTCGAGGTGGACAGTACCCCTGTCTGTGTCTATGAAAGCGAACTCCGTTTCTTCTTCTCACAACGGCTAAAGAGAAGAAGGTCAAGTGGACCCTTGGTACTCATGTTCCATGATTTATTTTCAGCCCTTGGAGGGTGATGCGTGTTATGCACCCTTTAGAATTCTGCCAGGGTGTGAATTTAGGTGTCACAGGCAGCGAGGCTGATCTGAGAGTGTGAGAACCATAGCGCGTGAGTGAGCCCAGCCCACTGACCATCACCGCCATCTGGGGGACACATGGGTCTTGCTAGTAAGTCATGCAGGTGTTGCCTCGAAGTGCTACCCTACTCTCTCCACGGGGTGGGGGTGGGGGTGTGGGGGAGAGGCTGGCCCTGGCCAGGTAGCTCAGTTGGTTAGAGCGTCCTTCTGATATGACAAGGTTGTAAATTCGATCCCTGCTCAGGGCACATACTAGAATTAACCAACAAATGTATAAATAAGTGAAACAACAAATTGATGTCTCTCTCTCACTCAAAAAACCAATTTAAAAAGGCTTAACAAGAATACTAATTAAGCCCTGGCTGGCATAAGCTCAGTGGATTGAGCGCGGGCTGCGAACCAAAGCATCGCAGGTTCGATTCCCAGTCAGGGCACATGCCTGGGTTGCAGGCCACGGCCCCCAGCAACCGCACATTGATGTTTCTCTCTCTCTCTCTCTTTCTCCCTCCCTCCCCTCTCTAAAAAATAAATAAATAAAATCTTTAAAAAAATTCATCCTTCAATGGACTTTAAAAAAAAGAATACTAATTAACATTAGAAGAATACTAATATAAATAATATGAAAATGAGATTTTTAAAAAAATGTAATACTTCTTGTATGGAAAATAGAGTCGAATGCCCAGTTTTAGGTAGCCTGACTCTGTGAGCTGGACAAACTGCCCCGTACATCACAGACCACGAGGAACGGAGAAAAGGATGATGCACGGGGGCGTCTGAGGAGTGCCCGCCCGCTCCGGAGCTACATTTCTCGGGGGGGTGTTACAGCCCACTGCTACCTGGGCACTGGCAAAGTGCCCACACCCGTACCCCTCAGAATGTCAACAGCATGAGGTAACACTGTCTGCTTTGATAAGAAACTGGCTCCCAGGTTCGCTCCAGTCCGCACCGTGAGCGGTGGCCCTCCCCGCACCCCCAGAGAGGGCGCAGGAGCCTCCCAGCAGGCGCACCGCGGCGGGGTTCCGGGGCCCGTGTGTTGGGCTGCCTCTCCCCGCGGTCCTGAGCGGCCCGGCAGTGTCTGCATCGGCCAAGCCCTGGGTCAGCTCCTTTATTCTCTTACTCCAGTGAGAAGTATTATTTTCTATGCATGCTTTGCAGCGGAACTTTCTGGGAAGCACCACTTGAAGAGTCAGAGAAGGAGAGTAGTTGTTAAGACTCGTAAACATCTTTGTTATATATATATAGTAGAATTGTATCATGGCCATTGACGGTCCCCTGGATTTACTTATACCATCGGTCCCATCACATCCCCTGAAAAATAGCAGCTTACGTGGCAAAGGGTCGGGGACCTACACAGGGTACAAACTGGAATACAGAGTAAGGTCAAGGTTCCAGGAAGTCAGGAAGCAGACTGAGATTTCAGGACCATTCACTGAACTCTAATCGGTGCTGGAACGCTGCTGGGTACTCTTATCGCACCGAAATGAGTGGAGGACGGGGGAGAGTCGGGCCTGGTGCGCGTCTCAGTTCTACTGAAAATGGGCTGACGGCGTCCTTCTGGGCCCCGGGCCTTCCCTGGAGTGTCAGGGCCGGGCCCATGTCCTCCAGGGGCCGCTGGCACCTGTGTCCTTCTGAGTCATGTGCGTGTTTACCTGAGTGGAAGCTCTGCTTCCCAAGAGATATTTTTAGGAGCCAAAGCGACTGAAGAGGAATGAAACGTGTTCCCCTTCTCCCATACCCCCCAGTCCTGACTCTCTGAGTGGCAGTAAGACGGCAGCGCATCTCGGTTCCTTACCGTTGATCTCACAGCCTTGCAGCTCCAGCCGAAGGGCGGGTCTGTTGAAGAACCGGGTTGGGTAGACCCTGATGTACCTGGCCACGATTGGTGGGTCAAACCGGTTTTCTTTTACCGAAGAGGCATCCGAATTGCCATCAAAATACTAGAGGAAAAGGGAAAAGCTTAGTTACGTAAAAATTCTCTCTAAATGATTTTATAGTAAAACTTTGGTCTGATTTTCTCCTGTAATGTTAAGTTTCCATGTGACCAGAACCAAATCCATTTGGTCTTAGAAATATCTGAGGATACTTCCGTTTAGGCATGTGGTGTAGACGTCCTCTTCCTGCTAAGTACAGCTGAAAACCTGAGAGTGCTGGGCAGGTGGAGGGAGGGAGGCAGGTCGGCTAGAGTTCCAGGACCCAGGGAACAACACAGGTTTCCTTCTCGCCCCACAGAGCCCAGACTCGGGAGAGGAGAAGCCCACCACCAGGAAACACCAGTGGGTCCAGACAAAACAGCCCCAGCGAAAGCCTGCTTTCTCTAGCCTCAGAAAAGAAAGGAGGACGGCCCAGCAACACAGAAAACTTTTAGACAATAATTGCTCTGCTTGAAGCTAAACTCCACAGGAACAACCATGGCCCCACCCCAGCCAGCCGTAGCCAAGGCCAAGTGCGGAGCCTGGACTTCCACGGTTGTGAGACTGTAGGGAGGCAGGCCCCTCCGCGCCCTCCCTGGGGCTGTGTCAGCGGAGGCCAGCTCGGGACCCAGGACCTTCGTCCTCGCAGCTCCCCCCGGGGCTCCCGGGGGACTGCACGTCACTGCCACTCAGTAGTAAGGAGGAGGAAGTCCCTCTCAGGCGGGGGACCTGGGCTTTGACCATCTGGCAGTAAGGGGACTGTGTCCCATCCCCCCCACCCCGGAGCGGTGTCAGAAAGGTCCGGCTGGGACAGAAGGCAGGAGCAGACTGTGTAAGCAGCTGAGTAAGTAAGACAGAAAGCAGAAACACGGCAGATAAAAGCCATGAAACAAAGACCCAGTTCTTTGACAAGATAAAAACAAAACAAACGAAAAAAAAAAAAAAACCCTGGCAAATCTCTAACAGGACTAACAAAGTAAAAAGAGAAGGACATCAGACAAGAAACGGGCAGGCTCATTACAGACCTTGCAGACCTCAAAGGAAGATAAGGAGAAACTGCAGACAACTCTGGACACAAACTGAACAGCTCAGAGGAAATGGATCGTTTATCAAAAAAGCACTAACCACCCCAACTCGCCCGACGTAATAGATACTTTGAAGAGGCCGCACTGCTAAAGAAATTGAGTCTGCAATTTTAAGACTCCCAGAAGAGCCATCGCGGGCCCCCATGGTTTCACCGGCAAATCCTACCAATGCTTAAAGAGTTAACACTGATTCCGGACAACCTCTTCCAGAAGACAGAATAAAAGAGCATGCTTCCCAATTTATTTTTGAAGCTACTATTACTCTGATATCAAAGCCAGAAAAGACAGCACAAAAATAAAATAAAATTGCGCACCAATATCCCTCGTGAGTACAGATGTAAAACTCTTTAACTTAGGGAATCTGCCTGGGGTCTGTGTCCTCTCCCCGCTGCTGGTTAGTAAGAACCATCATTTAAGGTTTTTCTGATCTATCTTAAGGTATAATACAAGTGATTATTAGTAGGAATAGCTAAGGGATAATATAGAAAATTAGTTATAGGTGATATAGAAAATTAGAATAAAGAAAGTTAATAAAATCAAAACTCTTGGTGGCATATTTTTAACATGAGCCTCTTAAGGCACAAGAACAGATATTCTACTCTGTGGTATACACCATCTGCTAATCCTAAAAGTCTGGGTATTTAGTTTGACGATAAAGTGGTTTTTAAAAAAGCTGTGTGGAGTTTTGAAATTTCAGAAGTCAAACTTATCCCTTTAATTTGTGATAGACCCATCACTTTACCCCTTCCTCCGTAAGAAGCCCTTTATGTTTCTAACGCCCAGAGAAGCAGTCTTTGCACACAAAGAGTGAGTCGCGGACACAACGGCAGTGACCGCGGGGGTGAGTCTGGACACTCAGAAAGACATGGCTCACACACCATCACGTTCCTCGTGCTGTTCCCTTTGAAAACCTGCCAGTTGGTCCGGTCGGAGCTGTAGGCCACGCGGAACTCGGTGGTGTAGTAGGACTTCAGGTAGTGCTTGGCGCCTTGGGACTGGATCCCCGTGAACAGGACCTCCCTTTCCATGTCCACCTGCAACACAGCAAAGCCCCTGAACGGTCCCGTCCCCGTCAGCGAGTCACGTGCTGCCGTCACTCACTGTGCAACCAGCTTCCTTTAGAACCAAGGAGCCGGCCCCCCCAGGCCTTAGCAAACTAATAAAATGGCCAAATGCAATTTGTGTTCGAGCGCAGAGGACCTGGACCTGAACCCCAGCTCAACCAGCAACTAGCTGCGTGCGACTCTGGAGCATCTGTCAATCTCTCTGTCTTGGTTTTTTCATCTGTAAAATGGGACATTACTAGAACTAACCTCACAGGGTTCGTTTCAAGTATGCTAGGTACTTAGAACACTGCCGAACACCTAATGATTGCTATCTCCCCTAACGACATGGCAAGGGCAACAAGAAGAAATTATTCGTGTCACTTTCATCATTGCAGTAGCAGTAAATATGACCAGATTGATAAGTCATACCTGGATCCAAGGTTTAGTGTCAAATTCTGACATTTTTTCTGTCATCCAAGCATTATACGATCCACCATTGTTTAATCTTGCTAATTTGGGCTCCCAAGAACCTAAATCCAAAGGAAGAAAAGAGGGTATTGTGAATTTTTTAAGAAAACATACAGTTCACAATCTCTTCAGCGAGTTCGGGTGTACGGCAGGTGGCAAACCAGACCCCTGAGGACCTCCGTCTGCAGTTAGAAGACCAGGCAGTCGGCGCGGGTTTCTGCCCGACCTGGTCCACGGGATGAAATCTCAGCTGGAGGGTCAGCTGTCAGCCACCACCCGCCCCCTTTCTCGCCTACAGGTCGTGTTTATCTTCCCTTAGTCATGTCGATGTGGCTGCTCCGTCGGAGTGTGCCTGCCCAGCAGGAAGGCAGGGGAGCGATTTATGGGAGCCCTGAGGTCTCTTGCAATCAACCTCTGGATTTGGGGAAGGGCTTTGAGCCGTGAAGACAATCAGGACTTTCTGACACACAGTCCGGGGATGGTTAAGAGAGTTTCTCGAACAGGTGAACGGTTGGCACAGCAAAGGGCCCTACTGGTGGGGACTCCGACACTCGGTGGAGAGGACCCTGGGAGTGCGGCCGGGACATCCCACGTGTGATCGAACCCAGAAGCGGACGAAGGGGGAGAGTCCGGGGAAAGGGCACGTGGTCGTCGGAGCAGGCTCCCTCCGGCCCAGTCTGCTGATATAGATAGGTCGGACTGCCTGTGTCAGGGGCCAAGCTCCCCTTATTTACTGGGGGCGGGAGGGCAGAGATAAAGGGGTGCCACCAGGCTTCAGCTCCTGCCACAGCGCTCCTTCCTCGACCAGACGAGCAGCCCGACTCGAGCTATTGTTTATCATGTTGTGATAGAGAGAGCCTGAAGAGGGGCCACGACCCGCAGACTCAGCAGGCGCGGCGGTCGGGCGTGGCGGTCGGGCACGGCTTTCGCAGGCTGTGTCCCGCGCCTCCCGCGGGCTGTGATGCCGCCACTCACCCACAAACTCAGACGCCTTGATCTGTCCGTCCGCCACGACGCCCGTGCTCAGCCCCATCGGCATCCTGCATTCTGCGGGAAACAGGATGACGGATAATTCTTGCTTGGAAAATACATTTAACGGGGCGTAACTCCACGGCCAGAGATGGCACTCCTGGTGGGTCAGTAACGAGATATTGCTTCCTGCTTTGTATGGCACTGACTTAAATGTATCTGATCACAAAATGGTTAAGGCACTCCCAAGGCTGGTACTTGAATAGAAATAAGGGCACCCTTGAGGAAAACCGATATGCTGAAATACGATTAGTTTTTTTTTTTAAGATTTTATTTATTTATTTTTAGAGAGGGGAGAGAGATAGAGAGAGAGAGACAGAGAAACTTCAATGTGCGGTTGCTGGGGGTTATGGCCTGCAACCCAGGCATGTACCCTGGCTGGGAATCGAACCTGCGACACTTTGGTTCGCAGCCTGCGCTCAATCCACTGAGCTACGCCAGCCAGGGCTCGAAATACGATTAGTTTTTAAACTGGTTTCCATTTGCTTAAACCTTAAAATAAGCCACGTTACAACATTAAGCACTAGCCCTCAAAAGACTACGTTGCAAAAAAGTTCACCTGAACGGTAATACCAGCTAAGGGAATACCAGCCTCTGAGCCATCTGGATGTCAGCACAGTGCTTGGTGCTCAGCGGCTGCTTAACCAATGCTGGCTGGCTGGACAGACAGAGGGACATTTTTTCTCAAATACTGGGAGGCCAAGTTCAGTGACTCCATTGGTTATTGCTGGACTCCTCTTATCTTTTTCCTGCTCTCTGCCAGGGGTCTGGACAGTTTCTTCCACGTACTTTCCCATGGGTCACAGGTCACGAAGGAGGGTGCCTTATACTGGCTCCCTGAGGGGGAGGCGTGCCTTCGGGCTGAACCCTTTGGCTCACGTTCCCTCGATGACTGATATTTGTGGCCTAATCAGACCGCGGCCAGAATGCAAGTAATCGCTGCTACAGAGTGTGTCTCTGTGATACCAGAGTTCCCAGCTGAGTATTTCCTATCTAAAAGTAGGTAACATTCTAGTAACGGGGCTCTCCTGCTAAAAGGGTCACGCGGCCCTTGCCGATACCTCTGTCCACGATGAGAAAGGGCGTTCGCATCCCTGCCCTCTGGTTTTCTCCGACCTGTGTGTCCAGGAGCCACCAGCCTGGTTTGGATGCCTTCATTTCAAGCGTCTTAAATGAACCTGAAACAGAGCGTGAAAGACGACATGACACCCTCAAAGACTAACGGGTTCCCACAGGCTGACGGCCATCAGAGAGTCCTAACATCGCTGCATCACTGGGAGCTTTAGACTAGGACTGAGAGAGTTTTCCATTTCTTTCCAGACAGGACTCCAGGCGTGACTGACAGATCACAGCAACAGTGTCACTGTCACCACCGCCGCCGCCACCACCACCACCACACGCACAACTACCAGTAAATGCCCCAGACCTTGAAAAAATCTCGAGCACCCCTTACTTAGTGGGAGGAAGCTTTCATTTATCTGAACGTCACATGTTCACCCCCACAGGGCGGGGCTCTGCAGTCCTGGAGATCAAAGCAGCCTGGAACGACCCGGCCTTGGGCCGAGAAGCTAGTGTCCGTATTTCCCTTCTCTCTCTTCGTTTCACTAGCTTTTCTTTTCTCATAGAAGAAAATTAAAATAAAACACCCCTTCTCCCATGTTTCCAATTTCCGGTCAAGTTTACATAGTTGGACGGAGTATACATAAACGGGCTCAGCACATCCCTGAAAGAATGCGATTCCTGAGACCTCTGATTGTCTGGTCAGCTGCTGACCACTGCCCCTGCCAGTGCACACTCAAATCTGCTCACTGCAGTCTGTGGCCTTTTCCCAGGCTGCAGGTAAAAGGTAACAGCCGGTGGTCATGCCCCTCAGACCCTAATAAAGACCTCCAGCCCCCCTCCCGAGCACACATGTGTGGGTTTGCAGGGCTGAAGGGCCAGCCCACCCAGCTTCTCAGTGCTGCTGCGCAGGCCCCCGGTGAGGCGGGCGGGTCTGGTCACCCACTCGGGGGACAGTAAGGAGTGGGTCTGCCCTAATCCGCTCTGTCCCTGATTTGAATAAAGGGGCCCTGGACCTTCAGGATTAAAGTCTCTGGGAGTAAAATGTCTGTGTCAGCGCCGGCATTTCAGCTGGCTGCCCAGGTTTCCATGATGCCACTGTGCTTCGAGAGTCAGTGGCATCCAGCCCTCCCCCCAGCCCTCCCCACGTATATCTACAAATCACTCACTGGCACAATAGGATCCTTTCAGATGGCTTGTTTGTTTAAACCTTATCATAGTTTTGCACATGAAAGGCTCCAAATACCCTTGTTATTCTTTAGTTTTTACGATCTTTTTTTAAAAAGAATTTTATTTTTTTAAACAGCCTTGTAAGTCGGTTGAAGGTTAAGAATCTTGTAGTCACTCGCCGGGAGATACCAGACTGACAGAGTGAGGAGGAGAATGCAAGAAATCAAAAATCCCCGTGACACGCTGCCTGAGCCCCGTGGGAGTCGCGCTGTAATCTGCTTACGACCTGGCCTGCGTGACGCCTGCTGGCTCGGTGGCTCGGAACGGCCTGCACGAGACCTCCTCGCCTTCTGCAGAGCCAGTTGGGACCACACGTTGAGCCAGCGCAGGGCTGCGAACGGTGCACACCCCAGCTGCCTTTTGTCACACTCCGTACGCAGCTCCGGGGCGTGGGCTCGCCCGGAGCCCGTGCATGACTCCCTAGAAGGAAATGCCCAGGGAGGGCGTGAGGGAGAGCGAGAGATGCTAAGACTGCCTTCTCGCCGCTTGGTAGCCAGCACCTCCTGTCGGGGCCCAGCTCCTTACCGGGAAGGAGCGGCCAGACCCCTAACTGGTGCTGCCGCGTGCCGTTTTCCAGCAAGGTCTGGCCATGGAAGTGGACCACGTGGATGTCTCGGGAGCCGCCCAAGTTCAACAGGTGCAGCCTCACCCACTCCTGCTCATACATTCTCAGGCCGGGCAAGTTGTAGACCATCCCGTTGATGGCTGAAAGGACGGAGAGCTGCAATCACTTACAGATCCGTGCGCACCAGGAGGGAGGCCGGTGAGGACCCAGGAGGCCCCGCCCATCAGCGAGCTTCCGCGCGTGCCAGGTCCACGCTGGGTCCCCTGTGCGGCATGATGTCAGCGAGGACCGCCGACTCCTTCTCCCACAGCCTGCAGCAGAGTGTGGGCGAGCCCCCTTTTCCACACTTCCTCACTCTGGTCCCCGACCTCCCACCGCTCCTGCCCTGTGCTTTGCCCATGTATCCTTCCCATTCGTAGTTCCAGTTCTCCTGGGCTACTAGTCAGCAAGCCGGCTGAGGGAACTCCAGCGGTTACAGGGAGGGGCGCAAGGAAGGGGGTACGCAGCACACCACCCTGCGGCCTCCTACAGTCAGAGACACCTGCAGGCAGCCCCGAAGCTGGACTTCGTCTTTGCTGCGCCCTCAGCTGGAGTGGTGCGTGCTCATTCTCTCATTTGTAGGGTGACTGCTCTGCCCCTTCCTGGCTTGGATGCCTGGGCTTCTGAGACCTGCCCACTCTCCCCTCAGCGAGGTGTGTGTGTGTGTGTGTGTGTGTGTGTGTGTGTGTGTGTGTGTGTGTGTTGTGTGTGTGCGACCTGGCGCAGCACCTGGCGAATCTGATCACCTTAAACAATAATACGACGTTTCAATGATAGAGCTTAGTGCTACCCTGCACTTCACAGGGACTAAAGTGAGGGAAATTTCTGTTGTTGTTTATTCTTCTACAGCCGAAGGAACGGCGGTGGAATTTCAGGAGCCAAGCCAGCGAATTGCCGGCGGGGGAGGAGCTGAGGCCGTGTGGGCTGCCCGTTTTAGCCGAGTGGTTTTGGGGCACCGCCAGAGGCTAAAACGGCTGCAGCCACTCCTATTTTACAAGGGACACGTGGGCGACCACTTCTACTATAGAAACAGCTTCCTCTAGAGGTTAAGAAACAGGTTCGTGATGTACTTAGGTTGCAGGATAATGCTGACAATTCCCGTTCAATGTGTGTTTCACGGACGCACGCTGGCTTTTTTCCCGGTTTGTTTGGGCGTGCGCTGCGGCAGCCTCGCGTCTGTCTTTCAGACTTCCTCGCCTCTCCGTCCCCTGCCGCGTCCCCCGCCAGGTCCCGTCAGCCCCCCGAGGCACGCGAGGACCTAATTTTAGTGGCAGCTCCTAGTTCCCTGCAGAAGCACCTCCTGCCTTCTCTTGTGGAGACCTAGGGGCGGGCGCCACTGCCCCCCAGAGTGATTTAGCTCAGAGATCAAGGGCAAGGTCAGAGGGAAATACCATGAAACTCATGGGAGTGTTTTACTTCGGAGGACGTGCGTCTCCAGGACCTTTGGGGTTTCTTGTCGTAATACCAGCTCTTCTTCTCGTCAAAGACCATGAAGAGTAGGACGAATTCTCGCGTGTCCACGGGCATCTTGCTCTCCTTGTGAAGCGTCCCTTTCCGGCAGATCAGAAGGGGACCTATCAGGCCCGAGTGGATGTCCTTCTCCTGGAAGACAGTGGGGACAAACGGGACGTGGTCTCTCTCAGCATTGCCTTGGCTCTTCCAGCAGCCGCTGATCATGGATGAAAGGAAACTTCAGAGGCTCTGGCCTTGAAGGTTACAAATAAGTTGCTTCATAAGGCTAGATACTATTCCTCTAATGCTATCGCATTCCTACGCCCTTCCTTTGACTAATTGTTTATCTTGATGTGGTGGTAGTGATAATGATTATGATAATACGGATACTATCACACATACTATTTATCGAGCATTTACTACCATAGTACATATTTTGCTGATAGCTTCTTATGTAATTCTGCTAACAACCCTATACGGTAAAAAAGAATTCACTTATTAAACAAACTTACCAGGGGCCTACTATGTGCTATGTACCGTCGTCACCTCATTTTTAACTGAGGACACCGAGGCCGAGAGAGGCCAGCAAACTGTCCTGGGGCCCCACGGTAAGGGGCAGGGCAGGAACGGCAGTCCAGGCCTGGGCTCTCTCTCCCACGCCCGAGACGGAGGAGGCTGCTGGACTTTGCCGCTCCTCCCCAGACACGGCGGAGGAGAAAGCCCGCCCTTGTTCACGGAGGTTGCAAGGGGACGTCTTCCTCTAGAAAGGCAGCCCCTCCGAGAGGGGCCAGCCGTTTCAGCAGCCCCCGCTCCTCTCCGCTGAGCCAGCGCTTCTCTCTCATTGTCACCTGCAGGTGCGCAGGGACCGTCCCTGGCTGCGGTAGCTCTAGAGGGGGGACCGCCATCCTTACACCCTCCTCACAGGTCGCACGCAAGGCGGACATTCAACAAGAAGTCGTCTTGACCCCTCCGCGTAGCGGGCCCAGGCTAGGGACCCGACTAACCCCGGGGAGCCTACCGTGTTCACGGCTGAGTAGTAGGCCCAGGCCCGGCAGGCGGAGCCGGGGCTCTCGGGCCCCGACCTCCCCGTGGCGTGCCACACGTAGGTGTAACTGCGGTTGGGCTGGATCGCGTTGTCCTCCTTGAACCACTCGGGGGAGTCGTCTTCGTAAGTCTTCCCCTCCGATGATTTCTCGTAGGACAGCCCGTGGGCGTGCAGAGAATACGGTCTGGATGCTAAATTTTTGAAGCGCACCTGTAAGAAACAATGACCCACAACGTCCTTGGACGTCACAAGAACGCAGTTGCCGTGTAACTTACGTACATTATTTCATCTAGTTTTTGCAACCATCCCCTGAGATAGGGCCCGGGTAGTTTTCCCCGGAAAGACCAAAACATGTCCGTTCCCAGGCTCACAGCAGAAGTATTGACATTATCTACCAATGCAACGCTAATGACAGGTGCCGCGGGTCTGAAGGTCAAGGGGCTTGACTCTTGCTCACGATAAGCCCTCTGCCTGCTGGTGAAGAGAGACACGCACCTGTGGATTCAAGTTAAAATCTGGGGACACGTTAAAATCTGGGGACAAAAGGTGTGGTAAACCAAGTGTGAATGGGGTTAGAGGGCAGTGCTTGGGAGGGGCCGTTGGGCCGACTGTGTAGGGAGGGCTGGGGGGTTAAAGAAAGTTACTCATGGGGAAAACGGCACTGGCCCTTATTGAAGGAGCAGGAGCTCAGCAGGGGGAGAAACAAAGTCATAAGGTTATTTTCTGTTCTTGAGGATCAGCAGCTTACTTGGCAAGCTGTCGTGGAGAAGAAGTGTCATTATTTGTTGATTTCGGAAAATAAGTAAGTCACCTATAGCTCTTTCTTGCCGCCTTCCCCTTGACGACCCTGTGGTGCTTGCGGGCACTCCTCGGATGACCTCAGCACTGCCCTGAAGGCGACTCACCTGGATAACGTCGTCCACCTCAGCTCTAATAACAGGACCAAGGATGCCCAGATGCTCTTCGTACTCTCCCCGAGGGTCCCGCTGGGTAAAGGTGCTGTCGAGGTACTTGCGGAAAACGACTTTCTTGTACACGGTGCCTTCCGGAACGACATCATCGTCTTCACCGTCCGTTTCACTGAAACGGTAATAACAGGATTTCTCTACAAGAACGAACTAAAGGCCATTTCAAGAACTGAGGGGATGATCTCCGTCTCTGAATGTGGCACCCAGCACAGGGCCTCGCTCATGCTATTCTCTGCGTCTGGAACGCCGCCTGGAATCTCTGTCTGGATACGTGTTTGGCAAACGAATGAATGAAAATATAAGGCCCTGAAAACACAAGCCAGCAGATAGCCAGCTGCCAGCTCCCTTATTATTTCTCAGGAAAACCCTCCTATGAGCCTTTAGACCAGGTTGAATCTCTTTATAGCATTCCTCCGTGCCTACAGTGTTACTACGTGGTATACACAGTAAAATCCCGTGACATTCTTACAGCATTTTTATGCATGGTAAATGGTGTGTCATTGAGTTGTGTGATTATCTGCTAACATCTGACTCTGCCACTAGAGTAAAGGCTCCATGGAGTCTGGGGTTGTGCCTCATTAGCTCATCATTTTATTCCCAGGGCCTAGCAGATTAATTAGCACTTAATTTTTGTTCAATGTATCAATGGACAAATATAGCCCCATATTAACCTAGCAGATTTTAATATCAGAAGCAGACAAAGCCACGGAATGGGACAACGCCCAGGGCTTAGGGCTAGGTGACGAGGGTCAGCTGCCTTAGAAGGCCACCTCTGTGAAGGCCGCTGGATGGATGCGTGTTCTATAATCTGAAAGTAGCCACACTTCTCACATTTCTTTTGTTCAGTCACATGACTCCTCACGCAGCCCACCCACGGCTCTGTCTGGGGCCAGAGCACGTCAGATTTTCCCACCGACCTTGAATTTCCGCAGCCCGTGCAAACACAGGCTGGTCCGTCCGTCTCACACCCTTTGTTCCACAGCATGAGCCATCAGCAGGTGACCCCACTCTGCCCTGCTCTCAGCCTTTCTGCCCCACCAACCTCGTCCCTCCAGACTCGAAGCATAACACCCAGTCTCACAGAACGCGCGGGGACGAAAACCGCCTGCACGCCCGAACAGTGGGTGGCACTGTTTTCTTTGTTTCTAAGCTAGTTTACATGCTTGGCCCCCGCTATTAGAATTTCCTGCAGTTTGGATTAAACTTCACAAAGATGCCATCCACTTTACATGGATCTGGAGACAATGTTTAAACCTGGTAAACAAGCAAAGGCAAAAGGAAATTTCTATATCACAAACTGGGACGTAAGCTAACGTCAATGAAGTCACACTGATGAGCGGATGGCTGTGGAGGGCTGGGCTCTGCCCTGGAGCCCGAGGAGACAGCAGGGACACGCGTGATGGAGGAGAAGAGAGAGTGTGGGCCTATTGAGCCACAGAGCGTCACAGACGCCTTACAGTGGCTGTCTGTATGCTGTCCAGATGCTGCCCGGAGCGGCTAATCTTGGAACTGGCAAAGGAAACAGTGTGAGCCAAGTTGCAACAGGAGAACTCAATTATACTTAGCTAGTTTGCCCAGAATTATCTCCTAGGACTTTTTTTTTAATCAGTAAGTGGGGGAAAAAAAAAAAAACTCGAGGAGAAAACTGGCCAAACCTTTGTGCAGATTTTGAGTAGTCCCAGGATATTTCTTCAGCAGCAATATAATAGTATTTCCTGTTCCCGTTGTTGCTCCGGAGGTACCATTCTGCGATGCTGTCCGGGTTTCTGGAGGAGTTCACGTCCGTCCTCGTGTCGGTTTGGTAGGGGTCGTCATAGGCCACGTGGCCAAATTCGTAAGAGTCGTTTTCATCGCTCTCTTCCCTCTCGCTTGGTATCATCTCAATGTAATCTCCGTCGTCTCCGCTGAAGCCAAGCACAAACGGTAGGTTAAACTCCTTTGTTAGAAAAGTGTCATTTCGTGGAGGAGACGGTTGAGGAGATGGCAAGTGACCGAAGTCTGAATAAGGAACAGTCTGAGCAGGTTCAGAAGTGTCGGGTGTCTGATCAAGGTCTGGAGGGGCTGATGTCTGCCAGACAGCAGGAGGAAGGGTCGTCTGTGTGAGGTCTGGGGAGAGGGTGGTCTGGCCAAGGTCTGGGGAGAGGGTCTCCTGGCCGAGGTCTGGGGAGAGGGTTGTCTGGCTGAGGTCTGGGGAGAGGGTCTCCTGGCCGAGGTCTGGGGAGTCAGTCTCCTGGCCGAGGTCTGGGGAGAGGGTCGTCTGGGTGAGGTCTGGGGAGAGGGTCTCCTGGCCGAGGTCTGGGGAGTCAGTCTCCTGGCTGAGGTCTGGGGAGAGGGTCTCCTGGCCGAGGTCTGGGGAGAGGGTCGTCTGGCTGAGGTCTGGGGAGAGGGTCTCCTGGCCGAGGTCTGGGGAGTCAGTCTCCTGGCTGAGGTCTGGGGAGAGGGTCTCCTGGCCGAGGTCTGGGGAGTCAGTCTCCTGGCTGAGGTCTGGGGAGAGGGTCTCCTGGCCGAGGTCTGGGGAGAGGGTCGTCTGGCTGAGGTCTGGGGAGTCGGTCTCCTGGCTGAGGTCTGGGGAGAGGGTCTCCTGGCCGAGGTCTGGGGAGAGGGTCTCCTGGCTGAGGTCTGGGGAGTCAGTTTCCTGGCTGAGGTCTGGGGAGAGGGTCGTCTGGTTGACGTCTGGGGAGAGAGCATCTTGGCTGAGGTCTGGGGAGAGGGCCACCTGACCAAGGTCAGGGGAAACGGTTGTCTGACCAAGGTCAGGGGCAAGGGTTGTCTGGCCGAGGTCAGGAGAGAGAGTCTTCAGGCTGAGTCCCGGGGAGAGGTTTGTCTGACTGGGCTCTGGAGACGGGGGCAGGTGGGTGAGGTCCGGGGAGATGGCCGTCTGCCAGACTTCAAGTTCCAAGGACGGAGACGTTTGTCCAGAGTCCTCGGGGGAGGGCTGGTGTCTTAGGTCAGAGCTGAACGCCTGGCCGGGCTCTGGAGAAGGCCCGTGCCTGGGCTCTGCAGGGAAGTACGTTGGATCAGGGCCTGGGAGGGGGAGCCGGTGGTCGCGCTCTTCTGGGGCTGCTGTCCACGGAACGTCCGGCGAGAGGCCTGTCTGACCGGTGCCGTTCGGGGGGCTCCCACTGGGGTCGGGCCGTGAGGCCACCGGGCTGAGGTCCGCAGGGGTGAGCGGCTGGTGCAGGAGCTCGGGGAGCGACGACTCGTTGGACGTGGGACGTGAGTCGGAGCGCGTGCCGTCGGCCGCCCCTCCGAGGGGGCGGAAGCTCCTTGGAGAGAACGGGGTGCGGCGTGCGAACTTCTTCCTTCGTGTCCAGATTAAAGCGGTGCTGTTCTTCGGTCGGCTGCTCCTCCCTCCCTGCCTGAGTCGTGGATATTTATGTCTAACGCCATAAAACTTTGGGCGGCCACTCTGATGTCCATCATGCTTGTTTGGAGGAGGGACGCTCCCCGCCCAGGGCCCTGAGGCATTCTGGGGGTTACTAACAGCCGCATCTTTATCCGCCTCTGGGATGACCTCGTAGCTCCCCTTTTCAGAAACCAAATGCCATTTCCCGTTCAAAGTCTTAGATGGCGTCTCCTGTTGCAAGAGTAGCAGGTCACTGGGGAGGTCCTCCCAGGGCTCTGTCTCGGAAGAAGGGCTGTCTTGGCTTGCCTGTCTCCCGGTTATATGTTCTAGAAATTCCATCTGGGAGAACTTGTGCCCGGCCTGTCCGTCTCTTCCTGCCTGGAATCCGTTGCTTGTAGCGTGTCCTTGACCTGTCAGTCCTTCTGCCCCAGGCGGAAGGAGGCTTATCTCCGTGACAATCGACTGTACAGGGTCCTCCCGAGGGTCTTCAGAGTAGGGGCTGGAGCGCTCTGCTGCGGGAGGGTTGCGATCTGCGGTCTTTTCTGAGCTGCGTCCCATGGGGGGGCCGGCTGTGGTGGTTTCGGGGTGAGGAAGGGTTTCGTGAGCTTCTGCAAAGGGACTGGCCACGAGCCCGCTCTTGTTACTCGGGGAAGAAGAATTTGGACCAACAGCCATAGCAGTACTTGGAGGCGCGAGTTCAGAGCTGTTGTCCAGGGCCAGGGCAGTGAGATTGAACTCGTCCCCCTGTGGATTCAGGGGTGCGTTCCTGAATGACCTCAGTCCCAGTTCTAAAGCCAGTCTGTCCTGTTCATCATAGTCAGCGTCCTCGTCCGCCCCACGGTCTTCTGGAAAGTCGCGCATTTTCCGTGTCGTCATGGATGCAGACGGAGGTTCGTATATGACATAGTCATCTTCGCTGTCATCCCAGATACACTTCACGTCCCTGAATCTCAGCCTCAGGTTTCTGCTTCTTGGATTAGAATTCATGGTGGTTAACATCCAGGTTCCTACGGAAGGGAGACAGGATGGGGAGCCCTAAGTCCGGGAAAAGACACAAAACCCCTCACAGGCGTGGTGGCAGGTAACAGCCGGGTCGTCTGTGGACCCCACTGCCCTGCAGACTGTGGATTCCCAGTGCACAGGGCCCCGAGGAGACAAACTGAGGAACGTCAAGTGCTTAGGACACTTTCAGGCCCTCTGACATTGCTGTGATGTCCAAGCGGGTGATCAGGACACTCACCTGGTTTAACAGAATGCAGACCAAACATATCGGTCAGTGGAGAGTAGGGAGGAAAAACTTCTTAGTAGAGATAGTTGTCGAGCTGCTATGTTAGAGCATATTTTAAAAGGGATGAATTGAGAATAAAGTGAACTCTGAAAATCATGTACCTCTTGCGAGCTGTACATCTCATTTGGAACTGGGGCTCAGGGGGAGGGTGGCGACATCTGCCCCCAGAAATCAGGGACATCTCGGCATTCCAAGTGACCAATAATTCTCGTGGGCCCAGGGCAGTTTTGAACCTCTTTGAAATGCTGTGATCTGCTGGCACACAGGGGATTTCCTGGGAAGTCCCCCATAGTTACCGCTCGTCGAGCATCCCCTGAGTGCTGGAGACTTAGCGCACAGTAGAATCAATGATCAAAGCACCTCTGCAAGGTGCTGCTAGTCTGCTTCTTTCAGATGAATGAGCGGAGGCTCAGGGAGGGCAAGGCACCTGCCCAGGGTCGCAGAGATACCGAGTGGCAGGGCCGGATGGGAACCCAGGTCTGGTGACCTCCAAAGCCCTCGTGCCTTCCAGGACACTGTGCGGCCCCGAGGCCAGCCTCTAAGGCCCTGTCTCCGGTGACCACTGAGCCCAGTGGGGCCGGCTGTCTTTAAAAAACCAAGAAGGGCATGCTGATCAAAGAAATTTTCTTTTGCGACCGAATACTGATGCTTCCTCCTCAAAGTGGTGCTGTATCTTTCTGTGGATATGTGTTTTTTGCTGAGCTCTCAGCCCAGAGCAGGGCAGGTGGGACTCACACGAAAGGGCTGGCCCCACGGAGGTCGTGAACTCCCCAGACAGAAATCAGGACGAGTACTGAAAGGACAGTCTGCAGGGCAGCAGAGGGGGGTGAACCCAGGAGCTGCGGGGTCCAGAGGGCCACAGCGGACCTTCAGAGACCTCGGGGGGGGGTCCTCTCTCTGCAGCCAGGCCCTTACCTACGTTATCCATCGTGACGGTCACAGACTCCCCGCTCATGGGAAAGAGGGCCAGAGTGTCCTCATGCCTCTTGCCGTAGACGAAGGAGTGCCCGGTGAAGTGGACGGTCAGAACGTCATCCTGGGTCCCCACGCTGCAGAAGTGCCACTGGACGGTGTCGTCAAAGCAGAAGCCCAGCGTGGATATGCTCTCGGGCACGTAGCCGTTGATGGCTGCAAGAGTCAGACCCGTGAGAACGCCAGGCCTGCGCCCCCCAGGAGGCGCGTGTGCCGCCCCCAAAACGAACGCCCCCGTGCTGATCGGTTGCACCGAGGCCGAGGGTACCTGGGGTGAGCTTCACCAGCTCTGACACGTGATGGGAAGATCACACGCGGACTCCCCACCGCAGAGGCTCTGGACCCTGAACCTCGAACGGCAGCGCAGGCCCGAGCCAGGGCTCAGGGAACCCCTGCTGCCCGGCACTTCTCGCTGCGCGCTGCGGACCACGTCATGGAGTGCCCCGGGCCACGTCATGGAGTGCCCTTGCAAAACTCCTGGCTCCTCCCCCCACACGCACGTCCTCAGCGTGATGTGAAAGTCCAGTCTGGAATTACTTACCTTGTTTTTGCCCTGGCTGTAGGGTACCCCCCTTGCACCCACTCTGCACCCCAGGCCCCACTGACCGGGACCCGACGCCCTTTGCTTCGCTGCTCCGGCCCCTCGCCTGCTCTTCCCTGCCTGGGGCGTGCCCACCGGCACACGCACACACACACACACACACACACACACACACACACTCGCAGCAGGAGACCCAGAAGACGTGTGCAAATAAGAAGCTTTGGGCGTCCTGCAGTGAAACGGCTGCCCCCAATGTCACCATTTAGGTCAGCTCATCACCGGGCCCCGGCTGCGGTGAGGCCGAGAGGCCAGCCGGTGGTTCTAACTGTGGTTGCCTCCGGACACCGCCGTGCTCCCCCCGCAGGGGGGCGCCGCCACTTACTGCTCATGATGTTGGACTCGTAAAACTTGGGGTTGGCCCGGTCCACCTTCTCGGGGCTCGCGCAGAACTTGTTGATGTTGTCCTCGATGTACCAGCTCCGGTTCTCGTCGAACACGGCGAACACGGCCTGCTGCTCGATGTCCGCCGCCCGCTGCGGGGGAGGCGCCGGGCTCAGTGGCTGCCGTGCCAGCCGCCGACTCCCCGCGGCGCCGGGCACCGAAGGGGCAGGCACGTCCTCGGGGCCCCGCCGGAGCCATGCATGCGGGCGTTTGCTAGAGACCAGCGGGCACAGAGCCCTCGTTAGAAAAGGCATTCCCCGAAAGCAAGCGGGGAAGGTCAGAACACCCTGAGACCGAAGCGGCCTGAGAGGAAAATTCCGTTTGTCGGGGCAGCTGCAACTCTGTTTACCTCTGTGACCGAACACCTTTCCGCCTGATCCCTGACCCCAGGCTGGGCCGAGGACTCGAGAGGAGGGGGCTGCGGCAGGAAGGCGCCCCACCTCTCCCCACCTGCTTCCTTCCCGAGCTCCCCAAATCAGGCTCTACCAAATGTTCGTTTCTGCTTTCCCTAAGTGTATATTTATTTATCTTGTATGCCTCGGGGTGAAACTTTTGGAGTTAGAGCTTAGCCCGATTGTCTGTGAATTTTACGTTAATAATAGGACGCTATTCCACGGTAAAGACCAAGCCAAAAGACCCACATCTTTGTATCATTCGGCCTCACTAGAGATGGACCATCACTGAGGTCCGGTCTCACCGGGAGCTCTGTCTCCAGTGTATCTCTCTTATCTCTTTCTAGTGAAGATCTCGAAAATGACAAGGGTCGGTACGGAGCCCTGCACTTTGACTGCGTGGTGTCTCACCGCGCCCTGAAACAAGCCTGTAAAAGCTTTAGCGTGGGTGTTACCCATTTCGTAAAAGGCAGAAACAAAGGGAGGCTACGTGGCTTGCTCAGCACACAGAACACACCAGCAGACCTGGAATTGGAAATGATAGCAAGACACGGTTTTGCTCCGCAGAGAGTCCACGGGAAAACAGACAAGACGAAAAAGTTACCCAAGGAATAAATGTTATCCCGCTCAAGAGGACTGCTCAATGTTTTCTGCTCTCTGGAAGAGCCCCATTGCTGTTTAGCAAGGAGACCTAATCTGTCCCAGCCAGGAGAAATTCCTGGGATTCCTGAAAGGTCACGTCAAGGGCAAAATACCTGTATGCCTCGCTTGTCCAGGGACCTGCTCTTACAGATCAGAAGCAGCCCTATCAGCCCCGAGGCGAGGTCCCTGGTGACGTCCACGGCACTGTAGTACGGCCTCGTCAGGCACTGGGCGTCGTTTTCTGTGGGCTCGTCGGACTCCAGGATATTCCACTTGTAAGTGTAGGTCTCCCCTGGCTGAACCGCTTTGACCATGGGGTTGCCGCCTGCAAGAAAATCCAGTCACAGTCGTGCTCACTTTCAGAGGTATTTCATGAAGATGAACACATAAATAAATGAACAGAAGGATGCATAAATAATATAATTGAGCTCTCACTGCAACCAATTAGTTTCGGGGAAGGAATATTCTTTTTATATTAAGATCCACTTAAGAGAACCCCGGGGTAGTGTGCAATTGGCAGATCTGGCTCCACTAGGGGTCGCTGTGTCCCTGACAAAAGACACTGTTTTGTCACTAGTGCGGTAGACAAAGTCCCTGCAGCGAGCAGGGTTTCCTTGTGACTTCTAGGGGGTCCGGTCACGTGTCTGCCCTGGCGTATACCTTCCCCGGCTGCACAAGTGCTACTTCTAAGCAAGGGAGAGAGTAGAAAAAGGAGGGAGCCTCTCAGAGACCATAGAGGCCAGTAGACGTGAAAGATTCAAACCTTCAGTGGAAGAAGAGTTGGTTTCCTCTTCAACAGGGGAGAAGGTCACTCCGTGAGGGTAAATGCTGTAGGGGCGGCTGGCCATGTTTTTGAACACGATCTACAAAGGTAACACAGATTGGTGATTCGGGGTGTAAGATGTTCACTCTGCACATTCACTTGTTGGATGGTGTGTGTGTGTGCATGTGTGTGTGTGTGTGTGTGTGTGTGTGTGCAAACTAGCTGCTTATCTGAGCAGCAATCTGTGCCCTCACCCGACAGAAGTGTTTGAGGGTTTCACCTCACATCGTAGTCTGACCTTGGAAGTGACATTCCCTTCGCAGTATGCCGCCCTCTGCTAGCTGGTGCCCACCCCCCTTCCCCTCTTCTTTCAGCTTGGACCGCATCTGCCTTGGAATCTGCTCCTTCTTCTCTCTACGCCACGACCCCCTTCTCCAGCCGGCCAGACCCCCCAGGAGCCAGCTTCTAGGGGGACACGGCAAACAGCCGGACCCTAAATTTCCAGGGAGGCATGTTTACACTCCCTGCCAGCACCTGTAAGGAATCAGGGGTGAAGGGAGGGCAAGAGGACCAGGGGGGGCTGCCCTCTGGTCCTCTTGTTATTTTCAGATGAGCAGGACCAGCCTGGTCTGCAGATGTGCGGGGGGCGGGGGGGCTTTATTCACCCGGGAGTCCTGGTTAGGCCCCTTCCTCTTCCAAAGAGACCTTCCAAAGAAACCACGTTAACCTTCTTCTACGTGGTTGATTGCCAAAGCGTTTGGATCACCCCGCATAATCTAGAATGCAAGATGATCCGCATTCTAGAATCTCACCGGAGATTGCAGCCTTCCGTTCCCTGCTCCCCAGCTCTTACAAAAGCTTGGTGGCGTGACGCCACATTAAAGGAACACTGTCCGGAGAATGTGGTCAGGGATCCGCATCTCGGGTTACCTCCGTCTGAGACCAGGGTTCGGAGGATGACCAGCTGGACCCCAGCGAACAGGAGGTTTTCTCTCACTTGTGTTGACTGTGGTATCCTCAGCGCTAATGAGCAACATTCTTAAAAGGCTCTGCAGCGTTTTGGTTTATCGTACCAGTTGTAGGGATTGCGCTGAGGAGTCCATCCACCGCCTCACACAGCAACCTCTTTTCGAGGACCCCTGGGGGGGATTCCTCTCCGGTTTCTGTGCTGCCTTGGTGACTGCCGTGAAGCTGGCCCTGACACGCTTCCCGTCTACTCTGGCAGCTAGGAAAGCTCAGGACAAAACTGACAAACAACCTGCTGAGATCATACGGTGTGTGTTCCATTAAACTTACCTGATCCTCGGTTTTCTTTTCTTGGACCCCTTATTACTCACCCCAGTTATAGTCACTCCTTGTGTATTCCTTTACAATTTGATCAACTGTCTCAGGTTCTTTGTATTACCAGGGAGGCTATAACTAAGTGCAAATACTAAATAAAAACTGAAAGTTACATTTCAGTTAAAATTATATGGATATCTTTTTGGAAAAAAAAAACCACCACCACTTACAATGTCCTGTACTATTTAATTTCCCCCACACGGTGCGGCGTGTCTGCCACTTACTTTGAGCGTGTCCCTGACCTGGGCTCTGATGACAGGGCCCAGGATGCCGTCGTTTTTGTTGTTAGAGTCCTCCAGGCGTTTGGTGAAGGACTCATCTTGGTACTGTTTGTAGACAACCTTCTTGTAATGTTTTCCAATTTGGTTCGAGAAATTATCCAAATGCAGAGACCTGTATTTTCTTAAAGTGAAATAAAAGTATTTAAAAATTAACCGCTTCCTCAAGTAGAGACTCTGGTAGGGCGGGGAAACCCTGGTGCTTAGAAGTTCTATTCTTGGATTAGCTAAAAAGCTGGTTTTCTAAAAAAAATAAACAAAAACAAAAACAAAAGAACAAAAACTCTTAATGTGATTTGCAAAGTCCCGATATCTCCCCTCTGACTGGAACACCGGAAACCTCTCCTCTGTCTGATAAAGTCACGGTCAAGCTTAGAAGCAGCTACTTAGAATTCCCGTCACTCTGGTTGCCTGAGTAGACCCGAGGTGTCTCTGGTCTCGGTGACTGCCCTACGGTACGCCATTTCCCCTGTGAACAGGAACATCTCACAGTCAATTCCCAGGGTGAGATTGCAGGGTCAAAGGGCATAGGCATTTATCACTTTAATACGTAAGGCCATGTCCTCTAGAATGGCCCTCCCAATGTGCTCGTCCGCCAGCAGTACACGGCCGTGCCTGCGTCTCACGGCCCTGCCAGGGGATGTGCCGCGGGACCGTGAGTCTGATCAGTGAAGACGGGCATTTCAGAGAAGCTGAATTTGCATTTCTCTTAGGGTGAGTGGGCTTGAATGTTTTCCAAATTTCTTAATTAACTCTGACCTATTTCCTAATCTACATAATAAATGAGAGCTGTTTCTCGCTTCTGGAGTTCAAGGGAAGCTCTTCAAGAGGATTTAACGTAGTGCCTGGAAACAGTAAACATTCAACTAGTGGTAGCTGCCATTATTATTATTATTATTTTTCCCTTGGTGAGTTGGGGTAATTCCAGACTGACTTGGAACAAGACCTGAATGGAATCCAACACATGGGTTCCCTGCACAGCGGCCAACTCCTCACACTTCACCCACGCAGCGGGGACCCCAAGGAACACACCCTGAACCTCGCCCGGCGGTCGAGGCCCCCACACTCACTTGTCCATGTTCACTGGTATGACAGGCGCGTAGTCCCAGATGACTTCCTCCGCAGCGATGAAGTACTCCCACCTCTTCATGTGCCGCCGCTGCTCCCGCGTCAGCATCTTAGAGCTCCTGGTCTTCTTGGGGCAGTCTCGGATGTCCACAGAAGCCTGCATGCCCGCTGGGTCGGTGCGGGAAGACGGGGAAAGAGTATGAGAGAAGAAATCAAGGCTGATCACAATGTGCATCTTTGGAAACTGTGGAAGTGTAAGTAATAAGAGTGAAAGTAATGCTCTGGCAGCTTTCAACATCTGGGTCTGGAGCTCTGTTCGGGCAGTGGAGAAAGAGGCAAGACTAAAATGCGAGGGAATAGGAGCATGGGTTAGGGGAAAGGCTTGGAAAGCTTTCCTTTGCTTCTTCCAGAGCAGGAACCTTGGTCATTTCCAGACCCTTAAAACCTTCTGACTTAGGTTTTGCTGATTTCTCATTTTTCCTGTCATCTGTCTCTTTATTTGTAAAATCAAAAGTACGTGCTGTATGAGACTTCTGGCCAAGATGGAGGTGTAGGTAGACACACTGTGCCTCCTCGCACAACCAAAAGGACAACTAATTTAAAAACAAAAAACAACCAGAACTGACAGAAAATTGAACTGTATGGAAGTCTGACAACCAAAGAGTTAAAGCAGAAACGTTCATCCAGACCGGTAGGAGGGGCGGAGTCAGGCACCAGCGAGGAGGCGGATTGCAGACAGGGCGGTCCCACATTTGCGCGCAGATAAACTGGGAGGAACAACTGGGGAGCAAGACAGACCACGCAACCCAGGGTCCCAGCTCAGGGAAATAAAGCCTCAAACCACTGACTAAAGACACCTGTGGGGGTTGAGGTGTCGGGAGAGACTCCCAGCCTCCCAGGAGAGTCTGTTGGAGAATCCCACAGGGTCCTAGAATGCACACAAGCCCACCTGCACGGAAATCAGCACCAGAAGGGCCCAATTTGATTGTGGGAATTGGGGGAAGTGACTGAAATCCGGCAGAGAGTGGAGCAGGTGCCGTTGTTCCCTCTCAGACCCTCCCCCACATACAGCATCACAACCCAGTGACTGGGTTGCCCCGCCCTGGGGAACACCTAAGGCTCTGCCCCTCACTGCGTAAGAGGCACGTCAAGACAAAAAAAAAAGCCCAAACAAAAGAACAGGTCAAAGTTCCAGAAAAAATACAACTAAGTGATGAAGAGATAGCCAACCTATCAGATGCACAGTTCAAAACACTGGTGATCAGGATGCTCACAGAATTGGTTGAATTCCATCACAAAGTAGATGAAAAAATGAAGGCCATGCTAAGTGAAATAAAGGAAAATGTACAGGGAACCAATAGTGATGGGAAGGAAACTGGGACTCAAATCAACGGTGTGGACCAGAAGGAAGAAAGAAACATCCAATCAGAAAAGAATGAAGAAATAAGAATTCAATGAGGAGAGGCTTAGGAACCTCCTGGACAACTTTAAACGTTCCAACATCCAAATCATACGGGTGCCGGAGGAGAAGAGGAAGAACAAGAAATTGAACACTTATTTGAAAACATAATAAAGGAGAACTTCCCCATTCTGGCAAAGGAAAGAGACTTCCAGGAAGTCCAGGAAGCTCAGAGAGTCCCAAAGAAGTTGGACCCAAGGAGGAACACACCAAGGCACATCATAATTATATTATCCAAGATTAAAGATAAGAAGAGAATTTTACAAGCAGCAAGACAAAAGGAGACAGTTACCTACAAAGGAGTTCCCATCAGACTGTCAGCTGATTTCTCAGAAGAGACCTTCCAGGCAAGAAGGGGCTGGGAAGAAGTATTCCAAGTCATGAAAGACAAGGACCTACATCCAAGATTGCTCTACCCAGCAAAGCTATCATTTAGAATGGAAGGGCAGATAACGTACTTCTCAGACCAGGTCAAGTTAAAGGAGTTCATCATCACCAAGCCCTTATTATATGAAATGTTAAAGGGATTTACCTAAGAAAAAGAAGATGAAAATATATACAGTAAAATGACAGCAAACTCACAATTATTAACAACCACACCTAAAAGAAAAGCAAAAGCAAACTAAGCAAACAACTAGAACAGGAACAGAACCACAGAAATGGAGAGCACATGGAGGGTTATCAGCCGGGGAGTGGGAGGGGGAGAGAGGGGGAAAAGGTACAGAGAATAAGTTGCATGGATGGTAGGGGGAAATAGACAGGGGGAGGGTAAGAATAGTGTGGGAAATGTAGAAGCCAAAGAACTTATATGTACGACCCATGGACATGAACTACAGGGGGGGAATGTGGGTGGGAGGGGGTGTGCAGGGTGGAGGGGAATGAAGGGGGGGGAAATGGGACAACTGTAATAGCATAATCAATAAAATATATTTTTTTAAAAAAATATATGCTGTATGAAATTGTTGTTAAAAAATTAAATAAATTAATACCAAAAGCACTTCACCTTAACAATGTTAGTTTTGTTGTTTCATTGTGACTTGGCATTCTATCTGCCAGGGAGCCTGTGGCACTTGTGTTACTGCAAATACAGTTTGGACTGCTTGGTGCAAAGGAAAGCAAATTGGTCCCATGAAGTCTCTCTCATGTGCTTTGCTTATATACGTACTCTTGGTAATGTATGGTTTCCTATAGTAATGTGATTGACTTACACTTTAATTTCTGCTCACGGGAACCCTCCTCCCAACAGGTTTAAAGCAACAACGTGTAATAGAACAACTAGTTATTTCTGTTTATGGGGGACCACATAGAAACCTGGGCTGATCAGGAGAATTCACTGATACTCTTTAAAGCCCATTTCTCAGCTGTTTAGGTTTTATGTTTGGTCCATTCAGCATGTGCCCACTGGGTTCCTCTTCCTGCCAGTCCCTGCGCTCACCTCGTTAGGAAAGAGGATCTTCTCACGGCACACCTGTTTACACACTTCCTGTAACTTGGCGCTTCTATGAATTTGCACATTTGTCTCATTCTAGCCTCCGGGTCTTTTCTTTTGGCTGCATATTAAATGCCCCGAGAAAGAGTATCTCTACGTAAACATTTGTTTCCTTCCTCCTTTCTCCTTTCAAGGAAGTTGAGACCTCTTCAGCTTTTGCTTCACTTTGAAAAACTCTTTGTCAATATCTCCACTCCCCCCACCCCCCGCCAGGGCTGTGCGTCTCACAGCGGAGAACGCGTGTTCTGTTCTCGGGGCCCGACGCACGTGTGTCTGGAGCACGCGCGACTTGCAAAAGCAGAGGACGCGGAGGGAATCAGTGCCTGGGAAGGAAGGGCTCTGCTTTCATAAGCGAGACTGTCGGGAGGGTCTCTTACCTTGCATGTGAGTAGGGGTGAGAGAGGAGACGATCCACTTCCCCCCGGGGCCCATGGTCATGTTGGCAGTGGTGGACGTCGCACTGACGAGTGTCAAGGCCGAGATCTTATGCCGGTTGTGCTCCAGCACCTGGCCGTTGAAGTGAATGGAGAACAGCTCCGGTCCGGAGCTCATTCCAATCAGATGCCAGCTGACTTGGTCGCTGGCACAGACAGTTATATCTGAGGGAGGGGGAGAGAGGAGAGGGGCACGACAGGCGGTCAGCACTCTGTGATCCGAGACCCACGCACCGGGTAGGTACGGAGTGCCTGCCACGCGCCAGGCTCTGCCAGGTCCCGCGGGAGAGACCCTGCAGGGGCAGCTCCTGCCCTAGGAAGCAGGCGCCCGAGTGAGGCCCACGAGCAGTCCCAGCTCGCTGCAGTAGGCGGCGGGCACTGCAGCGGTGAGAAGAGAGCCGAGGGGCGGGGGGCGTTCGTTCAGAAACAGGGATGGCTAAGGGGTTAGGCCACGAAGGGAGCCCAGTAGGTTCCAGTGATGCAGTGTTTTCAGTGTCAGCTCGGGGACAGTCCTGGGCCAGCCTGGGCATCGGGTCACCCCAGAGCCAGTCTGGGCTCAGCGTGGGGGAGGCTCCAAGGTCTCCGATAGGGCCGAACTCAAGAAGGAGACGCGAAGGTGACCTGGGGACGCTGTGTTGCAGTCTGTGCCCGCTTGTCGGTTGTTTCAATGACAAGGCATCGAATGGCCGCGGATGGGTCCGCACTACGCTGGCCACTGGGGGCGTCGCGGGGATGGAGGAATGAGAGCACAGACTTGGCTCATTGTTTCGCTCCCACGGTACCTGGGGAAACGCCCATTTGCTGGGGGGGAGAGTCCAACTCCGGCTTCTAGGGTTGGCCTGGGCTCTGCGTTTCAGATCCGTAATCATTAGATACCAGGCCGTGGGGCTGGGGACCAGTCCCTTCTCCGTAGAGGAGCTGAGGGACTTGTCTTTTTTAGGGGGCCATGATGACAAGGCAGGGGTTCTGGTATCACGGGGAGAACAAGAAGCTAAAGCCCGAGAAGGGGAAGCTGAAAGGCAGGAGGCTTTGGTGGGAGCGCTTTGCCACCCCAGGGAAACCTTCGCATTGACCTGAACATTTAATACATCTGCACCAGCACTTACCGTATTTACTCCATTTATACTGCTCTGTAACGCTGCTTTACAAGCCCTTACTTATTTCAGTTTCTACGGATGCCATTTCCGCCCCCTGCCCCTCTTAGCCCCAACCAGCTTGTCTTTTTCAACTACAACTTCACATACTGTATTCCCTGGCCAAGTTATTCATTTTTGTTTCTGAGCGTGTGGTTTGTTTTGGGGGCTTCTGCATAGCTACCCAGATGACTCGCTCTGCCGGGACACAGACACAATTTCCCTTTTGACCACGCCCCTGTACAGCCCAGAGTCCTGGAGATGCTATTTTTACGTGTGAAGAAATTCTTAAACACCCTCTCTCCTAAGATAGATGGTTACTCCATTTTTGTACGTTAGCACGTGGAGACAGCTACCTGCCGGGGCCCACACTACGGTGGAGAAATGGGCTAAACTTGAACTCAGATCTGCTGCGTTAGACTACTTCGGTGGAGTTCTGGAACTCCGGATCAAAGCCCAGAGCCGTCGGAGTGTGTCTGCAGTATAACCCAGGAGGGCTGACGCAGTCAGATGGAATTGAAGACAATTTAAAACCAATGTCCAGATCCCCAGTCTTGCCAAGTTTTGTGTGTAGTGAGGCCATTTGTGATTTTTCAGGTACGGAGAATGACCCCTGAGAAACCTAGGTTTTGGGTGCTTTAATTAATAAAGTAATATTTTCACTTTTCCACTTTCTTCTTCAGGACCTTTGGCTCTGAGGCGCCTCTATCAGACAGAAGCTACAAGTGGTTCCGGTGGGAGTCAGTGTCTTTCTCTAAGAGTTGCCCTGACTCACGTGCAGATGGAAGAGAAGACATTCTGTGTGCCTTCACTGTTCCTCAGCCAGCATCTTTGGACATGCTAGGAGTGCTTTAGTGTGGTGGGCGTTTGCCCTAACCTCCTGTTCATCTTTAGTGCAAGTATCTCCACCGAACTCTTCCTGCTGACCCTTTCTGCCAGGGGCTGACCTTGACCTTCTGTCCTGAAAGGCTTCCTCTGTGGACAAACGAACGCATGGTCACCACGCGGTGGGGGCCACGGGACCCTCTGAAGGAGACGGACACCCTGGATACCAGCGAGCTGGCATCCTGGAGCAGACGCAGGCCCAGGGGGAGCCTGCTCGGAGCGCCGCAGCTAATAGGCTGCACCCTCCTTCACTTGGGCAGCTCCCACTTTGTCTGTTGTCCTTGATGGTCAAGAAAAAAGAAGGCACAGTCCTGAGACCCACTGAGCTAGACTACATTGCCTTTCTGAGTAAGAGCTGAAACAGAGTGAGGATGGTCAGCTTCCTAGGGCCCCGAGGAAGACCGTGCAGAGTTGAAGGCCCTGGCTGTGCCGGCGCCGCTGGGCAGCGCACAGCCCACCCGTTCGTTACCTGGCATGGTCCCGTTCACATAGCCGTTGACCGTGTACATGACGGACGGCGACCGGCTCCAGCTCTTGCTTTCGTCAAACACGGCGAACATCAGCACGTGCTGCTTGTCAAACATCTTCTGAATGCCGCCCTCACCTAGGGTGCCTGGGAAGGAAAGACGGCGTGTTGGTCGCATCCCGGAAAGAGATCCCCACGTCTTCTTCCCAGACAGCAAAGGGTTTAAGGCAGGCAACCCATCACAGTGAGGTCACCGCGAGGAAAACCTTATCTCCAGAACAGCACCTTTAGCAAATCATGACGATGGGGGGCTTGTGAAAATCCTGTGTTTTCTCTGGCACCTCATAGCCTTGAGGAATGGGGCTTTAAAGGTAAATGTGGTCTGGCACAGAGAGGACGTTTGGTGACTGTCAAGGATTTAGTGAAAGTGTCCATGCCCCCCGCCCCTTCCCCGTGCCAGGCCAACACAAAGGCACCACAGCTCGGAGGGTAAAGTCATTGCCCTCCAAGTTTAATCCAGCCACCCTGCTAGTGCAAGGGACGGCGCACCAGGTGTTGGTTGAGAGTTCAGCATGAATCCACTCTCACATGGGAAAGATGCAGCTGAAAGTAGGAGGAAAGAAGGGCTGTTTCTCAGTGTTGATTTTTGTAGGGCCACCCCAGTGTCCCCTAGATCCCAGGCAATGAACACATGCATTGGTGCAGCGAGCACACGCGTTGGGACTCTGTGTGCGTGCAGACAGAGGGTGAGCTCATCTCATTGTTTCCCACCGTGCAGTTTTGTGTGGTGGTTGCACGTTCTGTTGAAAGATGAGCCGAATTCTTTTCGGGTACAAGGAAAACGCAGGCTTCTGCTCAAAAGCCCAGCCAATGACATCTCGTGTAAAGCGGACCGAGTGTGTTTGCGGCCTGCCACCGGAGTGTTGGGCTCTTTGAGGAAAAAGAAAGCTGGAATTGTGTGTGTGTGTAGACCAAATTACCAACCCAAACCTCACGTATGTTCACGTTCTTTCCAAGTGTGATCAGCAGAATACAGGCTGCTGTGCTCTTTCAAAAAGACTTGGCTTTGCCATGACCAGTGTGGCTCAGTGGGTTGGGCATTGTCCCTCGGACCGCAAGGTTGTTGGTTCAATTCCCGGTCAGGGCACATGCCTGGGTTTGGGCCAGGTCCCTGGTTGGGGGCATGCGAGAGGCAGCCGATCGATGTTTCTTTCTGACGTCTCTCCCTTTCTCACTCCCTCCCCCCTCTCTAAAAATAAATAAATCTTTAAAAAAGAAAAAGGGAACTTGGTTTTGAGGTAAACATTACAGACCACGCGGGCATGGCCTCGGAGCGAATTCTCAGACAGGGCTTTGCCCGGGAGGCACTGGGAGGAACAGAGGAGGCTTCCGAGCCCTCAGGCCCCTACGTGCGTGCGCAGCGCTCTGGCCCCCACACCCGCGCCCTCTGCTCGGCTCACTGAAAGGTTCCAAGGCTCTCCCAAGCCTCATTCCACCGCAGTGCTCCTCACCATCCCAGTGTCTTTGACTTTTGCTTGGTTACCTTTCTTGCAGATAAGCAGAGGGCCGATCAGCCCGGAGTTGAAGTCCTGTATCAGGTTGTCGTAGGAGTAGTAGATGTACGTGAGGCACGGCGGGTCATCGCGGGTGGGCCCACTGTCCTCACGGATGGTCCACTCATAGGTGTACTCATGGCCCGGAGCTACAGCGTCGTCCATCTTCTCCACAGGAAACGTGTGGTCCTCGTAGGAAGCACCTGGGGAATAAAGGGCGTGAACACACCTGGACAGTCGGTGAGGATCGCTTTGTCGTCACTCTCAGATTCAAAGGAACGGCAGCGCCCTGCAGAGATACCTGACCCTCTCTGTGGGGAGCCTTCATCACGCGGAAAGATCCCCATTACACCCACTTCCATGCCTACGTGATTACAAAGGCTTGAGTCCACGGGGACCTGGAGTGATTAAGAAGTGTTGCTAGTACATTGTTGGAGGCTGAGTAAATTCACTTCCCAGGGTCCCTAAGCAGTTATTATTTAAACGTAATCAGAGAATTGAATCACCCTCATCAGCGAACCATCTCAGAATATGGAAATGGGTTGTATTTTCTCTGTGGTGCTTGATACAACATCTGATCGGTAACAGCCTGTTGGCACAGGGTGTAACTGCCCTCAGGCCCATTTACGTATTGTTCTGTGTCGCAGTGCACGGTTTTCATTTCTCCTTTCCAGCCGCTGCCACCTTCAGCCCCGTTTCGCTGCTGCGTCGCAGCTCCAGCGCCTGCCTGATCGTCCCAGCCTCTTCCCCAGAGTCTGGCTCCTACACTCAGCTGAGTTGTCCTCGGGGTGGGAAAAGCGTCCACCCCCCGAAACTTAGACATCTTGCTTCATACACCCACAGACACGCCATTAACCCTTTCGTCTACTCCTCTTTCTCTGCCGGTGACAGAGGGCGGGACGCACGGTAGAAATCGGTCTCCCTTATTGCAGAGACGCCACTGAGATTCTGCAGATAAAAGGATTGCAGAAGGCCGGGGGATGCTTTCCACAGCCCAAGGAAGATGTGGCTGGAGATGGAGCAAGTGCGGTCAGGAAGGGGAGAGGTCCTGCCGTCCACAGCCTCGGGGGACGGGCAGCTCCCCCAGCCTGTGACATCCCCCTTCCACTGGGTGACAGTGTCCCTGGCCTGGGCTGGTGCCAGAGTCTCTCTTGGGGAAGCAGGCCTCTCTGCTTGGTACAAGGTCCTGACAAACTCCTCGAGGTGGAGGGTGAGGCCATCCGAGTGTGGATGTGGGCAGACAAGGAGGAGTTTTTATAAAAATAGCTAAAATGTTCTACACGGCAGGGCGAAGCGCCAGTGGCAACCATTCTTGCTGAAGGGACTGTACTTTCTGAAAACAAAAATGCTTCATGTTTCGTTTTCTTATTCCTTTCTCTTTCTCTGTTTTGCTGTCTTTATTGAGTTATAAATCACACATAATGAAATCCACCACTTCTAAGTACATTTGCTGAGCTTTGACAGATGGGCACTGTCCCATGGCTGCTGTCACAACAAAGGCGCAGAACGCCCCCCTCACCCCAAAACTTCCGTCGCCCTTGCCGTTCGTCGTCAATGCCTTCCCCGCCCCCCAGGCCCAGGCGGCTGGGGCTCTGCTTTCTGTCACTGTATTGTGTTTTCTGATCATGGCGTAAAAGTGGAATAACACATTAGACACCCCCTGTGCTCGGTTAGTGGGAGTACAGTGTATCGTTTTTTATCCTTTGTTTTTCACTTGTCTTTAATTTAAAGTGGATTGCTTGAGTTCAGCGTACAGTGGGTGTGGGTTTTTATCCAGCCGTACAATCTGTCTCTTTTAATATAATTACTGAGATGGTTGGGTTTAAATGTGCCTTCCTGTTATTTTCTATCTGTCCACCTGGTCTTTGTTACTTCTCCTCTTCTTTCCGGCTTTTTTTTCTCTCTGGATGGACTATTTTTTATTGTTCCTTTTCATCTCCACTATCGGCTCGTTAGCCTTGCTTCGTTGCGCACCACGTAGACAGAATGTTCCTTAAAGCCCCAGATCTTAGTCACGTTCCTGCTCTAAACCCTGACGATGGTTCCTTGTTTCCCAACCAACGTCCTTCGCACGGGCCACCCGCCCAGGAGTGCTCCGCCCCTACTCCTCTCTCCACTGTGCTCCTGTGTGACTCCTGCCCCAGGGACCTGTGTAGCAGTCACGCAGGCCCCTCTGAGTTCCCCGGACGCGCCGACTCCCTCCTGCCTCAGGGCCTTTGCAGACGCTGTCCCCTCGGCCCAGCGTGCTCTTCCTCCCTTTCTTCTTTTGGACACACGAGTGCTCACCCTTCACACGCCAGCCGAAGTGGAAGCGTATTGCTGCCCCGGCTCGTGCTGTGCTGTCGTCTTTCACTTTCACAGCCCTCATCCCAGTGCAGGATCAGATGTGTGGCATTATATGATCAACCTCATTTTATCCTCCTGGATAAGAGTCGTTTGCATGCCGCACACAGTGGGACCCGAGCGAGCTCCGCAAAGGCGGGTGCTGGGCTGTGTTCGTCTCCGAGTCCCGGGCCCGTCCCTGTGCCCGGCACGGGCAGGAGGCTCCGTGAATGTTCACTGAACTCTCAAGATTTCAGGTCCTGCGGGCCAGAACCAAGGTCCTCAAGTCATAGCTCGTGCGTGTGTTCTATTAGAGCTGCACGTGTTCAAACAAATGAAATGCCAACATGAACAGGATGGGAATATTGTATAAGAGTCTGGCTTGCTGGTTTCTCTTAAAAACAAAATAGAGCCTGAAGATCCGGTGTCCCGGGACCGAACTCCTGCACAGAATTTGCCTGGACATGGGTCCTGACTGTCCCCTCAGACAGGACACAGCTCTCTGATCGCCAGTTCCTACTGGACTATTTTTCATTGAATCGCCCTCTCGGCCTCCATGAGTGTCTGAGTTCGTGACCCTCGCGCTAGTGGAAAGCCTAACACGGGGCTGTGTTGTTTTCCTTTTCCTAAAAGGTAGTTTGCCATCGATAACCGTGTTTACTATAGACCACACTTTCACTCTGCTGATAAGGAGGATTTGAGTGTTTGAAAGACCAGGAACCGACAAACGTCAAAAGCTTAAATAACTTCCTGTAGTATTGTTCAAGTCCGATCCGAGAAGAAAAAAGCGTTTATGAGGAAGACTCTCTGATAACAAACAGGAAAGGTTTCTCTGGAAAGTTGCAAAACAGCTTCTGTAGCGAAGCACAAACAGGGCTGATAAGGACTGCGGCGCTCTCGGTCCGGCCTCGTCTGTTTGACAGGGACACGCGTGGGCGGAGGGGGGGCGGGGTGACCGGGTCTGTCTTGAAGCGAGTTGCCAGCCCCTAGCCAGTGCCTCCTGCTCTGTGGCCTCGGGAAGGGGAAACAGAACGTTCCGGACACGGCGCTTGCACTGTCCCAGCCGTGACAACAGCCCAGGGTAGCCCGTAGTGGAGGACAGAGTTCTCTGTTGCCTTTGCAAACTCTTGGAAGGACGAGGCACGATGTTTGTAGGGGGAGAGAGGACTTTCTCTTTCTTTGGATAAATGCATGCTTGTCCTCCAGATATCAGCTTAAATGTCAGCTTACTCATTCCCTGGTCTCTGATCGCGTATCTCATAATAAAGATATATATGGCTGTGCATCTGCATTTATGCAGATGTATTTGCATCTGCATTTATGCTATGAATATATGCACATGTAACAGCATTACATGCTACATCTCTGTAACAGCACTCATCGATATCCAGTTAAATATTTGTGAGGTCACCTGATCATGACCCTTCTCCTAGACGGTGAGATGTTTTCTTGTGGTGGCTGTACCACTTGCTAACTGTGGAAATGTGGGCAAGCACATTTCTATCTTAGCTGGGTCAGGAGACCAGGAAGCACACGCGACACGCCTGACCCCAACCACTGCCGTGGCGTCGCTGAAGTGTGGGGGCCGCTTCCCAGCCTCTTTCCTCGCATTTCACTTCTAAGAAGATGTGTCTGCAGCACTCTTGAGTTCTCTTAACACATGCGAGAAAGTCTGACGGTGGCGACGTATCTATTCTAAAGCTGGGAAAGGCTGGTAATAAGATTAGGTAACTACTCACAGTCAGCAGCACAATTAATACATTTCAGAGCAAGGGGAAATAAACGTAGCCTCTCCTTTCTAAGCCAGTCTTCAGTCCCTCAGTCTAGTTCAGTCATCATTGTGACCATCATCATCATTGTCAACATCTTCATCATCATCACCATCATCGCCACCACTATTGTCATATCATCATCATCATCACCATCATCACCATCACCACCATCACCACCACCACCATTATCATCATACCATCATCATCATCATCATCACCATCATCATCATCTATGTTCTCAGCTCTGTTCCGGGCACCAGGGCACAAATGTAAGGAAAACAGCCTGAGACCCTGAAGGGCTCACAGCCCAGTTAACAGTGGGGTACCTGCTGGCGCCCTAGTTGCTATAAATGTCACCCCTAGAATCCTTCTAGTGCCCCTTCCGTGGAGATGCCACAGTTAGAATCCATTATTCTTCCGCAATGAGAACTGATCGATAGAAGTATCTAAGAATCAATCACCAAAGAGGCTGTAACTTGTGCTATCATCTTAGGAGCTGGAGTGATTTTCCATTGACAGTGAACTCATGTTTAAATGGTCAGTGTTTCATATCCAGGTTTCACTGAACACACAGTAGTTTATAAATGTTCATCTAGTTGACCACAGTAAATTATGGAGAATTTCACATTCATATATTAGTTAAATATATAAATTTCAAATAACTGAATGAATGATTTTAAGTTTGCTATATTACTAAAAAGGTGAATTTTGGGCATCTTGATACAAATAGTGAACAATATAGATTTAGACATGGAGGTGGATCTTATAATTATACTGAGTAAGGATTACTAACGAGATAGTTTGGGGATAGTTTTATCAGTGCTTTTTTTCTTTTCCCTTCAAAGCATTTTATTTAACCTTTAATCTACAATAAAACAGGCACCCTGTATCTGTGAATTTGCAACCTACGTAATGGGAGCTGTGGAATATAAACAGCTATTCAGAAACAGCAGTTTTATGAAAAGCATTTTTGGGGGGCAAATCTAATTGTGACTCTGCAATCAGAATAAGGCAAAACTCTCAGTGGAGAAGGAGAGAAATGCGCAGGAAAGACCATTGTTCTAGAACACAAAACGTCCTTGTTCAGCTTCTTGCCGGACGAAATTCTCAGCACGAGGGCGGACCTTCATCTCACATTTACCCAGTTCTGTTCGCTTCCTGATTAGTCCTCAGTCGGCTTTGTGATGTGTTTGCCTGCGTCATGATGAACTAATTATTTGCCGAAAGGCTCTCAGTACTTTTTTTTTTTCAAACGTAAAACGGTGTGACCAGTTTGGGGAAGTGAGGTTACATAAAGGGCCCCTTCGGTCGTCCATCTGGGTGTTCCTTCATGAAATCCTCCCTTGTTACTTGTCCTTTTTTTTTTTTAAACAGCTCTTTTCCTCTCCATTTAATAATCTTAGTGAATGCTTCAGTGTGCCTTTAACGATGCTGAGGATTCTGTTAGAAGCTTTAATTGAGGCGATGGGAAAATTGGGATGCCGGGGTTTTGTAAGGGGCCTGTCTCCACTGCACAAGGCAGGCAGCTCTCTTTTGGAGGGGAGTTCACACTAATTCCCATGAACAGATTCATGAGAAGTATTATGTCAGCTCTCACAGTTTGTTTCAGGTACTTATTATCATCGACTCAAAGAAGTGTCTGTGTTAGGCCAAAATACTCAGATGAAAAGTGAAAAATGTAATTGTCTATATTAAATCAAACATTGGAATGCTTTGGGAAAACCTAGAAGACTAAGTTTTCACATAGAGAATGTGGCAGCACCGAGGTGCAAAGAACAATCTCCAGTGGAAGTTTTATTTTTTTATATTTTATTCAGAGAGTTGGCTTACCAGCAGAAAGCTGAACATTATAGAATGTTACACTATAGTACTTATAATGTAACTCATATTTAAAATATGAGAAAATAAATCAAATAAAAGAATAGTATAACATTCATTTTGAAACAAACTTTTAAAGGTAATCACGCAAAGAACTTCAAAGATCTTAATGAACAACAAAATTTGCTGGAAGGAGCAGCATTACAATCCAACAGCCACCAAAGGCTAGTTACCGAGTTTCTGAAATTTTAGCTTCAAATCAAAACTCTTTTAGTGACAGAAAGTTGAAAAGCAATTAGGTGCAGTTGTGAGTGCAGTTTGAAACACATTCCTGTTAAAGACATTTCTAAAGGAAAGGACCTGGTAAGCATTTTTATAAATCAGGATCTGTGCATCCTGTCATCCCTGCCCCGCACACTGCCGAGGTCGCCCTCAGGCACACCTGGGGAGGGTGCACCTGGGCGAAGCCGAGGGACACCGAGCTACAGCTCAGCCTTTACGTCAGATGCTGCCGGTGCACGGACGACGGGCCAGCGTGAGACTTCCACACCAAGTGCAGTGACACCTTTCCTGCCCAGAACCCAGATTTCCAGCCATTGCCTAATTTAAGCATAGCCACGCACTCAAAAGGGAGCCACGGAAAGAATGCCTGGGAACCAAGGCCCCCAGGCAAAACGATGTACAAAATCCGTGAATGAAAGCTCAGGGTCTTTACGTGTGAGTACTACCAGAGAAAAATAACACCGGATTTCATTTAGAACCTGTCCACTCTTAGACTGCACAGAGTCCCAACGTTTATGGGTGCCTGTGAAGTCTCCCGGTAGACCGGAAGTCGCGGTTCAGGGAGGGATTAGAATTTTGCTTCTCATCCTCTGTTTCAAAAGCTATACTGAGGAAGTATACCATTTAGAAAGATTTATGCCCGGAGTAATTAAGAGGAAATATCTTAGGCGCTTAATCTGGACAATGTAATTATTCAAAATGACTTACTCCTCGTGCACTCAGGATAACTGACATTTTTTTTTTTTGTGCCATTGAGTTCATTTTGGTGTCTGAATCCTGTGGGAGAGTTTTATCTCATTTGAGTGTGATGACGCTATCCAAGGCCAAGGCCTTCCTTCGAGCTCAGCTTCTGGAAGCAAAATTGAATGCCTGCACGATGCACAGCCATGACATGACCACCGCAGCAATACCCAGCATCACTGTGCATCGACTGCGTGCCTAGCAGTTTCCCGATATCGCGACCAATAACCTCAGCTGGACAGGAGTCGCTAATCCCCTTTTATAGATCCAACACCGAGGGTCAGTGGTAAAGGAGATTGCTGAAGTTTGCTGAGGGCTCACGTCCAGGCACTCTGGCCCTGAAGCCAGCGTTCTCCCGTGGCTCTCTCTCCTTGCAGCTGACGAGAGTAGGGTCCCGACTCCTGGCGGGGCCCAGAGGTTAACTCCCGTACAAGGAGGGCTGCTGGCTAGCTTGTTCAGTCCTCTGGTTAGCTCCGGCAGCCACAGGGCCGAGGACTCAGTCCGCTCGACCTGTCACTCGTCTGGACCTCCCACCACCCACTGCTCAGTATCTACCTCTGAGATAAAGAAATCTGGGCTCTCAGGTAGCTGGCCCAGCATGGAGCTTCTCTCCACTCCTGGAAAAATAATGCAGACCGTAGCAGGAGGCTAGGGGGGAGGGCGAGTGTCAGGCATGAAGAAGATGTTTTATCTTAACACAGAGGGCACGACAGGATGTAGAGACTGGTCTTTTCCCGTGAAGGGTACCCTTTCTCCACTCACTAGATTTGCATCTCATTCCTGAGACAAAATTTGACTTTCCCACCCATCTGTGTTTACTGTCCCCAGAGTCGCGCAGCCGGGGGCAGTCTGCAGGTGACCGGTGGGGGGGGTGGTGGGAGCATCTGAAGCCGCCGCTCACCAGTGATTGCTGGCGGTGGGGGAGCGAGTGCGTGCACGGGCAGATAAACAGAGAGGGAAGAGGGACAGGGTTGCAAGGTTCACTTCCTGCGCAAACAGCCCCGCTCGGAACGCAAAGTCCACTGCACTGCCTCCCCCACGTTGGGAATGAGACCTGCATGGGGCACGGTGGGGTCCTCTCCTCTGGCCACACAGCGCTGACTTCCTGAGGCAGTCAGCTGGGAGCCTCGTAAGGGGGCTGCGTGGGTGTTCCGTGTCACCATATGACCGTAGGGACACAGAAGGGACAGACTCCCACGCACGCTGCCTCGCCCAGCGTCTGGACAAACTGGCCCTTTAAGGTGCCTGAAATTTCATGGCTGACGCTTCATTGGTTCCCCTCCAGCCAAAGAGCGAGCACTGGCGTGGAGGTTCCCGGGGAGGGCAGGCCATCGCCCTCCTGCCAGCCACGCATCCCTTAGCAGAGACGAGTTTGCACAGACAATAGTGCAGGTATGTCCATGCATCATCAGCTACATGTCAAACTGTTTGAGTATCAGAAAAAATGTAATTGTGATGTAATTGACATGTGACATCATTTGGACAAATTTTGACTCAAGAATCACCTTTTCCATCCTAGCTAGTATTCTATCAAGTGCTTTTCATATGCTAGGCATTGTTCTAAGCTTCCCTGACGACAAGCCTGTGTAAAGAAGGCATGATTGTTATTTTCATTTCACAGACGAGAAAGGTGAGGCACAGAGAGGGTGAGTCACTTCCCCAAGGACACACAGTTAGTGTCAGAACCAGGATTTGTGCCGGGCAGTCTAAGTGCCGAACCCGCACCGGAAACCACTCCCCCACTCAGTCACTCTCTTCCAAGGTGTGATGGTTGGGACACGCGGCAGAAAAAGATTTGTGAATTATAGAAGGACTGAAGAACAAGCACCTAGCAAAACACGGCTGGGGTCTAGTTGGTGCCAGAACTTCCTCATGTCCCTCTCTGAAGCTTAAGGAGACAACCATTTCGCTCTCACCAGCGGCAGGGGCGTTCTCTGACACGTGGCTGATGAGGCGGTTTCAAATGTTTGACACTGGTGTTAAAGAGCCGTGCGCTTTTCTCTCGTCGGGGGGACAGGGAGTTCCGCTTACCTTCTGAGAATTTACTGTACTTGATTCCTTGAGGGTGGATGCTTAAGGGCTTGTCTGCCTTGTTTTTAAAGTGCACTCTCATGATGTCTCCAACTTCAGCATATAAAGTAGGCCCAAGGAGTCCTACGGAAGCAAGGACACATACATCAGGATCGCCAAAGACAGAGCTGCTAAGCACATACACACGCGTGCACACACGCACACGGACACCACGCAGAAAGCCCCGTGAGTGATGGCTGCCACGTCTCCAGGCTCTGAGGGTGACCCGCTTGCCTTCCACCTGGTCGGCTCTGCCTGCTCACGAGCTCAGCACTGCATGCAGTCAGGTAAGGACAGGGAGGTAGCGACGCCCGGCCTGGCTCAGAGTCAGCCGAGAGACGAGGAGCGATCGCTCTGGCCAGGCCCACCCCCTTCTGAGCCCCTGTCATTCCTCAGAGACGACCTCTGGCCACGCAGATAAAGATGTGCCTTTTCCATTGTCCGGGGTGACGTGAAGAGAATGTTTTCATAAAGGCGTTCCCAACACCTTCATGCGTGAAGGCAAACAGCACGGAATGTTCCGGAGCCGCTGCTCAGCTCCTCCGTCAGCCAGGCATCCGAGAAGTGCTCCCACCCTCTCCTCTGCCCATAGACAGGCTGAGGGCAGGGGCGGCCCGTCCTGGCCTCGCAGGACGGCAGCACAACGGGCATCGAATCTGACCCCCGCTACTCAGGTGAAGCAGGGACTGCGGAAAACAGGGCAGCCCATGGCTGCAGCGCTTTCGGAGCCGTCGGGGACAAACGTGTCACAATTTTCCTTGAAAAAACGCAAAGACTCAAGCCAGCCATTTTAAAGCCCAAGACAGGATTCCTGACAATGAGCCCCGCCCGGCCACCTGTCCAGGGCAGGCATCTGTCTTCAGACCTCCAGGGCTGCAGCCCAGCACCTCCGCCCCGCAACTTACAGTAAGGTCTGGGCTCTTGCTGCAGACGGGGGTGCCCACGACTGCTCCTGTTCGGGCTGGGCTGGAATCGCACCCACCAGCCGAGTGGGGCGGGAAGCGGGGGAAGGAAAGCACCAGGGACACAGAACTGGGCTGGCCACGGGGAAGTCACTGAGTCAGGACAGTGTGCAAAGCCAGCGCTTCTCACGCACCATCTGGGGCTTGGTCTATGCACCAGATTTGCCTCCTTGCGTCAACTCCTACTGGCACACAAAAGTGAGCGAGAGGTCACCCCTGGCCGCCAGGGGTTCACGGGTAGGTAAGCGCCTTTGGGGTTTAGGAAGAGGCTGCACGAAATGGATGTTACAAGGCCTCGGGGCTCGTATAGAACAAGTCTGTCCAGGAGACACATGGAGTGGACAGGAAGATGACGTTTTCAGCGCACAGGGCTTCCGCAGGGGCCATCTGTCAAGGTCTGCTTCTAAAGAATGAGGGTGCATCAGGACGTCGCTGCAAAAGTGCATCATCTCAAAGGAGTTTGATCACACCGCTCTCCTCAGAAACTACCAGTGCCTTCGTACTGCTTAAAGCATGGTCTCCAGCCTGGCACCGGCCCTTCCTGCCACTCACAGGGCTGTCAGCACGATGGCTGACCCAGCGCCGATGGTCGAATTCGGCCAGCTCGGCAGGAGCCGCAGAAGGTGGGGCTCTCGGTGCCCGCCCGGTGCCTCGTGCCGCAGGCCTTCGGGGTTTGTTTCCCAGCCCGTTTTCCCTTCACCGGCCCACAGTTTAAGTTAATTAAGTGGCTCTTAAGTATCGATTGTGTGTGCTGAGGTTGGAGCCAGAGCTACGAAAAGGAGGAGACTGTGACAGAGGACAGGAGATCCTTTTGAAAACTTCTTGCCCACAGTTACAAACCCAGTTGTATTAGCGACCTCATAGCCCCTAGCGGAGGCGGTATCTGGTCTACCTTGGACTCGCGCGGCTCCATTCTCAACCCCATTATCCCCGCTTCTTCTGAGCCTGGCTCCCTCCAGGAGGTGTCTTTACCCTCTCCTTTCCTATTGGATTCTTCCCTAGAGAACTTAGGTAATATTTTTAAAAGATCTTTATTTTTAGAGAGAAGGGAAGGGAGGCAGCAAGAGAGGGAGAGAAACACGGATGTGTGAGAGACACATCAGTTGGTTGACCCTTCCGTTCGCAGGCTGGCACCAGCCAGGGCACCCTTAGCTATTTTAAGTCACTGCATTCCTTTTATAAAACTCCAGAATATCCTTAAACCTCTTATTCCCTTCCAGAGCTCTGCTATCTCTCCTCCCACTGGGAGCCACGTCCCGGGAGTGGGTTATCTACAACAGCCTCCTGCTTCCGCTGCCTTATCGCCCCTCCCCTACGGCTCTGCTGCTGCTCGCCCGCCGGTGGAGGCAGCGCCGGGGACACGGGGCACCGGGAGCATGTCTGGAAGGGGAGCATCGAATGTCCTAGAAACGTCCAGTCAGAAAAGGCCTGGCAAAAAAAACACTGGCCCTGGCATCTACGCAGTCACAGACGCCCTCCTTTGAGAGAGGTTTCAGTGAGCTGCTCCCCGTGGAGCAGGGGACACGGGGGTGGGGGGAGATGATACCCTGGAGAACTCACATGGAAATGGGTGGTGAAGAGAGGGGAGGGGAAGGAAAAGCAGGCAGAGTCCAGGGGGCTGTTCTTTTCTAGGTGGAGTTTAACCTGAGCAGAGTTGTGCCTTCTGTTGCTGCCAATGGTCTTTGGCCGCAGGGAAGGCACCCGTCCAGGAAGGAGTGAAGATAAAGGGGCATCAGAGGAGTCGGGGAAGAATGGGAAGGATCGGGGGCGCGGAAGAGTGAGTCTGGGGCAGGTCACAGGTCTCCCCCTGGCGGGGGTGGGGGGTGGGGGCGGGGGAGGGGCTGAGTGAATTATTGACCTGGGGACCCCACCGGAGGACGTCCTCTCTTGACGGCCCTGTGCGCCTGTGAAAACGTGGTGCCCTATGTCAGCTGCCCAAACCCAGTGACTTACTACCCTTGACTGAAGAAGAGAGGAGGAAAGAAGGGGCTTTTCTTTGAAAACACGAGCTACTGTGTACATGACACTAAATGACACGGGAGAAGAGAAGGGGAAGACAGGAGCACGAGAACTGGCCACGCACAGTCCCTCCGAATGAGCCCGGGGGCCGGAGGGCTGCCCTTGGCCTGCACGCGTCAGACTGGACCCGGAGCCCCGCGGAGGCAGGGCACGCGAGTCTCGTCTCTGCGGCCTCCACGGCGTCTAGTCCAACGCCCCGCCCTTGGCACGAGCTCAGTAAGAGTTTGTTAGACAAGTGGAGAAGAATTCAAACAACTGGGGTTTCTCAGCTTTTTGATCAAGGTTAACAACGGCTGTTTCCATGGGCATGGGGTCTGTGAGCTGCGCGGTTACGCGGGGCCCCCTGCTCGGCTCACCCGAAGTTCTCGATCGTGGTTTTTCTTTCTCAAAATATGCTTCATACTCTCTGTAGACAATCTTCTTGAAGGAGGTTGCAGAAGGGTTCAAACTGGAAATAAAATACAAGAATTACTTTGGAAGGTATATGTGAGATCTCCTCCTCACACTGCAAGAAAGGGGTCTCTCGTGTCCTCAGACTCGTACCAGAAATAACAGCGTTTCCCACCGTGTTTTGGAGACCCACAGAGTTTTAAATATGAAGAATAAGCGAAGTGGATAGACACAATTATCACTCTCTTCAAGAATATTCTGTTGTGGTGATCATTCTACCACGAATGAAGTTTGCCCTGACCAATCCTGTCCCTCAGACTCCATTTTCTAAAGACGATTCCAAGATCCCAGTGTGAACCCCAATTTTAAGCTGCAATGTTAAATGATCAAAAGTATGGCCAGATCTTTCATGAATAAACACGTGGGCTGTTTGCAGCCGGTCGGTCAGATACAGTGGTAAGCCGCTGGGGAGCGCCGTGGAACGCCGCTGGGGAGCTCCTGTCGCTCTGGTGGGCCCTGTTTCCGCTGGAGAAGCCGGATGTGGCTCACGGAGTGACATCCCTCGGACTCACTCTGGGGACATACAGACGAGTGGAAAAAAAACGAACTCTTGAAAAGCTTAAGTAACTTGACCAAGGAGAAGCCGCCGGTGAATGGTAGAGCCAAGATGCGCAGAAGAGAAACGATTGGATTCATGGCGAAGTCAGTGCGGGGGTGGGGGAGGGGGAGGGGGAGGGTGGTGGCAGGGCCGGTGCCGGGATAACCTCCCCTCCCTGTCCTTTGTGTCTCCGGGGATTCAGGGCTCCTGGGGGAGGACCGTTCAGAACACGTTCGTAGTTCAAGCAGCCAGACATACAGGTTAGACTTTTTCACACGAAAGCGCTAGAGAAGGAACAACATGATTCGAGGCTCAAACACACGGAGACTTGGTCTGGGTTAGCATTCTGCGGTCTTGATAATTGACACCAGAGGAGTGACTCGTCCCAGAATTCTGGAGACACGGCCGGGGCGTGAGAGGGCAGGGTGCCAGGCGACGGCTCCCTCTGGTTCACCATGTGACTCAGGCTGTCGCCCAGTTGGCTCTGCCTCCGGGTCTGTGCCTGCCATTGTCGGCACCGACCGGGGGCGGAAGACCAAACCTCCCAGCCTGAGCTCCACCGCCACTGGCAGGCCAGCCACCCAGGCAGCGTCCTGCCCGGGAGCAGGGGAGGTGGGTGCTGGGCGGGCTCTCTGTCCCTTGGGGCTGCGGTTCATGGCAGTTCCCTACCTGCGGGGGTGGCCTGGAGTGTCACCTTGAACCGCAATACTGAAGGGTGATTTTTTTTAAAAAGAGGGATTTCTTATTATTACAAGACCAAGAGATATATATGCACGGCCCTCCAAAATCACCCTTACACGGAAAATTTTTAAAGGGTTAAGGTTATACCTAAAAGACTAAAAATGTTACGATATCTCTCGGTAGACCGCTTTGTAATTGTAAAAGAGGAACACGTCTTTCACAATCATTCAGAGTGTGATGTTTAGTTTAAAAAAAATTTGAGTCACACCAAGAGGCTTACCATTAAAACAAATAAAAATATAACCAGCTGGAAATATTGAGTGGGCCCTGTAATTTGTCTCATTTCTGGGAAGCCTTATTTTTAGCCTTTCAATTAGGAAAAAATGTCTGCGACTCAAAGATAGACTTTTATTATTCAAACCTCTACTCTTAGTGGGGCCACCCCAAGCCTCAGGGCAGACCGCACACCAGGGAGTGTTTGAGGGAGAACAATGAAGGGTCAGATGAAGTAGAACAGGGTGCAAGAATAAAAATGTTGCGTTTTCACGGACCGGCAATGCTTTGAAAGTGGACAACAAGAAACAACAAAATGAGGGCAATGGTTATGGGATGATAACAGTAATCTGCTCACAGCAAAGTACAGGGTGAATGAATGCCCGTCCTCACGTTTAGAAGACGAAGCTATGCAGAGAATGGAACAGACAATATATGACTAGAGGTTCCATACAGATACCAGACTTCTCAAATGCCACCACAGGAGGCTGCAGAAGGCTGCTGAGGGGGTGGGTGCCTGGTGGTTTTGAGTCAATCAATATCCTGAACCAGCAATCAATCGTACTAACAAGACTGCTGATCAGCAAACTCTTGGAAGCAGCATCCAGCCAATCGAACTGCGTGTTTTCCATACCCTCAGAGGGACAGACTGTGTCCCTGGAGGCAGGACGAGCGAAGGGAATGCCGTCTAAGGAAACAGCTCACTCTCCCCGGAGGAGCCCCCGGGACACCGCGCCCGCCTTACCTGTGCTCTGCCGGCTCAGGGTGGTAGCTCCAGCGGATGCCCTGAGCCGCCACATAGAACTCCCTTAGCCGCGCGGCCTCAGCCCCCGTGCGCCCCGCGCCCGCCCAGCTGGAGCCCAGGACCACCAGGACCCAGAGGCGTGGGCAGCCTGGGGACATGGTTCCTTTTCTGCTCCTGCCCTCGGCTACCCCCAGGGCCCGGACGGAGCTCTCCTCCGCCGCCACCGAGTCGCCGCGTGTGCGCTGCAGTGAGCTCCCGGAGGCTGTGGGTGGCAGTGTCCTCCCCTGCAGCTTCCCCCGCAGGCTCCGCAGCGGCAGCCTCCGTCTGTCCCCGCCTCCCGGGGCCTTTCCAGGCAAGGGGTGGGGGAGGGGGGATGCGGCTAGGTCACTGCCCCCGGTGACCAGAGGTAACAGGGAGGGCACCCAGTTTGGTGACTGTTTTACTACAGGTGAAGAAAGGGCGGGGCTCAGAGGCTCCGGCAGGTGGGGCGGCGCCCAGGGATTCGCAGGCCAGGGGCAAAGCTGTATCCCTGCGCTTGCAGATGCAGATGCAGAGCGGCAGCCCCTCACCCCGCCCCCCCTAAAAACCGCCAGGGGCAAAGTTCACACTCGCCTCACCCTCCGGAACTCCGCATGCATGCCTTGGGACCGCAGCACTCCGCTGCTCTGAGGAAAGGGCCTTGCACACTGTTGCCCCGCACAGACGTGTGTCCCCAGGTGGTGGGGAAGCCAGGGGTCGAACCCGTGGCCAGGGCCACACCACTGACTTCCGCCTGCACACAGCTCTGCCCTGACAAGGTCCTGCCGCCAGGCCAGCAAGGCGGCCCCAGGGCCGGGGGTGGGGGCTCCGAGTGTGAGCCCCAGGGCCAGGGGCTCTGAGTGTAAGTGTGGCGGAGAGAGGCAGCAGACCAGGCCCCAGGCCCCAGGCCCCAGGCCCCCTGGCTAGCTGTGCATGTCCTCTTGGACACGCCCCTCAGCCTCTTCGGAGCTCAGGTTCACCGTCTACACTGCAGGGATGACAACAGCAGCTTCCCCGGATAGCGTTGTAGGGGGTGGGTAAGAAAATACGGCAGAACGCATAATTCCTGGCGGCTGGAAAGCACTGAGCACGTGCTGGTTACTAGGATAGTATTTTTTTTTAAAGATTTTATTTATTTTTTAGAGAGGGGAGGGAGGGAGGGGGAGAGAGAGAGAGAGAGAAACATCCATGTGCAGTTGCTGGGGGCTGTGGCCTGCAACCCAAGTATGTGCCCTGGCTGGGAATCGAACCTGCGATGCTTTGGTTCGCAGCCCGAGCTCAATCCACTGAGCTACGCCAGCCAGGGCATGGATCATATGTTTCCTGCCTCTGCCAGGTCCCTTCTGTTTCTCGGACGATCTGTTTCCACTGCCTTAAGCCCTTGTTTTGCTGCTGATAGAGGGGCAGAGAACTGTACTGTCTGAAGCGTCAGGATGACTTGTCCCAGGTTCCTGAATCTGTGCCGCCGAAGCCTCTGTCTTAAGGTTTGTCCCCGTGGATGGGTTACATTGTCACCCGGCGCCTTGTGTGAGGTCCCGAGGGTGCTGGGCTCCTCAGCAGCCCCGCCCCCGACACGCCACCTTCGGCCTTTGCCCCTTCGCTGACGTGACTCTACCCACTCAGAGCGCCCGTTCTGCCCACTCCTTGACGCCCACTCAGAGTCCTACCGTCTCCTTGATTCTGGGCCCAGGTGGACTTTTCCCTCTCGTGGCTCCTACAACACTATCCAAATCACAGGTCGTGCTGATTACCCTTTCATACTTTGGGCGGGTGTCTGTCATCTCCCCAGCGAGACTGTGCACTATTCAGGAGCAGAGCACCCTTCTGTGCCTGTGATATCAGGTTCCCGGGGAGCTTTGGCAAAATGTGACTCAGACCCTGGAGACAGGGCCGAGAACCACAGTCCTACGGTGAGCCCCACCCTAGCGACCGGCAGTCGGAGATGCCGGCGACAGTACACGAGAGCACGGCGTCCCTCCATCCCACGCTTACTACCAGAGTTCTTGTAAAAGTCTGTGCTCTTGACTTAGACTGTTCTGCCATTTTTATTTGCACATTTGCTTGCGTGTCATCCCGCCTGCGTGACAGGTCCCCGGCCTCACGTGTCACAGAGACCAGAGGGCTGCCTTGTGGGCCTCTCGATACCTGATTGGCTCCCGATGACCGCCGTGCGACTTTCAACAACCTATTTATTGGAATGTGATCTGCAGGGTGTGTGCAACACGCCCGTGCTTCCCTGTAGGACGTTCAGGTGATGAAGACCCGTGGTGCGCCTCTGGCCTGCTCCTTGCGGGGAGGCGGTACGGTACATACTCTCTGACCCACCGACGGGTCAGACAGTAAAGGGGACGGTGGTAATTCTGAGTCACATGGATGTAAACAAAGCGATGGACACAGACCTTATTGGACAAAACACCAAATGATAGAACATGGCATTTGGGGGGAGGCCTGTTCATGACACATTTGAGTATTGGTCTTTGGGGGAGAGAGTGACAAGTGGGGGGACCAGCTACAGTGGCCTGCGCCTTCCTGTCTTCATCCTCCGCCTTCTGCAGTGTCCCTGGATGCCTCAGCAGCAGAGGGCTAAGGGGCGTCCCCAGCAGCCGCACCAGAGACCCCGAGGGCCTACGGACAGTTCCCTGGCCAGACACACCCTTCCCGCCCTCCGAAAAAGTACAGGATGCCTCCCTCCAACCCCAAAAATACAGACGCCCTTTCACGTCTCCCCAGGGCAGTCTTCTGGTGACTCAGATGCCCTAGTCTTTGGCTAATTCGTATTCCGGGTGACAGCCAGGGCGAAGCCCGTCACAGACTGCGGCCCTGCGGCCCGCCCACCCGCCCGCGTGGAGGCTTGTGCTGGAGGAGGCGGGGAGGCGGAGCCGGAAGGGTGATGGGTGGGGTGCGCGGGCTCGTGGCGCAGGCCCTCTGCCCTGGTCCAGAGCTAATCTCAGGGAAATGCCATGTCCTTCGTGCACAAACATTTGCAGAAAACCGCAGCAAACACGCTCCAGTTTGTCAAGTCTTGCAGGAAGCCTGGCGGCGTTCGACGGCAGGAGTCTTCTGAGGCCGAGGGACCCGCAGAAGGACACGTACTTGAAAACGAACCAAGATAAATGAAAATCATTCCGTTTCCTTAAAAAAAAAATAAACGAAAGAAAGAAAGAACGCTCTCATCATCTCTGTCCCCCGAGGCCCCATGTAATCTTTCTGGATTCCGGATTTTCTGCCGCCCAGGCCACGTTCCGTGGGAAACCCAGCTACCTGCCCAGCCATTTGGGAGCGAGAAGGGGCCGGGCCGTTTCCGCTCGCCCGGCGGGCCGACTCAGGGCACTGGCTCCCCGAAAGTTTGTAAAACGCTCCCAGCGGTCAAGACGCCTGGCTATGAAGCCCCCGTGCCCACACCACCCAGGAGCCGTGAAAGGGCGCACCGTGCATCCTGACATGAGTGAGGCTAGACCGGGGCTTACCTGCCCTCTGTGCCAACACAGTCTCCTTCACGGCCTGACATTGCAATGCATGCGTGAAATTTAACTCACGATTACATAAAGAAAAGTCAAGCTTCAAGGCTTCCCCTCCCCCCTACTGTTCTGTTCCCTTTAAAAATGTCGCCACCGGGGACTTACCTTAAGGGGTCGGGTCGAACGCAGCATTTGAAAAAACTCCGTAGGTGCCCAGCTGGCTGCAGAATGGAAACACATCAGTGACCGGCCATTTGGTGCTTAGCCCCCGACCGCGGTCCGGCCCCTGGTCTCTCCAGGCCGCGGGTTATTACCGCCCACCCCCGGGGATTCTGCTCTCGAGGGGGAAGGAGAAATGCCAAGGGAATGTTCTAGACCCCACTTAATCTCTCTGGGGAGTGGGCATTGCACCCCGTCCCCGGGTGAATGTGTCGTTGACGCCGTGGGTACGGAGTGCCAGCTATGCCCCCGCGGGGCTGCGTGTTCCTAGGGTGAGAGGAAACCCTTCCCAGACGTCCGGCCTTGATTCCAGACCGCCTGGCAGTGGTGTTCAAAGGGCGGGGGTAGTGCCTCCTCAAGGCGTTTTTTACTTTTCACGATGATCTAGAGACCTGTTGACACTTTGGGGCAGGGACCAGGACCCTGGATGTCCTGACACACAACAGGAGGCAAAAGGATTGCCCTACACCCCATCCACCTTCAGACTATGTACTCGGTATTCATGTGGGCGAAAACCTCTGAGCCCAGAACGTCACTGCTTTATGTAGAAATAGTACCATTTTGGCTGGTTTTTTTTTTTTTTTTGCTATCTTCTAACATGCATCTGCCATGTGACTTGAGGGAAGATTTTAACCAGTTTTCCAACTTTTTACTGGTTGTTTGTCATTTTAAAAATCAGGCTGGGACCCTGGCTGGTGTAGCTCAGTGGATTGAGCGCAGGCTGCGACACCAAAGTGTCGCAGGTTCGATTCCCAGTCAGGGTACATGCCTGGGTTGCAGGCCATGACCCCCAGCGACCGCACATGGATGTTTCTCTCTCTCTATCTCCCCCTCCCTTCCTCTCTAAAAAAATAAATAAATAAAATCTTTAAAAAAAATCAGGCTGGCAACCCCGCTGAAGACTTTGGAGCCGCTCCTATGGTCTGCCTGTCTGCTGTCCTCGGCGGCCGAGCCTCCCCGTAATCCCACCCGAAGGCGCGCGCCTCGGTGACCTCGCGGCACCCTCGGGGGAGCCAGCACCCCGGCCCTGGCAGTTACGCCTACTGTTTCTCCCTCATACCATAGCTCTGGCGCCGATGGGTTTTGAAAGGCTTGCCTACTTAGGGTATATTGTCTGTGTGCTTTGATTCAGAATTCAAAAGCTTTGCCGCGAGGAGGGAGCATTGTGTATAATCTTTCTGACGTGTTACGGTGAATCAGAAAGTCAGACTAGAACATGTAACTCGGGCATAAAACATTTCCTTCTTACCTGTGAGGGCTCAAGGGGCTTTTCCCATCATCTGAAAAAAGCAAGAGGACACCAATGATTGGTTTCAAAGGCGAAAACAAGGTGAGGGTGAAAGGTCGTCCGTGGTGGGAATTGTTGGGGAGAGCCGGCGGCACACTGGTTTTCAGACGGACTCGTTAGAAGGGGCGGGGTGGGAACTGTCTCTCCCCAGAGGGGGAACCTGCCCATTACAGGCCAAGCCAAACATTTGCCTGAGTAGCTCCAGGGCCCTCTCATCCTCCCCCTCGTCCCCATCAGTGACGACCTCCCCTCCCGCGTCTGCGGCCTGCCTGCCTTCAGCCCCTTGACTGTTTGTGGGTGGTTGCTGAGATCACTGGCTCTCAAAACCCGACTCCTTGGCACTCGCGGTGGGTCCCCTCTCGCTCATCCTGTGTCGCACTCCCTCAGCCGTCGGTTGGCAAGTTAATTACATGAACGAGCCCACTTTGTCACTGCAGCAGTGACAGTCTCCCCCTCCCTGGTGACACACGTGGTCAGGGGCCTCCTGTCTTAACCCTGACCGTGAACTCTGACTGTGGAAGCTTAAGTCTCCATAGCAGGCCTGTCGGTTGAAGCATCTCATTAGTTAGTTTTAAAATGTTAGGCCAAGTGAAGATGAATTAGTATATTTAGTCCACAGCATTTTTGAGCCTTGAATGTGATCACGAACGTGCATTCTGAACTTGCAAGAGGATAAAGTAGGACTCATCGTCCTATTCTTTGACCACAGAATCCTAGAAAATTTAAAATCAAATTGGGAGAGGGCAAGGGAAAATTCTCACAAATAAATCTATTTTTTATTACAGATTACTGGGGAATGGGTGGCTGTGGGTCCCTCTCCTTAGTTCAGAGGGTTCCCTAGAATGTCTCCAAACTTGAGGAAGAACTTGGGGGAAAGGCAGGGAGAGTTTGGTCTCCATGTGGGTATGGAGAACAGCTCTGGCCGGCCGCCTGCTGGGTTTGCCCGCGCAAGCCCGGATGCGGCACAGAGGGACCGGGTGAGGGTCTCTGGTTTTCACACGGCGTCGCTCTGTGTCTACGGTCCCACCCACCCACGCACCGGGGAGTCCATGGGGGACCTTCGGACAATGATCCCCCACACGGTGACAGCCATGTGGCCCGAGGGAGCGTGAGAGTAGTTGAGACTAGGAGTGGGAACTCCTCGGCTCCGGAGAACCGCGGCATGTGCTTTGGACAGAGCCACTGCCGGCCCCCACCCCGGAGTGGAGCGTTCAGACTCCTCCGACGCCCCTGGTCGCTTCCCTTCCAGGAGGAAGGGTGAGGAGCCTCACTGGCTGGTCAAAGGAAATTTCTGAACTCAGGGACGGGCGGAGCCTCGGAGGCAGACGGACAAAGGCCGTTCTGACCCTGAAGAAATGGTTCCCTTCGTGCATGCCCAGGCCAGAGCTGGTTTCTGTAGAGGAGTCTGATGAACACGGTTTCCCTTGGAGGGTCTTCCTCCCTGTCGGTCCCTTCCCTGCTCAGGCCCTGCACCAACTCCACGGGTTTCCACGCGCACACACTCCCTCTCGGCTTCTCGGCCCCAGGCGTGAGTGGGGCGGCGGCCCTTCCGACCTCTAGCTCCCCCTCTCGCCTCCCCCACGACTCAGGGGCAGCAAACTGCCGAACACGGCGCTTCCCCAGTGACCATGACGGGTTTACCCTGTTCAGTCTTCTCACGCCTCGTCCCCTCCGCTGGGACTCCGTTTTTACTGCCCTCCTCTCCCCCGTGGCAAAACCCTTCTTTACTTTTCCAAGCTGAGCTTTAAAAGAGCCTTTCTGAACTATCAGTCTGGTTGTGATAGGGGCTTAAGACTTGGGAAAATTTAGCTTAAGGTAAATAGTCATAAATCTAGCAAGTCATGTGTATGTTAAGTTTTTGTTTCAGTAACTACAGATCAGGCCCATCCTGGTGCCTGAGAATAAGCAGCTGACCTCCCGGAGACATCTGTACCAGGAAGAAGCAAGTGACTACCCTTCCCCCCTTGGAGGCAACTGTTGAATTTCAAAGGCTTTCGCTGACACCTTGTTTGCCCTCTCCCAACCCCCTTATAAAAGATCTGGCTGGGGAAGAAAGAGTAAGATGGTTTGTTAGGGTATGAACCCGCCATCTTCTTCGATCGCCGGCCATCTGAATCAAGCGCCTATAAAAGATTCAATCACTGTCATTGCTTATTGGATTTGGTGGTGACAGACAGCCCGGACGCCGGTGTCTTTTCCGGTTACAGTTGGGACCCCTCTGTTCCGTGTTCCAGTAACACTCAGGTTGCAGGCCTGTCCCGGCACAGTGCTACCTTCAGGAGCGGCACAGATTCCCCTGGGGTGTCTCCCCGGTGGGTCACCAGGGACCATCGTTCTGGGTCCCGCCACCGAACACAGTAGATCAGGGATGACTGGGGCGTGAAGGAACAGGGAGGGGAGTGGAGGAGAGAAGCTGTTTTAACTCGCTTTGCTGTGACTGACCTCCCCTGGACCAGAGGCCCCGAATGCCGGTGTGCCTTTGGAGGGGGCGGAATGCCGGAAAATTCAGATTTCCGAGCTCCTTCTCAGGTCCCCTGTGTGAGCATCTGTATTTGTGTCAAGTTCTTCATTTCTAAAAAGGGGATTCCCCCAGGCAGCCAGCTCTCAAGGTCACTTCTCTAGGCCTTGTTTTCTTCTAATGCAAATGTCTTCGACTGTGAACTGCTGAGGGTGTGCTTTCTCGGCCCCACCCCCACCCCCACCCCCCAGTCACGTGAAAGAAGAAGGAAAGAAGACTCTTTCCTATTTACCTTTCTGCCTGCAGCGCCTTCTTAGCAGAGCCAGGAGGGTCCCACCGATTGCCAAGCCTGTGGCACAGGCCACTGCGCCCCCAAAGTAAGTCAGAGCTTCCTGGACAGTCAGAGGCCCCGCTGCAAAGCAAACACACGCGTGTGCAAGACTTAGATGTGCACTGAGCAAAAGGCCACCCTCCCAGAAGGGTTCCCACGAATGCTAAAAGGTGTGATCCAGAAGGGTCACTTTGGAAGTCATAAACCACCTTTTATCCCTAACACTTAAATATCAAATGCAATTTTCTTTTTTTTTTTTTTTTTAAAGATTTTATTTACTTATTTTTATAGAGGGAAGGGAGAGAAAAAGAGACAGAGAGAAACATCAATGTGCAGTTGCTGGGGGCCGTGGCCTGCAACCCAGGCATGTGCTCTGACTGGGAATCGAACCTGTGATGCTTTGGTTCGAAGCCTGCGCTCAATCCACTGAGCTACGCCAGCCAGGGCTCAAATGCAATTTTCGAAGGAGTCAGGGTAAGGATGTGATAAAAGGAATTAAATGATTAAATGGTAGACACAAGGAATAGAGTTTTGGGCAAATAAAATAAACCGTGGGTAGCTTTTGTTGTAATAAAAAATACAGCTATAGAACAAAAATTAGTCATGATAAGCTGTAGAGAAAAAAATTAAAAACAAAAGGGTGGAATCTTGACATAAACCTTGCAAACAGATGGAGCTTAATTAAGGAAGGTCTGTGGTATTTTCAGGTTTTAGAGGTATGTGATAAGGTTCTCCCGAGATGAACTAGGAACCTGCATAAAATAACCTTCAGTTTGAAACAATTTGAGACGAGATCGGGTGCTTCAGGAAGACAAGGCCGTAGACAGTGTAGACCAACGTGAAACTTCAAGGTGTATTCCCCGCAGATGATGAAGAAATGAGAGGACTCATTTCATAAATCTCAGCTGTGAAGAAGGGGTGGCAATTGTCTGCACAGGGTCATTGATTTTAGTCCCTTCTGCTCTGTATAAGGCAATTTCTTGCCTCATTGATTCATTGCGAAACATTCATTAAGTGCAGGGAAAACCCAGTGACAGAAAGTGAGACCCACAGAGACCCAGAGAAGAAACACTGATTTGGCTCTTTTCCACGGAGGCGTGGCTCCCTGCACCGCAGCACCGCCGTACCTTGGCAGGTGGGCACAGCCGCGGACCACTGGCCTGTGTGTTGGCACGCTGTCCTCGCCGAGCCAGTGAGCGGTTGCCCCTCTGGACAGTGGAAGGTGCAGGCTGACCCATAGCTGAACTGCCCCCAAGGGTCCGAGCAGTTCATCAGCAGCGGGTCCGCAACGGGCAGCTCAGGGCATTTGACAGCTGCAGGAAAGGGGGGAATAACAGAAGAATGCAGGAAAAACAAACGTGCACACAATGAAGGCGGGAGAGACTCTGGTTTCATCTGCAACCTGGCGGGCCCTGCGGCACATGAGGCAGACTGCGCAAGGTCGGAGAGGGGAGGAGGCCCCCCTGACACGCAGGCTGGCGCCCCCGACATCGCACAGGCACCAGGGTTGCCACCCGGACGACGAGAGCCAGAGAACCGGGGGGGCACAGAGCAGCACCCAACACACGCCTGCTAACAGACTGATCAACCTTGCCTACAAAAACACGATAAAGTGTTGCTTCTCAAAAATGCTATTGTCCTAAATGTTGTTATTAGTACAGTTGGCAATTAGCTGGCATGTATGCACCTGTTATTAAATATTGTTAAAATATTTAGTAAGCGTTCAAGAACCGCTGGACTCTGGAAGTTTGAAAGACGTAGACACCACCACCCTCTTGAAACTATTTTTTTCTGGGAACCTCCAGGTATGCACCCTAATTTGTGGGTAGGAAGCTAAAGCTCAAGCAATTAAATGCAATTCAAATGAACAGTGAGACTAGGGACATTTAGAAGACACGGCGCTGCGTGCCCTGCGTGCGCTGTGTGGGGAGCAGAAATACAGAATGACGTAGTGCTTCTCCGTGTGTGGGGTGACAGCCCTCTGGGAGGTGCCAGGCATGGTGTGTCTTTTTGTTTAGGTTCACATCATGCAAACATGGCATGTTCACCCGGTCGCATAATCACGAGAATTGCAGCTTGTATGTTGTCATTCATGTACCCGGTTTATGTGTAGCATGCTTATTGTCCTGACACACTTTGAACATTTATAAATGTTCCCTCCCTTAGGTCCGTGAGTACCAGGGTGTTAGCCTGTGACGACAGGAAGGCGGGAAGTGATGTGCTTGCCACAGGTGACTTCTAACTGGGCCCGGGGTGGGCTTCGTGGAGGAGCTGACACTGGAAGTGGTCGCTGGGGCTGGATGGGATTTCAGCCGGCAGGCGCCGTGCCTAGCCGAGTGCCAGCTGGAAGTCGGCATCGGAACCGCCTGCCCAGCTCCCGGTACCTGCGCAGGCTGGCGTCGCTGCTGTCCACTGTCCCGACGGCCTGCATCGGAGCTCCCTCTCTCCCCTGAGCGTGAACCCGGCTTGGCATCCGAAGGAACAGGTGGTGTCCGGCCCGAAGGCTGCCAGGCGGTGTCTGCAGGACACGGTGCCCTGCTCCGGAGTGACGAGGGCCGGGCATCGCACTGCTGGCATGGGAGCCGCCGTTGCCCCTGCCGTGAGAAAACGTCTCCATGTGCAGAGCCTACGATAGCCTTAGACTGTCCTGGAATAGCGTCATCCCCTCCTTCATACAGAAGGAAGCTCTAGCCATAGCTCCTTAAGGCAGTTAAGGAAAACTGCTCATCACAGGTATGGGAAACGAGGTACGGAAGACTATTTGCAAGTGTCCTTGGAGAGAGTTCTCCAGGCTGGAACAAGAAACTGGAAGAGTGATGTCACCGATGTTTAAAAAAAAACAAAGAAAGCAGGAGAGTTGGTGTGGAGATACAGGAAATTTAGTAGGGAGCCAAATGGGTGTGGGCCAGTGGCCCGCCCACCCCTGCCTTGTTGGGAGGGGGTGGTGTCCTCTGGCCAAAGGTCAGCATGAAATGTGATGCGTGAGTGACACTACTGGCTCCGCCATCGACACGACACGCGGGAGAAAGAAGGCCTCGGCACCGCCATTTCTTGATCGGAGGAGCCGGGTCAGTGACTCCGCCCCTGTGCTCTCTCTCCACAATGAGACAATGGAGACCAGTCCATCCACCCAACACAGCTCTTTGAGAGAGAGGCCGAAATCACGAGAGAAAATCTCTGCTTCAGAATCAATGCGTCTCTTATTCGCAAATATAAAAAGGTCCCACCACCCCTTATGCGTTTCTAGATCTGAAATCTGGGTTCCCTAGACCCTGTTTCAGAACAAGAAGTGGTGCTTTCATAAAAATCATAATACGAGGTGTCCCCGTCGCAGGGCGAGAGCTCTGTCAGGGTTTGCGACCTCCGCGGAAGCAACTGCCAGGAGGGCCGCCCCAGCGAACGTGTCTTACGACGTTACCTTTGCAGGTCGGCAGGGGTGCCGTCCACCTCCCAGATGCTGCGCATGTGACGCTGTCGGACCCCTCCAGCCGAAAACCCTCTTGGCAGGAGAAACGGCAGGTGGAGCCCACGTTGAATTCTCCGCGCGTGTCGGAACAATTCAGCCTGCCCCGCTCTGGGGCGAGTAGTTCTGGGCACCTGATGGCTGGAGAAGCAAAGTGAGAACATCAGAATCTCCCAGTGCATTCGGAAGCTTTGCTGTGCACCAGGTCGCTCATTCAGGTACTGGACACATAGTTATCGAGCACCTGCTACGCCAGGTGTTTTGCTAAGCGGCAGGCATCCCAGGACGGAGAGGACAGGGCATCTACCACACGGGGCAGGCGGAGGGGGTGGGGGCTCGCAGAGAGGGGTGTGGGCAGAAGGCACAATGATGACGAAGTCCAGGATCGGGGCAGTGAGCTCAAGGACTCAGTTTCTTCTCCTCCCTGCACGACCTCTCCTCCAGAGGCCGGAGAGCCTCCCTCGGCTCCCCCGATCCCGTCTGCGTGGGTGCAGTCCAGGATTTCCCTCCTGCCGAGGGGGCTTCCTCTTAGCCTGCTGTCCCGCAAGTCCCACACATCTGAAACTCCGGGACCATCTGTCCTAAGCGGTTTCCTCCCCAGGTGGTTTCTTTCCACCGCAGCTCCACGGCCCAGGAGAGCTCGGACCCTCCTGCTGAAGCTCCATCAGCCCCTGGGGGTTCCCGGAACGCCCCGTGCGCTGCGGGCTCTGGTTCCCGGCTGACCCCGCCCCCCATGCCTTTCTGCCTCCGCTGGCTGGCACCCCACCGGTCCTCCAGGGTCCGGCTGACCACAGCGCGGTCGGAGCCTCTGCTGACCACCGAGGCCTGAGGTCCCCTCCGAGCACATGGCTTTTGGTTTGAATGCACGTCACGTGTCCTGTCTTCCCACTTCCACGAGACACAGAGCTCCCGAAACCCAGGAGCCACGAGTCCTCGCATGCCCCGCAATTCACACGGCGGGGTTTCAAGTGGGCAGCCATTTGATTTGCCAAGTGTATGAAGACCTGAAATTTAAGCTCACTAATCATTTACCACAAAAATTGGTTTTGTTTTTAAGCCTCACCTGAGGACATTTTTTACTGATTTTTTTTTAGAGAGAGAGAGAGAAACATTCATGTGAGAGAGAAACATTGATTGGTGGCCGTCTGGAATGGGAAATGAACCCACAGCCTAGGCACGTGCCCTGACCGGGAATTGAACCCATGACCTTCGGGTGTGGGACGACACCCACCCAACTTCGTCACACTGGCCAGGGCTCAAAAATTGCTTTTGTGAATTATTGCAGTTACGTATTTCTCTCAGCATTATGTCTTTCTCCTCATTAAATTCTCTCACAGAAGGTTATTATTTAGCAACAAATACTGGGTTATTGGCAAACTGAGTGACTGTTCTTTCTCTACATTCAAGGCTATTCTGAAAAAAAAAATGGCTTGCTCATGTAAGGCCCAGCTTGCTTAGCTTTCTTGCTTAAACAAACAAACAAACAAACAAACAAAACACCTCTTGAAGTCCTACGTGCTACTCCATGGAAAAATGATACATTTGACTTTTATGTCCCTGCTCACTTGTTTTGCGGTGACAGGCCCTTCACTGGAGAACTGTGTGTCCTCACTGTGTGGATCCGCTGCACTAGCCACAGCCACACACCGAATTTCAGTTTAGTGCCCTCGGGTTTTCCGGTAGCTGGTAAATCCGTGTCTGGCCGATCAGTCCCTCTTACCAGGCATTTACTTAGTATATTTATTGGTGTTGGTCACAGAGGTTAAATCACCTGTGAACACCTTCAGATAACTCTTTCAGAATCCGCCAGGATTTCGTATTTAAGCCCAAGAAAATGCATGGCGTGCCAGGTGCCGAGAGCAGGGTCCCCACCAGCTTGTCTCCTTACTGTACCCCAGGGACCGGGGCTGGCACAGAGCAGGGGCTCCAGAATTACTTGCCAAGTGAGCTAGTAAGTTTCTGAGCGCACGGTACTGAGCCTTCTAATGAGTGCTTCTTACTCGGTTTGAACAGAGCAAGAGGAGTTACCGTCTTACAAGAGGCCCATGGCGTACGGGGGGATGACTGCAGTTTTCAGTCTACCTGGGGATGTGGCTTTGGTCTTGACTTTGTCAGTCTCTTCCTGCCGAGGTTTCAGATACACCCTCCCGTATCTGTGAAGGACTCTGGACCCTCTCATGGAAAAATTATCTTTGTTCCACCCAAGGCCTCTCAATAGCTTTAAGACTTTAGCTTTGAATTGTGTAAGGAAGCAGGCTGCCCTGTCTGAGGGGACTCATTTCTCCCCTGGTCACTCTGCCTCTGCCCACTCGGTGGCCCCCGAGTCCCTCTGGTGCACCCTAGGATGCGGGGAACACCACGCGAAAGCCGGGGCTCTGGGCCGGTGCCGGAGGGCTATGTGCTCCTGGACTCCGGCAAACGGGAGAGGAAGAACTGTTTGTGAAGATCTCTGGAACGACTTTGGAGAACGAGATAGAAACACAGGTATAAAGGCCAGAGAGAGCTCAAGGCCAGGCTCAGACACAGGTGACAATGCTGAGTGCCCCGGTTGGCTGGGGCGGCTGCCCAGGGCCAGGGCTGATGCCAGACTAGGGGCGGGGCTCAGCCCGCAGGGTGGGAGGCTGCAGCCTCTTCCTGTGGAGAAAGGGGGGCGGGAAGGGGGGTGTGGGGGGGTGCGGGGGCTTCAGAGGTTCCAGATATAACGACCACGTTGGCTGTGTATATGATTTAAAACTTCAGTGAGATAGTTCTCACAGGTTGGTTTTTTGTATTGTTTGACCTTAAAACAGAACATGGGAAAACGGAGTTCAAGATCAATGTTGATGGAATAAATAAATGAGTGAGAAGTAAGTGAATGGCGATGGCCTAACTGTCACCCGAGAGCGTTCCAGGGCCCCTGGCAGCTTGTAGTGTGTCCTTCTGACAGCAGGTGGCAGCATTTTATGTCCTTTAACCTGCAGCACCCTTGGCCAGGGGGAGACCCCAGAGAAGGATCAGGTGGTCCCCTCCTCTCCTTTCTGAATCAGGAACACTGCCCCCTGAGGGTGTGACGAGACTTTCTAAAATGGCACAGGACTTCGGGGGAGAATGACAGTGGTCTTTGGAGAGCAATCTGTGCTCGTTCCACAAGGAAGAATAAACAATATCTTAGCTGTATTTCATAGAATGCTAATGACACATTCCTATCAACATATTCCCTCATCTGGTCACCAGGCACCGCTGTTTCCAAAGTTCATTTCAGCAGCCACAACTGCAGCCTGGGGCACAGTATAAGGATGAAAAAGGATGCACGTATAAGCAACTGCCCCAGGATGCAGAAACCCCACCACTGGGTGGCAGTGTAGGGTAGTGGTGAGGACACCAGCTCTATCGGCGGACTAGACCTGGCTCGGGAGGCTGGCGCCATGCCTCCTAGCTGCGTGTCCTCCGCCTGCTATTTATTCTCTCAAGGCCTCAGTTTCTTCATCTTTAAGATGGGGATAAGAAGAACCGTGGTAAAGGTTCTTGCATGGGTTGCATGTGGTCATGCATGTGAAATAGCCGGTGCTTACTACACAGGCAATGAAGGTCACTGCTGGTCTCATTATCAGTGAGTACACTGAACCATAAATTGGTACAATGGTACCTTCCGAAGGTAAACATGACCTGTGGTTAATCAATTCAGTAAATTCCCATTTTAGAGTACACTATATACTAGGTACTGCGACCGCCAGATGTTTGGGGGAAACCAAAGACTGAGGAGATCCAGCCCCCACTTTTGATGATTTCACTAATGTCACCGTCCGTAGGGCTTGTGCTGGAGTCCCTTTTACCCGCAAATCGGATAAGCTCCGATTCGACAGATATTTGTCGCTCGGCCACCTTCTCTGTCTGGTTGCTGCGGTGGACACGAGGATGCAGAGGGTGCAGCTCCTGCCCTCACGGAGTTTGCACCCCTCATGGGCATGGAGGGAGGGGAGAAGCACACAGGAGTCAGGCTGAGACCCTCCAGGGCTCGGGCGCCGGGCTGTGCCCGGGAGAGGCGCGTGCAGGAGCGAGCGAGCGGAGCCCGCGGTAGACAAAGCCTTTGCAGGGAAGGAGAGGCCCCGTGTGGTGGCTGCGCTCAGCCTTCTCCCACGGGTGAGTGCTGACCAGCTGCTTGCCCTCTCTGACCCCGTCTCCTCGTCTCTAAAACGGAGATGACACTGCCCGCCCCCGTTGTTTCCGAACCGTGGTAACCATCAATGCCACTGAGACCTGAGAACACTTTAAAAAGCTGTGCAGTTGTCAGCTGAACTTATTAGTGTAAGGACAGAAAGAGAGGCGGGGGAGGGGAGCTCCTTTGGGCCTGGACCGCCATGCCTCGGGGAGAGTGCGTGTCCTTTAGCTTAAGACAGTTTTCCACGAACCCCGTCCTATAGCGTTGCCTGAGAAGCCCTAAGAACACACAGACCTGTGATCCTACCTTCACACGTCGGTGGGAGGCCTGTCCAGTGTCCAGATGCAGTGCAGTCCAGACTTTGTAGTCCCGTGAGAGAGAATCCCTCATCACAGGTGAAGTGACAAGTGGACTTGTAAGTGGAATGTCCCAGAGGCTGGTCACAGGTCACCGTTCCATTCTTTGGGCTTGGCAGCGGTGTGCAGGTAACGGCTAAAGGGGTGTGGCAGAGGAGGAGAGAAGAGGCTGTTTTAGAACCCAGGAGCCCGACAGTTGTGTGTGTGTGTGTGTGTGTGTGTGTGTGCGTGTGCGTGCCTCAACACACGCGGGCAGCGTTCGGCCAGAAAGGGCTGCATCTCCCGTCACAGGTCCTGGAATGCAGCAGCGGCTGCCGGCTGACCCACACCCCAGGGCTTTGTCTGTGAAGACAGCGGTGCAGCTTGCTCCAGTGGCTCGTGTTAGGGCTGGAAGTGGCTGCTTCCTTAGCACTTTTTGCAGAAACGGAACTCTGACCTTGCCAGAAAACACTGGCAAGCGCCTGGAGATTGGAAAGTGGAGTAAAGTGCTTTCCTCTCCTTCCAACTGTCCTTGCCCCGCCCCAGGGGCAGAAAGACCCCGCCCCCGTCACTCGCCAGCACCGTGTCTGGACGGCACACACTCCGAGCCTCAGTTTCCCCACCTACGAAATGGGAAAAGTAGTCGTCCTCACCTTGCAGGGACCTTCAGTTATATAAAAATAAGAAATAATTTAAATCACATATTAAAATGGAATGTAAAAATCGTGGACATAAAGCGGACATTAATGTAAATGACCATCTGCCAGTGTCTCCCCAGTGGCCTCATCCTGCAGTGACCAGTCTCAAATGACCCTACCTGTTTACTTGTGGAAAAAGGTTACATTAGATCTCACTTTTTTCTTTGTCACAGTTTATGCATATAGAGATTGAGGTACCAGGGGACTGGCTGGGATTGGAGACCAAGCTCTGTGAGTTTTGGCAAGTGACTTAACCTCTCTGAGCCTTGATACCTTTACCTTTGAAATGCAGAGAATAGCATTCCATAGGCCCAGGGTTTTCCCAGGGACCCAAAGTGAAGACACCACATGCCAATGCTCATAGCCGACGACGTGTCGATGGCAAAAAATGAAGACCAAGAAACACACGGTTTAGGGTGTTTCTTCTTCCCTGTCTGACCCGAGTGAGCCGTGTGTGGCGTTAGACCAGAGACAGCGGCAGTGTGGCTGAATCTGAGACCGTCCTTCAACCACTGGCTCGAACTACTTGAGGTTTTGAGAACATTTTCTGTACCTTTCTCTTCCCTTCATCACTTCCCCTGTTTAACTACATCCCTCCCCCCAGTCTGATCAGCTTGCCCAAAGACCTCACTTTTCCCTGACTCTTGAAAAGTCTGTGCATTCAGGGCACGTGTGTGTGTTGGGTGGGGAGGTGTGGGGGGAGGGTGAGGAGGACAGGAGAAAGGTCAGCGGCCTATAATCCATAAGGACAAAGAGGGAGCCGGTCTCCAGCTCTGCTGTGGCCTTGCCTCCCGACAGCTGGGGCGGGCACACAGGGGTGGGAGGGGCACTGAAAAGGGAAATTGATAACACTGTCTCAGAAGTGTTACAACAGCTAGTAGATTGCAAGCCTCCTGGTACCTTCCTGCCCAGCCCACATGTGGGTATTGCGCTGGATGCTCACCCAGCAACGAGAGGAGAAAGTTCAGAGTAAACAAAGAACCAAAAGCAGAAGGGAACTGGCAGGTCACAGGAAGCCGCGGTGCGTGTCAGCCTCCTGGCAGTGAAACGCCCCCACGCAGGACAGTGTGGGGCAATGAATGGTAATCGGCCCCGCACGGCCCAGGGCGGCCTGGAGGACTTCTGATCACTGCGGAACCCTCTCCAGGGTTCTTCCCAGTTCCTCCCCAAAGCTGTGGGGACCTGGTGACCACATGGCCAGGCTGCACGGTGGCCAGGAGAGGTGGGGGGCAAGATCACACGCCTCACCCTGGCCCCCCCAGACCCAGCTGGGGCTGTGCACCCACCCCAGCTCCAGCGGCTGGCGGGCTCCCTGTGCCTGGGGGTGGGGTGGGGAAGGCCATCGGGTGCTGCTGGGTCCGTTCATTCATTCATTCACTCATTCGTTCTCCCACTTGTTTGCCGTTGCCCCAGCTTAACGATAGAGAGAGAGAGAGAGAGTGTGTGTGTGTGTGTGTGTGTGTGTGCATGCTGGTGTGTGACCTGAAGCGCAAGTGGTTTCCTCTCCATTAAAAACATGTGTCTGCCTGCGCTCGCTCAGCTGTTGAGAGCTCGTGCAAAGTGAAGGGGAACAGTGTTGGCCAACACTGGGGAACTGCGGCCAACAGTGTTGGTGCAGACCGGCTGGTGTTCTTCTTGTTCAACTTCAGTTTTAAAGTTGTGCGAGCATCAGGACAACACTGACTGCTTGGAGGGGACAGTGGACAGGGAAAGTACTGGAGGGATTCATGAGAATGCCCAGAGTGTCTATTTTCAGGCGGGCATAGTTTTAGGGGATTTTTATTTTCTCTATTTTCTTATCTGTAGCTTTTGTAAATGTAAATATTGATTTTTTAAAAAGCAGTGTGTGCCCTAAATACAACTAAAAATTGGGCACGTTAGGTGGCAGAAGGAAGGGGGACGATAAACGCATACACCTGTCCTTGCGTTCCCCAACACAGATGATCACAACCAGCTGCATTGCGTACGACATGGACAGAACACGTCGGCTTTGTTTTATATCAAGTGCAATACAGACGGATGTGCTTATGCTGGATACGCACTTTTAAAATTCTTAACATTTTATAACCTTGCATTTATAGATTAATTTCTTCCTCTTCTTTGTCTCTTCACTTTACCCTAAGTATATTTCTGCAAACTTACGCCAGATTTGGAGGGTGTTTGCAGCCAGACACCTGTAAGTTTTGCCCCTCCCCGTTCCACCACGAGACTTCCTAGGGGTGAAGGTCAGCCTTGGGACGGCCCTCCTTGGGCTACTTTTGTTCCCTGGCCTTCCTTCCAGGCACTAGCTTTAGCCAAGCAAGCACAGCTCACCTGGTTCATGACGGCAGTTTCATGGGCTGCTGCAGGCCCTGGTGCATGGCTGGTTGGCGGGGGCCACTCCCTTCACCCATTGCCCAGCGTCCTACCCCTTGCACTGCCTGCCCAGCCCCTGGGGGCATCTAAGGTCTGAATCACTGGGTTAGGGATAAAAGGGCGCATCCAGTTTTCACTCCATCTCAGCTCTCTGGGTGCTACACAGTCCCTACTTCTAAAACAGAGCCTTTTCGATACAGCCTACAGTTCATTTCCCGGAAGCTGGGGAGAATGTAGCTCACCTCGGCACTCTGGAAGGTGCGCGCTCCAGGCCCCCGTCGCCAGGCACTGCAGCTCGCTGGCGCCCGCCAGGACCGAGCCTTCGTCACAGGCGAAGCTGCAGGTGGACTGGTACTGAAAGGCACCGAAGCGGTGGGTGCAGTTCATCCGGGCCCTGTCGGGAGCCCGCAGACCCTGGCACTGCAGAGCTGAGGGAGAGGATAGGAGGGAGTGAGGGAGCAGGACACAGGGGTATGCAAGCACTCACCGATCCCACCCCTTCCCCCAAGCGGGTGCCAAGAACAGAGATTCCGAATCTGTTGCGTTTAACCTGGAGGATGAGAAGAGTGGCATTTAATCACAATGGCGCGTGAAGGATTTTATGAGGAAAATGCCATTGTTCAACATTTTGGCGATATGTATGAATGATTTCAAAATATCATACTGTTGGACCCAAGAATCTATGCTAAGTATAATTAATCAACATGCATACGGGAAAAATCAATTCATTGATTTTTTAAAATTATGACATGATTTATAAGAGCAAAATATTGAGAACAAATGTCAGTGCCACTGAGCAGAGGCTGAAAATAAATGATGGTAGGTCCATGAGAGGGACACTGAGGGCCCCTAAAAATGACATTGTTCACCTTGAAAAGCTATGGAAAGCGTCTTATGGTGTGGTGTTAAGTGAGGGGGCAGAACATAAATTGTATGGCCTCATACACCACCACCTCCTCCGTCATGTAAAACAGATGGTCAGCCGTGGAGAGAGCACTTGGATTCTAGGTGCGTTAAGCCTTATGTTTGCATTGGGAATGAGGACCGTAGCCCCCTCAGGGAGTTAGACTCAAATGCTCAGCACGTCCTATCTGCTGGGACCGTGATCAGGGGTCGCAGCAACAGCAGCGGCGGCAGCAGCGGTGACAGGCAGCAGGGATATCACTGCAGCTGGGCACCCGGTGCAGACGGCAGCTGTCAGAATAGAAACACTGGGGAGGCTGGTCAAGGGGGCTCTTGGGCCCACCTCTGTGGATGCCTGCAAGAACATCCAGCCATCTCTCCTGGGTGGTCTGCCTGCCTGGGGACAAGAGCGGCGCCCGTGAGCCCTCAAGAGCCCGCCCTCCGAAGCGTCTGAGTCTTTCAGAGGTGCGTCTGCTGCACGTCTCCCTGCTCTCACCGGCCCCACCTCCGTGGCGCACGGTCATCTGCTTCCCCGCCGCCCCTCTGTTCCCCCAACTTTCTTTGTGGTAAAATACACATAAGGTGCAATTTACCCTTCACCACCTACCCGTTCAGTGGTGTGCAGTGCATTCCTACTGACCATAGCTGCCATTCGGCTCCAGAACCATTTCCATCCTCTTAACCTGCACGCCATACCAGCCACACAGTAACTACCCATCTACTGTTTCCCCAGCCCCTGGCAAAGACCCTTCCGCCTTCTGTCGATGACCCCGACGACTCCAAGTACCTCCTATAAGTGGAATCGTACAGTATCTGTCCTTCTGTGACTTGCGTGTTTCCCTTAGCCTAACGTTCTTGAAGTTTATTCATGTTGTGGCGTGTGTCCGAATCTTTTCCATGTTAAGGCAGGACACTGTTGCATCACATGTTTGTGCCTCATGTTGTTGACCCACGCATCTGCTGCTGGGCCCTGGGCGGCGTCCGCAGTCCAACCGTGATGGTGTGCTGAGCACACAGGCGCGCTAACCCCGTTTCAGGACACTGGCTTCAGACCGCTGCCTTACTTTTCGATCGGACTCAGGGACTCACGTGGATTTCCCAGAGGTCCCAGTGCCGGCATCCGTGAAGCTCATCGCGGTTTTAAGCTGGGTTTGCGCACGGTAACGGACAAGCACTAGTGGGCAGGCAAGGAAGGGAGGTGACGGCTCTCCCGGGTCACAGAAGACCCGGAGCCTCCGGGAGACCAAAGCGTGTTGCCAGGACGTGACAGGACTAGACTAAAGGCCTTGTCCGTTACTCCTCCGCCGTCCCATGCTGTTGTTCTCGCCCCGCTCCTTCCTCCCTACCTGTCTCCTTGGCGCCAACCCACCCCCTAAGTGTCCATCAACATGCGTCATGAACACGTTGTGCCTACGACAGGCTTTGCTCCCCGTGTCCTCCCTGGTGCTCAGCACAAAGGGCCTGGCACACAGTAGGCTCTTTGCGAGTGTGTGATGAATAAATGAACGACTGTAGCAAATGCAGACGCGGATGCCTTTGCCAGGCTGAGTGGCGCAGAGGAATGTTCTGATGCCATCGTACCTTGGCAGACTGGGGCTGGCGCCGTCCACTGCCCCGTGCCGGCACACCGGACCGTGTCGGCTCCGCTCAGCACGAAGCCGCCCGCACAGCGGAAGCTGCAGCTGGCGTTGTGCTGAAATGGTCCCGAGGACGGGGCGCAGGCCACGCTCCCATGGGCGGGACTCGCCAGGGGCTCGCAGGCAACGGCTGAAAGGAGAAGGTCACGGGCTGAGACGGGGTAACGGATGGCTCGGTTCCTTCTCAGAGAGCCCCCGGGAGAGGCTGCCTCTTTCTATCCACGTGGTCCGGATGTCCAGACCCACTTTCCCAAAGGGAAACTGCCAGAACACTGCCCCATGCCACCCTTTGCCTAGGTCACTCACCTGCTCTTTTAGGTGTTGGGAACGGCCCTGCCTGGTTTCAGGAACTGTAACCCCCCGTGGCTAAGGCTGAGTGAGTGACCTTGGGACCATAAGCCACTAAGGAGACAAAGCTTATCTCCCTGGCAGGGGCACCGCCTCGGTCCCTTTTACTTCACCCTGCCTGACCCCCAATGCATGATCAGTTAGCCAATGATGGGTAAGATTCCTCAAGGGAGGGATGACCTAAACAGGCACAATCATGGGGATCCCAGGGAAGGACTTGGGGGGCTATAGCAAAAAGGGGTAATGAATTTTCACCCCTCAGCGTTGACATAGCCTGAGTCCTCATTGTGTCTGCGAGAAGTCTCCTAATCTCCTGGCTGCCTTACTTCCCCCGCCTGACTTAAGCCTGAAACAATGACAGAGGGGGGTGCAGCCCTGTGCTGGAAAGGGCAGGTTCCCCTGGGTGGTCAGGCCTAAGAAAGAATGCATAAACTCCTGTGAAACCTGCTTTACTAAGAATGCTCTCAGTTTTCTGATAAGGATCTGAGCAGGAAATGAGTTTGTTTCCCAAAGTTTTGTAGCCCTTCAGCTAACAGACCCTGACTCAGAATAAGCCCTCCTAGTTCTTTGTATGTTATCTATTGCTTGATCCTTACTGCCTGACAATGATTGATGAGCTTTATCCGTATTCCTGTGCAAACTGAACCCAATCAAAGCCCACTGAGGAAAAGGCTCTTGGCCCTTCTCCTTTGGGAGATCAGCCACCTTTCCTCCCCAAGCAGATCATGTGCTGGTAGACTTATTCTCCTCCCTGGTGGCTGGGGGTGGGGGCGGGGGGCCTGCGGGTAGAGCCCCCCCCCCACATCTAGTCTCAGCTTAGACTTCACTTTCTTTAAGAACCTCCTCTGCCTACCCCAACTCAGGGGTAGGAACCACACCCCCACCCCTGTGCTCCCACGGCCCCTGTTCCCGTTCATGCACTAGTGTGATTCTGTTTGTGCACTAGTGTAATTCTGTTCATGCACTAGTGTAATTCTGTTCACGCACTAGTGTGATTCTGCCCTTGGAGCACAGCCTCCTGAAGCCTGGAGTCTGTCATTCTCCATCGTAACTCAGAGCCTTGCAGCGCCCGGTGCGGCCAAGGTGCTCTTGAAGCATGTGCTGGCGTTATTTATGGAAGGGTAGGTATAGAACAGGCTGGACTTTTAGGGAAAAGCTGGAATAGCATAGCTTATTGCCCACACTGTGTTATCTCGCCCCAGGCGCTTTGTCTCTGGAATACAGGATGTCATCCTCATCAGCCTTCGGTTGCCAAGGGAGCGCGGCCCGACGTGAGTTCCTGAGCACAGCGAGGCCCCGAAGGACCTTAGTTCTGATAAGTTTGGTTTCCTCGCACTCTTCCCTGATAAAGCATTTCATCTCTAGGCTGGCTGTTCTTGGTTTTTGGTTTGGTCTTTTTTTTTTTTTTCTAGAAAGAACCACCCTTACACCCTGGGCTTAGACGTCTGGTTTTCACGTGTAAGAACCAGAGACGCTGTAGGGTTTCTCTCTCACGTTACAGACAAGGAAAGTGAGGTTCAGCAAGTTTCAGCAACTTTCCTGGAGCCTCCTGTCTAGACACTAGCAGAGGTGGCTTGCACCCGAGGTCTCATAGGAATTCACTCAGCCAGGTTTTAATTTCCTGCAGCCCTGTTCTTCCTTCCTGCCTTGTCAACGGGGCGGGTGGGGGTGGGGCGCTTGCACAGAATTCGCCTCTGCGGTGCTAGTTCACTGCCTGGCATTGCATCACAGCCTCTCTTTCAGTGCAGTGTCCCTTCTTCCTCTGTCACAGGCCACCTTCAAAGGCTACCAAGAGTAATCTCCTTTATTTTGTCCTAATAGCCACTGCTCTGACTCCCTGTCAAACGTAGGACATTGCCCCGTGTGTATGCCAGCAGGGCGGGAGGGGGAACAGGAGGCAGAGACTAAGGGGCTCAGCTCTGTGCATGGCACTTTATACATGCCATTTAACTGCGTGCGTTTTGTATGCTTCACCCTCACCAGAGCCCCTTGCAATTCTCAGCTCCTTTCGCAGAAGAGAAAGCCATGCCTCCCGGAGCTTGGGCAGCTTGCCCAGCGTCAGAGCCTGGAGGAGGCGATCTTCCCACTGCTCCGTGCCTCCCTCCTGGGTTCATGGGGGCTGCTGGAGGAACATCGCAGCCTCGCAGGCTGGCAAGGGTGCGGTCCGCTGGGCGGGGCCGGGGCCGCAAAGTGTGTGCCATCCCCCCTCTCTGGATAGCCAGGTCCCACTTGAATTTGCAGCTGGAACCACGTGCAGAGGCAGCCCAGACATGGGCACAGTGCTCGGTTCCTTTGTCGGGGCCTCCCAGAGCTGACATGGCCCAGCTGGAGAGAATGCCCAAGGACAGAGAGAGGCCTGAGGAGGGGGAAGGGCCATGCCACAGCCGGAGAGCCGCACAGAAGCACCTCGAAGGAGGGCTGGTGGGGTAGGAAGCTGTGAGGCTTAGGGGAGCCTAACGCTGTTGGTCCAGACACACAGTACCAAGCTGCAGGGCGACCTCAACCTCTTAAAAATCAGACTCCAATGTCCTCTCTTCTCTCTCCCTTTGCACCCCTGTCCCAGGAGGCCTTCTGGTGTCTACCTACAGGTGTGGATGCCACCTGTTCCTGCTCACGTGAAATCTGTGAATGAGATCATTCTGACCCTACCTGAGGGCTGTGAGTTTGCGAGGAGGGAAGATTTTTTTAAGTTATACTTCTAGTAAACTCGGCCTCTTACTTTTCTAGAGCCCAGCGCTCTGTTCCTGTGCCAAGCTGCAGCCACGTGCTGCGGGGGAGGTGGAAGGACAGTCAGGCTGTGGCCAAGCGGGCCCGCTTCTCCGTAGCCGGCCAGGGTCCCCCGTACTCCCGGCCAGCACTGGGTGTGGTGGACGTCGTGCATGCCCCGCCTGCTGCGACTCACCTCTGCACACGGGGGGCGAGGCCGTCCACACCCCCGAGGCTGTGCACTGCACCAGCTCCGGCCCAACCAGGACGGATCCCTCTTCGCAGCTGAAGCTGCAGCTGGACTGGCCGGGGGGCGCACCCGCAGCGTGCAGGCAGCGCATGCTGCCTCGCTCGGGGGGCCGCAGCGGTGGGCACGGGGTGGCTGAAAACAAGCACAGGCCGTGCTGTGAGCACCTGGGGAGCCGAGGAGGACACCGCAGCAGCGGGGTGCCTTCCCAAAGGGACAGGCAGGGCGATGGGTTTGGTGGCGGCTTAGGTGGTGTTTGTGTTAGCTGTTTGGAAAGATCCAAGCACCCTGATTTTTCATTTACTTTTTCAGAGCAGCAAGGCCAAATGATCAAGTTAGTGATATTCACCCCCAAGTCCTCCTTATCTCACTCTGTGCAATTTGCAGTCAACAAAGGAGAGAGGGCCCTTTGCAGTGTTTTTGCCTGAGAACCAAGACTCAAGCAGATTGTCCCACTCTACAGGGACAAAACACCACGGAAATCAAGACCAGGGTTCCTCTGGCTGATGGGCAATAGCAGTAACCAGAACTCCTCACCGACTGTAGGTCCTCATTGTTTACCATTGTGCTCAGTGCGGAAAGCCCCTTCTCCCCCCTGAAGTTCAAGGTGTCGGTGAGGGCGGAAGGCATAGGATCTACGTACCCACACAGCTCGGGGGCTTGTTGGACCAGGTTCCCGAAGCCAAGCATTCCAGCTCGCGGGCTCCGTCCAGGGTGTACCCGTCGGCGCAGTGGAAGCTGCACTGTGAGTGGAAGGAGAAGTCTCCCAGGGGGTGGCTGCAGTTCATGAGCACGCGCTGGGGGAGCTCCAGGGCCCCGCACTCCCTGACTGTGGGGGGGCGAGATAAGGATCTTTTCACTGGAGGCTTAAAGGCAAGGTCAGCTTTGCTGGACGCTGCGACAATTTGATTAACCCTCCTAACCCTGTCCCTCCACGCTCCTCACCCCATGGGTCCTTTTAGTTCCTTTGTACGGGCTGCATCTGGGGAAACACCCGTTCTTTCACTGGTACAATATTCGCCTAGCTTTGCTGCCTTACATCTCCCCTTTACCTCCTGAGATGGGATGGCAAGTGTTCTCCCCAGGAATAGAGTGGTTTTAGAGTGCGTGTCTAGGGGCACCTGAGTGGGGCAGAGGCCGGGTGGTGGAGAAAGCACAGCCCCAGCGCCACGGCGGGATCCGCGGAGCGGCGGCCTCACCGTATTCGCAGTCCGGTCCGTAGAAGCCGGGGTAGCAGGAGCAGGTGTAGTTCCCGATGGTCTCGATGCAGTCCCCTTGTCGGCTGCAGGCCGCATCCCGGCAGGAGGCTGCGTGGGGGCGGAGGGGTCAGTGCTGGACAGCCCAGCATGTGCAGAGGGAAGCTGGGTTCTTGCTCCGAGCCACGGGCTCAGCCCCTCTCAGCTGAGGCTGAGCCGGTGAAATGACACCAAACCTCAGGGCCGTTTGGAGAGCTGGCCTGGCCCCTGTGAAGGGCATCGCCGGGTCTCCATTCGAGCTGCTTTTCTCTTGCCTAAGGAGGGACTCCTGTGTGTGGACACAGAGGGACAAGCAGAGCCACCGGCAGAAGCGTAGACAGGAACTCCTCTGCATGGTACCAAATAGGCTGTGCCTTTTCACCCGAGATTGTGCACAGCGGTTATTATTCCAGCCACCCTATGGCAGGTGTCACGGTGCGGAGGCTGGGGGTCACACGCACACGACCACGACCCTGGCTCTGCTGCCTACTCGTGACCTTGCCATGACCTCAAGCAAGGTCCGGCACGGAGCCCGACCTGCGCACTGTCAGGGCCCAGATACCTTTAGTCTGTTTCAAATCCGTGCCCAGTGCCACAGGGCAGAGGACCAGAGGACCAAACGAGAGTTTGAAGACCTGCTCTTGGTAAAGGACACATGGTTTTGTGAGAAGATGTTGCAAAGGTCTAAACAGGCCAGGTTTGGGTGGGGCAGAGCCTGAGCGAGCTGCCGGGCCCTCCTCACTGAGTCCGTGCCACTGGGCGACAGGCAGAGGGAGATGGGCCAGCAGGAGACTCTTCGCGGGTGAGTGCACTGTGCAGTAGGGGGAGGGGGTGTTCGAACTGACGCTGTCCGAGCGCTGAGAACGTTTTCATTGATATTTTTGATAGCGGGCGCCAGGTCTGTGGCTGGACTGTCTTCTGGGGGTTTCCTGTTCACTGAGCCCTGGCCGTGCACTGGGCCCACTTCTGGCTCCTATTACAAGAGGAAGTCCCTAGGTCACAAGGAGGACTCTACTCGATGCTCTCTCTGTTTCCTCTCAACTCTGAGGTGCTGTAAACCTCTACAACCCCCGCAAGGCTCTGCAGAAGCTCCCATGGCCGTCAGAGAGCTTGGTGAAGCTGCACTGAAGCGCTGGGAGAGGCCCCAAGCAGAGACGACGCAGGAGGCAGCGGTCGCTGGTAGACAGAGGCTGGGGCCTCATGGTGCACCCTGCGCGCTCCGACCCCCGGCGCCTTGCAGGAGCGCTGCCCGCCCTGTGCTCTCAGGGCGCACGGGCTTTGCTCGGACTGTGGCTTCCCCAGGACCTCAGAGCCCTAGGAATAACAGAACAGCCCGTGTTCGGTACTCCACTCCTTCACAGGGTTTCGGTCCCCTTAGTAACTTGTCTGTTCTTTGGGATCTCCAGGAAAGAAACTAATGATGATTCAATGAGTAAATATTTTTTTTTTTTTTTTTGAAAGCCTATTCTGAGACCTAACTACAAATCCCGACACTTACGGAATTATCCCAACTTCATTTCTTGTTGCAGTGTATATATTCTCCTCTGTCTCCTACAAAGAGCTGACGGGTCTCTACACTTTCTCCACTCGGATGGCCAAACGCCAGCCCATGCTGGTGGAGGGGGGAGCCAGCGGTACTGAGTATAAAACTGTGCCAGTCAGTGGTGTCTGCTGATGTTGCAGCTCAGATGGGTGGCATCGCTCACGCCAGTCATTTTCAGTCTCCTTTCAGTCCTGTAACTTTTGCGCCTTTTATTGGAAAAGACTATCTTGCCAGTATGGACCGCGGGGGCTGGCCGGGGAGTGGGAGCCATGGCAGCCGAGCCCGTCAGACCGGGTCAGCTCTGCACCCAGCAGGGGGTGCCTGGGGTAGCTGGCGCACGAACCGATATCCTGCTGGTGTCCATCTTGGCCTTTGAAGAGCAGCCATTCATGGCTTTAATAACAAGTTATTTATAAAATGAAGCCTGACTACATGACGAGGCATTTATGGATGTGATTCCCCGCAGCTAGGAGGCTCGGGTGAGGAGCAAGAGGAAGCGGAAGGAATACTCTAGACTGTGTATTCTGTTCCTATTGCTGAGGACCCGTGTGGGGGTTAGTTTATAGTCTAAAGCAGTTAGAACATACGCAGGAGAATGTGACATCTGTAAGAGGACTTATGAAGGGGGAAGCTCAGGACTGGCGACACCAGCCCCAGCGCTCATGTGCCACGCAGGGCAAGAAGGGCTCCTCTGGCCGGGCAGCCACATGGGGAAAAAGGAGTCAGTTCTGGCCCTGGGCGCATGGACCTGGGGAGACCGAGCTGTCGTGCATGTCTGCTTAGTCTGGGGCTGGGAGAGCTGAGAATCGAATACACTCACAGGGTCTCATCTTCAGTTCTCTCATCCCCTCCCTCATCTCTCAACCCCCGCCAAAGTCCCACGGACCTGAAGATATGTCGTCATGGAAGGGAACCCATGAAGCATTTGTGATCCTCGATCATGTTCTCAAATTGTCTGGTAAGAATGTAGAGCGAGGAGTGTGGTGGTCTACCTGGCTCAACAAGACCAGCTTTGCAATCAACACGAGTGTCAAAGTGGCTCCATCATCCTGAGCTTAGAGCCTTGGGCAGATTCCTTCAAGGCTCTGAGACTTTCCTCCTTCAGCAAAATGAGAGTAGTAGGAGGAGTGATGGAGGAGGGTCTCCTACCACAGGACCAGCTGCCACTGATGCAAAACGGTCTCACGACCCCTGAGCCGATGACGACGCCTGGGGCATACTGATGTCCTGTGGGTGTCCCTTACAGCTGTGTGTCCTAGGGGTCGGGCTGAGTCCCCGCCCAGCTTACACTCTCTCTCATTCTAGGGCACGGTGGTGCCAGAAGGCTCTGGACATACCTGTTAGGAGACTGAAACTTCCTGAGCCCCCTGTGCCATCAGCTACAAAATGAGAAGGACACGGTAGATGGTATTAAAGTGGCCTTCTGGTTTCGGAAGCCCAGTTGGCTCTACGCCTGACCCCCTATTCTTCAAGGTGCTCAGTAACGCCGCTGGGTGGACAGTTCACCCTGTGTCCACGTCCCTGACTTTGTGCCTCCGTGTCACTGACTCAGGGACTGTGCTCGTGAACCAGGGGCGGCACTTCCCGTGTCAAACAGAAAACTGCAGGGCAGAGGAGACCCCACCTGTGTAGCAGAGCGCCCGCTTCCTCTTCCCGCACGGCTCGTCGTTCCACTTGCCGGGGGCCGACACGCTCTTGATGTAGATCTCCACGCAGTCCTGGTTGTTCTTCTTGTTGTTGGGCTCGTCGTCGGCCCAGTTCTCGGCCTCCTTGGTGAGGGTCTTTTTGGTCCCCACCCAGGTCCAGTTATTGTTGATCTTCCGGATCCCGATCCAGTAGTAGTCCTTGTAGTAAGGTAGGACGTCGTTAAGGTAGGCGATCTCGTCTTTGTTCTGGATGGCCACCAGATCCGTGAAGAACCGCTGGCAGAACAGGCGGGAGGAGTTCCACGAGTAGGGGCTGCTGCTGTAGTTGTAGGTCCACGCCGCCACGCCGCACTGGCCCGTCAGCTCTGCGGAAGGGGCGGGGAACAGGGGAGTCAGCGTGTCCAGCCAGGGGCAGCTGCGAGTGGAAGTGCACTTCCGTGGAGTCGGCGAGTTTTCAGCCAGAAGGCGAGTACCCCACACGTGACTCTTTGGTGTCCAGTCGAGTTGTTTTAAGGAAAAAGACTGGTTTCCAACTTTCATTTAAAAGGGAACATGAAATCGTAATAGGGAAAATGACCTGTTCTGAGGATGCTTGGAACTGAAGGTTTGGAATCCTAAGGTACCAGAATGGGAAGGGACTTTAGAAGTCATCTCATCTTCTCCTTTTATAAATGGGGGGGGGAGGGCATGGTAAGTAATTGGCCAAGTCCAAGCTAAATGACACCTACGACGTCCCGAGGACTGCCTCCTGTCTACCTGTGCTAGCCCTTCCCGGGGAGACTAAGGTGCACTGTGACCCGGAGCCCACATGCTGGCCCCGCCTCTTCGCCCTCACATTTACATTCTTAGCAAGACAGAACGCCGATGCCCACGCCTCTGCGCATGTTCTTCCTGCCGTCCTGGCTGCTCTCCCCACCCGGGCCCGGTAAGCTCTCCCTCCTGCTTTCCCTGGCACCCCAGGCGCACTTGGCGCTCCTCCCTCCGGGCTCCCCTGCACCTCAGCTCTGCCTCCGCCTCCCTCCTGCCCTCCCGCGTGGCAGCGTGTTTCCGTGTTCGCACGGCGCGGTCCACACCTGCCGGGCCTGGTCCCTTCCCAGCTCTGGGTTCCTGACACCGAGCAGACAGCCTGGTGGTGCTTAACGGGCACTCGGTGAGCGCCGGTTGGGTGGGACACGGCAGGTCTGTGGCAGAGGCGGGTTAGAAATCAGACCTGCTGACTTGCCGTGGGACACTCAGTCCACAGCTCTAGGCCGTTCCTCTTTGATAAACCACTTCCCCTGTCTCTGCGCACTCACGCGCCGAAGTCCTCCTACACAGGCCTGTTAAAGAAGCGCTGGTGCTACCCAGTGACGTAAAGAATGAGCCCCCCAAATGTGTGCAGGGCGAGCACGGGAATGCAGGCCCCGTCTCCGCGGCCAGCGGGCGCCCGCCCGAGCAGAAGAGGCCGGCCCCCACGTGGAGCGGGGCACGACGCAGGCAATCAGACCTGGAAGTGGCTCCCTTTCCTGTTTATAAAGTCTTTTCCTACCTGGCTCTCTCCCCCACCGCCTGCCTGAGCGTCGGTCTTGCTCGTCCCTCTCTCCCTGACACCCTTGTTATGCTATTGTTCTGGTCTAAGACTTTATTACTCCGATGTCGCCGGGGATGCGTCATGATGTTCATGGACTCGGGGTAATTTTGCCTTCATGGGCCCCTTCTTTCATAATGGTTATTAAAAACAATATCTTACACCTGCATCGGCATAAAGATGACGACATTACCATTGTATCCTACAAACGTTTCCTTTGACCTGGACAGAAGTCAGGGTTCAAGAAACCGAGACATCACTGTGGCTCCCTCACCGTACTGTGGGCCTGGGCCCCTTGGTTAAAGCAGCCCCGGAGGGATCCGCACAGGGTCTCCCCGAAGCCCTTTCTAGCAACAGGTTGGGGTCGGGTGCCCGTTGTCCTCCCAGGGGCCTAGGCTCGGGCAGCTTTCCCGTGCCTTCGTTCCCCCCCCCGCCGCCCCCGGAGAAGGGACCCTCATCGCCCGTGGCCGGAGGAAGGGTGAGCATAAAGGTTACCGGAGATCAGGGCACTGAGGCAGAGAAGCTGGGCGGCTCTGAAGACTCCCCGAGGCCTCCAGTTCCCATGGGCTCCTAGGCAGCTGGCCTGAAACGAGAAAAGCAAACTCCCTTCTAGTGCCCACGTGCGGTCAGCGGGACCACAAACTTCCCAGTCCACAAGCGCCACGTGGAGGTACAGTCCCGCCTGCTTCTTGTTTCTCACTGCTCTGCTTCTAAGTTCTGCCCTCGCTGCACACCCGACCAGTGCCGCCGTTGCTTCATTCACCCTACAAATAGGTACCGGGGAATGACTGTACTTCATGCCTCTAATACGCTTCTTTTGTGACACGTGTTGTAATGTGCATGTCGGAAAAACACTGTCATTATTACTGTGTAATAATCTCCCTTTGAGAACGGGTGTGCCATCCCCAGGAATGGTAGGCAGTCACGTGGAGACTCGAGCCTCGCTCGCTGTGCTGTGCTGGGTCCCGTTTGACCCGTGTTTTGTCTTCCGGCTCTACCGTGTCATCACGCGTCTGCAGGGCTGTCCGATGTTGAGCAGACGTGCGTGTGTCCCCAGGTGCCACTCACTCATACACGTGGTGTTCTCCTTGGACCAAGGGCACGTGTTGTTTCTCATGACCTCCCTTCTGTTGGGACCTCATCAAATCCATTAACATTTTGAAAATTGTTTTTAGACAAATAAGTTCTAGAAATGTTTATCTCGCTCAGCTCCCTCGTGTCGAGCATGAAAAGACCGAAGGCTGCAGAGTCTAAGATAACACATTCAAAACAGCCCCAGCAGAGCCTGACTGTGAAACAAGAAGGCTCTTCACTCCTTTACCTTCATGAACCTCCAGGCCCCCAAATCCATATTGCACTGTTGGGGATGACAGAGCCTGTGCTGTGACCAAGCCTGGCTGCTGCATGGGTGCCCCTCCAAATCCCCACCCCCCAACGTAAAGCCACCAACGTAAAAGCAGTGTGTGGCTTAGCAACTGAAGTTTTCTTGCTCCTCCATCCAGACGGCTACCTAAACCCCCTCCGACAGAGAAATCCTGAATTGCAGAGACCACGCTGCAGCGATGGGTAATGTAAGGTGCGTGGGGTGGGGGGGTAGGGTGTACACGCACTGTGGACCACAGCCTGACGAGAGAGTGGGCAGACATAAATCACCGCAAGCCTCCCAGATAGTGGGGTTACCACTGTATGAGAAACCTGGTACTTTTCCATCTAGGAGTTCCCGAATACTGGCGTTGCCAAGTAGGCATATTGTGTCCTTGTGAGCAAGGGCACTGGTCGGCTGGCCTCAGGAGGACCCATGCTCGAACACTGGGAGGAAGGTCATAACATTGGCTGGCTGTCAGCACAGGAAGTGTGCTGGTAGCCCCTGGCTGGGGACTTGATCCCACCGGGTGCTCTCTGGGTTGTGTTGAATCACCGGCTGGTGTTAGGACCGCATTTCCATTCAGTGCCCACCAAGTACACGCCAGGTGCTGCACCTGGATGCATCTTCAAGCCAGGATGAGGCTGACTTCCCAAAGGGCAAACAAGCAAGAATTTAAGAAATACATGTTCAGATTTCCAATTTCCAAAAGTACTTTCCTAAAACCAGTGTGCCTAAGATCATGCCATGCTTCCCTTTAACAAGACAAATCTCACCTTTTACTCATCTGACTCTTACTTATTATGGGGTCTTGCCACCAAGCCCCCATCTATAAAACAAAAACATTGGTGTGCCAGACAGAGACCATCCACAATATTGGTACAGGTACTGAGACCTTGAGTGCTTCAGATGACCTTGTGACAAATCCTCTTCAAGTCCAGGGGCTTCCATTTCTCTCCCTTCATCAACTCGGACGGAGGACCAATCAAGTTGTCAGATGCCAAAGCACAGACTCGGTGTTGATGATGAAGCATTATGTGACTTTGGGCATGTAGCTGGGAAGGAGTTCAAAGAACTGACATTGCTATAATAAAACCTCCCTTTCCCTTTACTTCTTCATGTGAATGAGGTTTCTCAGTGTTTAAATCCCTAAAATGAAATGTTGGCCTGGCTGGCATAGCTCAGTGGATTGAGGGCAGGCTGAGAACCAAAGTGTCGCAGGTTCGATTCCCAGTCAGGGCACATGCCTGGGTTGCAGGCCACGGCCCCCAGCAACCACACATTGATGTTTCTCTCTCTCTCTCTTTCTCCTTCCTTTCCCTCTCTAAAAATAAATAAATAAAATCTTAAAAAAAAACTAAAAAAAAAAATGAAATGTTGGAGTAGGGTTGATGTTGAACTTGTCTGCTTGTATTGACAAGTAATATTCATGCGCCATCACATGAACAAAGAGAGGGAAAGCCCCTCTTCTCATTTAGATTCATCTTCCATCACATTTTAAATATAAAAGTTTAAGTTATGCATCATAATGTATAGTCTGTTTATGCTATTTTATTTAATTATTTACTAAAAGTAATCATCACACGGATACAATCAAAAAGAAAAATTGCACACACATGGAGATATGATTTCAGAAAACTGAACCTTTTCCGTTGGGGAGCGGCAGGGAGAGAGCTGGTTTTAAGTGTTTCACGGTTTCAGAGGACTGGGAGGCGCTTCTGACCAAGGCATGCCTTCCAGGAAAGGAAAGCGCAAGTCACTGTGCCTCCCTGTTTTGGTCTGACCACACTTCTCCATTTTTCAAAGTCACCCGATGCCGAGAGTCACCTCTCAGGGACAATTTGAGAGGGGAGCTGCCAGAGACCACAGAGATCGCTTTGAAATCAACTTGGTCTTTCTCCTGAATTCCACAGCAGGTCTTTGGACCAGGGATGCTCAGGGCGGAGCCGCCACCTCTGCCCGTCCCTGAGACTCGGTGGCTTCGGACGCCTTGTCCGTGCTTGCTCACCTGAACGTATTGTATGTTGGGCTAACGCAGTGACTCTCATTCTCAGAGGGTTCATGAAATTCTCTGGAAGTCTGATAAAAGCCATCATTAGGATTCTTTTAAAAAAATACTCACATTTTTAAAGATGATTTCAGAGGGTTCATGGGCCCACTAAGTCCATCCATGTTTAATGGACCCCAAGTTCAAATCTCTGTGTTAAACGTAAGGCAGCACCTTGGCTCATTGGCAACCGGCAAGGGTTTTGCGTGTGGGAGCAGAGGGTGGAGGATGCTTAAAAGTCTCCCTGTGAGTGATAACTTCCTGTGAAACTTTCCTGGGGTGGACGGGCATCGTCACGCCTGCTCTGTCCACAGCATCATCCCCAGGACGCTGCTGGCTCTCAGCTACTGAAGACCTCAAGACTCTGTCCTTGGTCTACGAAGCAAGTCAAGTGTCCAACAAGAGAAAATCCTCGCGAGGCAAAGTGGCCGTGGGTTCTGCTAATTTCTACTTCAACGATCTCTGGCCACCCACTTCCAACTGGACATTATCGGGAAGGAGTCTGAGACCGGGTCCTGGAATGACATCCTGTGCCCGTGTGACCATCATTGAGGCTGCTTTGCTCTGGGGTCACCTTTAGTCTTACTTCTCCAAAGAACTGACAGCGACGGCGGGGCGGGGGCGGGGGTGCAGGGGGAAAGTGTGAGGAGCATGTGATTTTCCCTGGGCCTCGCTTGGCGGACAAAGAGGGGCCGGGGGCCAGCAGGAACCCCGTCGCCAGCGTCTGGGCGCCTTACGGAAATGCCGCCACGCAAGGAGACTCCATTCCATCTACGCTAGAGACCACGGCTTTGCACTTCTAGAAGCGGAATCGAGCGATGTGCCTCCCAAGACCCTTCGTCTTCTGTCCAGCTGTTGCCCAATGTCTTATCTTGTCTACAGCTCAGCTTTCTTAACTTCCTTGCCTCCGAGCTGCTCCCTGGCCTCTGCCCCAGCAGCCAGCAGAACTGCTCTTGCTAACTTCACCCCTGGCATCCAAACGCCCACGCCCAGTGAAGACGCCCACCCTTATCTCCGTTGAGTGTTCTGCAGCAGCAAATACGACTGACGACTTCCTTTTGCTTACAACCCTCCCTTGGTTCTTCTTTTACTTCTCCTCTGACCGCTTAAGCGATGTTTCTGAGCTTCTTCTGAATTTACCTCAACTCCCCACCTTCACTTGCAGAGACAGGGATTCCTCTGGGCTCCTGTCTCCACGGCCCAGTTCTCGTATCACTCGGCTCTTTTCCCGGGGCCTCCTTAGGGTCGTCGTTTGCCAGCGGCCCCCTGTCAGCATCTTCATCCCTGACTCCCCTCCTAAGCATGAGTCCCACATTCCAAAGGCAAAGCAAACATCTGAGAAGGTGGCTGGAGAGGGCTGCTGGCAGAGGGTCCTCACGGGCCGGGACTTGGACTTACTTGGGTCTGAACCCCAGCCAGAGCAGAGAGCAGGTGCCTGACGCTTAATGAACATGTTAGGGATGGACGAAGGAAGGAAGGAAGGAAGGAAGGAAGGAAGGAAGGAAGGAAGGAAGGATAATGGTAGAGGAATGACTGAGAGCAAGATAGTAGTATACACCGACTAGGAAAATGTGTGATAATCATAACGAAGGTCATTCTGGTTTAAAGCAGGGATTGTATCAAATTTAGAAGTGTATCATGATCAGGTAGATGCGCTTAAGGCTGTGCCAAAAACTATGTTCTCGGCGCTTTGCCTCATCCTATCTGAGTGTGAGAGGAACATGGGACACGATGGCCCGTGTCCCCCGTGAGAGGACAGGGGAGCAGGACTCACTCTCTCGATCCCATCCCGTCCCCGTGGGGTGCACAGTCTCCTGGGGAAGACAGACTATGAAACAAACCCCGTAAGCATACAACGGCGGTGAACGTGTAAACATGAAAAAGAGAAGACGGTTATGCATGCCAGGTCGGGAGTGAAGGCGGGACAGTGTGGGAGAATGGCTGGCGGTCACATGAGACAGGCGGTCAGGGCCCTGACGCTGAGAGCAGACCGGCCCGCAGAAACCAGCCAGTGAGGAGCAGGAGGAAGAAAAAAGGAAAAGCAAGTCCGAAGGCGTCAAGATGGAAGCTAAACGGGAAGTGTTGAGAGGACAGAAAGACAGGGTGTCTGGAACGGAGTGGACAAGGGGAAGGAGGGTGTGACATGAGGCTGGTGGCATGTCCCCCTGGGCACCAAAACAGGGGGACGAGATCTTGTTTTGGGTGCAATGAGAAGCTGGAGGTGGAAGGAGGTGGAAGAAGGTGGGGGAGCTGGGCTAAGAGAGGCAATGGCGTGGTCTGATGGCTGTTGACATTGGAAGGTCCCAGAGGGTAACTGAAAAGGTAGGCTGGGGCCAGATCTTGTGAGTCTGAAATGACCGTGGCAGAAGGAATCCAAATGCCGGGGTTTTGGGCAGAGAAGACCCTGAGTGGACGCATGTAGCTATGGCGTTTCCGAGGAATCAGAAGCAGGGGGCTGAGCTGTAGAATGGGGCGGCTACAGTGACAGTCCCGGTGGTTTGGGCTGGGGCCCGTGGGGGTGCAAAGGGGGGGGTAGATGTGCTAGTCATTGAGGAGGCAGAACTGGACACCTTGGTGGCAGCGTCCTGACTTTACAAGGCTTCCCAGCTGATACATTATTTCTCTTAAGTTTCTGGGTAGCACAGATATTAGGGGCCCCAGCTTCAAAACAGAACATGAAACACGGTGAAAAAAAAAAAGAGTTCTCTAAGCTGAACAGTAAATCAGAAGTAGGAACAGGAGGAAACCCAGGATCTCAACACTAAGAATCAAAGCCTATATTTAAATTAGACAACTGGTCACCATTGCTTAGGGTGAAATACTAGCATTAATTATACAGTAACCTACCTAAAAAATTTTTGTAAAAGTCCATTGCATAATGGCCGAGCTATCTCCCTACAAATATGAAGGAAGGATTTGTTTGGTATTTGATGTTATAAAATTCCATTTTGCTTTCCAGTCAGAGAAGTTAGACACACCCAGAAGACGATGGAGCAAGTGTCGTGGATGAAACTGTCACGTGCCCACTCTCTAGGGTGAGGTCCTGGGTCTTTACTCAGCGCCGCCGCTCACATAGTAAGTCGCTCTGATCTCTGAGGGTTTGACTGAGAAGCTTCCACTTATAGAAGTCTGATGCTGGACATTCTAAGAGCCAGTGGCCAGCCCAGGAGAGGGTGAACCATCTAGTTGCACTTTGCGAAACACAAGTAACGGAAGGAAGAGTAAGATCTAGAAGCCACAGACCTATGCTGGTGGAAGGTATGAATGGAAGACAGTTCAGACCTGCTCCTCAGCCCCCTGAAACCTTGACTAATTTTGGCATCATTTTACTGTAAGTTTTCAGTCAAGAGCTGCCCCGCTGAGCTCACCTGACTGTGCAAACACTCCACTGATAAACCTTGACCTCTTTCCTCAGGTCCTAGAGGTCAACGGAAACCACTCTGAACTTGAAGCCAAACTATACACAGGGTTCGAGCTTCCTGAAAGTTAAATGTGTTCAAGGGCAAAGGGAGAGGTCTTGTCTTTGGAATATTTATGCCAATTCCAGGACCTGGGAGGTTAGCACTTCACTGCAGTTCCAGTCTCTGCTGAGGAAGCCACAAGGAGCTTCTGAGTATAAAACATAGAGGGTGATAGGGTGGGGCTCCAATCCTGAGTCCCCCATGGAGGGTGGGGACCCCTTGCAATTTTCCATGAAGCTTGGTGTTTATGTGGATATTTTCATTTTTTATCTGGAAAGAGTATTTCTTTCATCAGAATCTCAAGGAACTCTGCCCTGGCTGGTGTAGCTCAGTACATTGACAGTGGGCTTGCGAACCAAAGAGTCACTGGTTCGATTCCCAGTCAAGGCACATGCCTGGGTTGCAGGCCAGGTTCCCAGTAGGGGCCATGCAAGAGGCAGCCACACATGAATGATTCTCCCCTCTCTTTCTCCTTCCCTTCCCCTTTCTCTAAAAATAAAGAAATCAAATATTTTAAAAAAGGAATCTCAGAGAACTCCAAGATTCAATATGTTAACATCCCAGAGGTAAAGGAGAATCCCAAAGGCGAGGGAAGGAAGAGAGGAATGACTGCTCATTCACTTAAGCTGACCAGGTCAAGAGAAGTATAGTATGCAAAGGATAAGACAAAAGTAATCCACATGCTTATGTCATTCAGGGGCCAACTGAGGACCAGCCGAAACTCCTTCCTCCTCTCTTCATCACCCTCTTACCCGCTTCTCCTGACCCACAAATCCCCACTATGAGGATTTGAAAAGTATACTACAGTATGGAGGGGGAGGGAGGGAGCAAATCAGGTATAAGTGGCATCCAATAGGAAGGGACTCAGAGACAGAGGCAGCCTGGGGCCTCCCCAGCCACAGACGACAGGGTTTACGCCTGGGACTGAGTGGGAGGTGCTCCTGGTGAGTTGGGGGTAAAACCAAAGTGCCCCTTACCTAGGATTTTGTTAACGAGTTCAAGAATGTCTTTTTCCGTGGGTCTTCTCTGGACCCTACACCTCACTAAACCCAAGAATTTTCTCCTCCTCATAAGGATGATAGCCAACATCTACCAATCAGTAACGGAGTGCCCGCCTCATCTCACACTCACAAGGACACTGCGAAGAAGAAGGCCATTTCATAACTGTACAGGCGAGGAGACTGAGTCACAAACAGGGCTGAGCCTTAGGGCAGAAGTGCAAACCACGTGGGCACTCCACACCAGTCCCAGCGGACTCCTGGGGCTCGGGAAAGAAATAGGAGAGCCGGGGAGAAGAAACCCATCCACCGTAGGCTTGCCCCAGGCGCTTGCTCAGCCTGGCATTCGACCCAGAGAGAAGAGCATCCCTGGAGAAGGGGGTCAAAGTGTCCACATCTGCTCCAGGAGAGTCCCCATGAGCCCTGGTGGGAGCCAGGGGACAGAAATCCAGCAAAACACAGCGCGAAGACGGACAGTGCCAACACGGGTGCCACAGCAGTCTCGTACAGCATCTTGGCTGCGTTACGACACGCAAATAACCTCAGCTGCAAGGGCGGTGGCAGGGTCAGGACGGCAGCAGAAACGCCGGCCAGCTCTGCAGGGCTAGTCCCGCCGACAGCCTGTAGCTACCACGGCGCTTCCTCGTTTCCTGCACCCGTGCCTTCCCCACGCAGCCCCAACCGCGTCCCAGAGGAGGGAGACTCTGACTTACCATGTCTTCCGCGGCGCACCGGGGTTCTGCCGTCGGCCCAGCCCGGACTTCTTATGCTCTCGGTCTCGCTGCCTGCCCACAGTGTCAGGCTGTGTAGAGGAGCAATTTCCTACCCACTTGCCAGAAATTCATTCGCCACAGCCCTTCCCACGAAGTGAGAGTGATGATAAGGCCAGAGCAATGTGGCAGCGGGGAAGAGCTGTTAGCAAGGGGTGGGGGTGGGGGCTGCTTCCCCCGGAGATGCACTAGAGATAGGGCCAGTGTGACTCACGCCTGGACGTACCCACACCCCAGGGGTCAGGTTCCTTTTGATTATACGAGCCCCGACAAAAGGTCACATATTTGGAAAGCGTGCTTTGTCTCCACCATAAGGTCTTCGCGTACATTTCCCGGTCGCTGTGAATTCCAAGGGCATGTTTTCTGTTCCGGCGGCCTTCTGAGGGGAGGGTGCAGAAATAGTAACGTGCATAATTTCGTAGGAAAGGAAAAAACCCTTGAGGGTTTTCTGGCAACGGGTGCCCGGGGAAAATGTCAGAAACCGTTTTGAAATGGAATATGAAACAGACAGACGTCATTTTTAGGAAGGGATTTCAGCTGCTTACATCGAAGACGGCAGAATGGGAGTCTAGGCGCCCGGGGGGAGTAAAGGGCCGGGCAGCGCAGTGTGAAGATGGGGGCGCTGTGCCCCCGGTGCCCGCGACCCGCCCCAGCTTGAGTGTGGCTGTCCCTGAGGCGGGCCACTGAAACTCCCTGTGCCTCTGTCTGTTCAGTCGAGACACAGAATGAACATGACAGAACGTTCCTTACGAGGCTGCCGCCATTGCGTGATGACACGAGCTAGTCCGTGGAGGGTGCTTAAACACGGCCCCGGCTGCCCAAGTTGGCACCCAGTCCAGGCAAGCTGCCATTATTAGTTTTCCAGTTTGCTCTCAGACACCAAAAGCAAGAGTCAAAGATTTCGCGTGGGGTCAGAACGCGGGACCGAGGCTTGTCCTCTGGGATGGCCGGCCGTGCAGACGTGGGAGTTATTCCCTGCTCACTGCGTGCCGGTCACAGCTTCTGAGTGGGCACCTCGCGGGTGGATTAAAGACAGGGTGGACGGCAAGACCTGGAGGGAAGCCCGAACAGGACGGTGACTTGAGGAGCGCGGGGCTGCGTTTGCACCCGGGGATGTGGGTCCGGGAGGAAGGGAAGAGTTGTTGCATAGCAGACACAGAGAGCCTGGTGGAGGAGGCGCTGGTGAAGGAAGGAGGGAAGGGGGACAGGGGACGCCGAGAGAGAGGCGAGAGTGGGGGGACTTGGGGGCAGCGTGACGCAGGTCGGAGCCCGGCCCCTGGAACCAGACTGCCCGGCTCCGCCACCCCCACGCCAGGTGGCCTGGGTGAGGCACTACCCTCCCGTGACTCAGTTCCCCGAGCTACCTTAACAAACACGGTGACTGTCACCAACAGTCATCGAATACAAGTGTTAGGGCAAAGTCATGGATTTACACGGAAAGCGCCCCGAACAATAGCTGGCACCCTGAGTGCAGTGCAGCGGGACGGTGTGAGCCGTTCTTTGCACGGACGGGCCTCCGCTTCCTCTGCCCGTGCTCTCGGCCCCTGCCCCTCTTTTCAGCCATGGTTCCCTCCTCGCTTCTCCTAGAGGTGCCGGGCAGACTGTGTGTTCTCCCTGATCATGTGTTTTCAGTTGGATAATGTTAAGTTTTAGGGGTCTTAGGGGCAGTGGGAAAGGATCCCCAGGAACAGAAAAGGGAGGAAAAGACAGTTTCACTTTGTGTCGAAGCTGTTCAGGCCGAGCCCCATGTGCTCACACGGTCATGGTCTATGCCGAGAAGTCGGGCTGCTTCCAACCGCGTGGCCATCAAACACACAATGCGATTCCAGGGCAACTCAAGCAGCGGTGATAGCTGCTTCACGCACGTTTCCCCCTCTCTTCATCCTGCACCATAAATCCCCCGAGGGCACACCCCTCCCTGGGGGTCTCGCTGCCCCTGCAGCGCCTACAGAGAACAGACACTGCCGAATTCTTGCGGTCCCTTGAGGAGCGGGACGGCCCTGGGGAGGCACGTGGCAGTGCCCCCTCTGCCCTCCTCTTTGCATCCCGTTCATCACAGGACACTGGCGCACGCACAGACATGAGAAATACTGAAGTCTGTCCCTTCAAAGCTCTGGGCGGGGGGCGACCCCTAAGGATTCAGAAATGGGTAAAACCGTCGTGGGGCTCACAGTTGTTTGATTTGGGGGGCGGGGGAAGTGGAGGGACATCAAGATATTAAATAAAAACGACACCAATAAATGCAGGAAGAAAAAAATGTGCTCAAGGAAAGGGCATGATGGGAATTTGACTTAAGAAGGTCCCCCTAGCAGTGACGTCAGAACAGGGGTCTTCATTTGAATAAGGGTCCCCATCCTGGGCAGGGAGGACACTCTAAGCTACTGAAGGGAGCAGCCTGGGGGCCTCCTGACAGCCGTAGTGGCTGGAGAGGTAGGGCCACCCAGACGGTGCTGGGGTGTCCTCGCGGGCACCCTCCGTCGTCGGGTCAGACAGAGGGCCGGTAATTCCTCAGGGAGGTTCACCCACACGGCCGGTGCCTCCTCTCGGAGGAGGCGGGAAACTTTCTACCCACGAAGCTATGGGGTGACCAGTTAGAACTTGAAATAGATATACAGTTCCCCCCGTTATTGTTGATATAATGCATGTTTGTTTTTAGAAAATTTTAGAAAAATACAGAGGAAGTGGAAAAAATCACCCATAATGCTGTCACCAATGGAATTGGGATGGAATTGTGTATGCAGTACAGTGCTTTTTTTTCAGCTGATAATATGTCATAAACCTTTCTGATGTTTTAAACTGTGTTTATGCTCAAGTTACCACTGAAATAAACCCCGACATGTAAGCAGATATAAGTGTAGGTGTAGATACAACGTGAAGGTGAGGAATGAATGATGAACTCAACCTTGCCACAGCTTACCTGGGCTCGTCATGACTTCCCAGACAGAGGGGGCCCTTTAGGCCTGCTGGCCTGAAGGGTCTGTCCCTCCCCAGATGGACGAGCCTGTCGCCGACAAAGACGTCAGCTCTCCCCACGCAGCTCGGGGAAGACCGCTGACATAAGGTTCGTGAACTTCTACCTCTCCGTGCTGAAACTCTGTTTAAACTGGTCTGTGGTGTTCGGACCACATGTTTCTCCTCTCTATCTTTGCCCTCCACGTTTGGAAAGGGGAGGGAAGGCCAAGGACTTAGTCATCTTGGCAAAGGTCTCAGATGGCAAATGCACACTTTCACAGCTGCCTGCCCACAGAACCTTGAATAGGAATCAGAGTCTTGGGACACACTCCTCGTTGCTGCGTTTGCACCCTCCTCACCCCACCCAGGGGTGCATTTACTCGTCCTACACATTTTTGTGAGGACCGCACTGCACTGTCATCTAAGTGACACTCAGAAGATGCAGAGACGAATAAGGCACAGCCCCTGTCCTGCAGGAGCTCGAAGACCAGTGGAGAGAGCACAGGAAGCTGATGAGCGGCGTGGAGAGGGCCGGGGGGCACACCTGTCCCCGTGCAAGGCCGGCGGCAGGCAGCAGACTCAGGCTGGCAGGGACGGCGGGGAGGCGGCCAGAGCGGGTGCTCAGAGGACCCGGGCCTTCAGCTGAGGGGAACAAACCAGACTCTTCGTGCAAGCTCATTGGCTGGACAGAGCACACAGCACCTACTCTACCCTCAACCAATGAATTAGGAAGTGGTTTTTCTCATTAAAAGTATCTTTACTATTTCAAGCGCATATTGTGTCTGGGGCCTTTAGGTTCCCAGCAAGCTGTGACAACCACAGAAGGGTTATCACCCACACCAGAGTGCCAGAAACACTGCTGAATGGGCGACCTGCTTACACATAAAAACCGTGCCGAGACTATTTAAAGGTCTCAGAGGAAGCGAAGCAGAGATACTGTGTTTACGAGCTAACCGTACTGAGCACTCACTCTCGGGCCAGCGCCCATGCTAAGCATTTCAGAAGCTGTATCTCACCGAATCCTCCCCAGACTTTAGGAGGCAGATTCCATTTGGCCCAGCGGACCCATCTACTTAGAGAGTATTATTCCATGCATTTTGTTGAAGAGGAAATTGAGGCTTGAAGGGTTACATGCCTTGCTCAAGATAACAGAGCTGATCAACGGAAAATTCAAATTCGAGTCCAGTTGAAATGGCACGACACGAAAAGTTGGGTTTTTACTGTTAAATTCATTACCAAGTGCTTTCTGGAAAGGGAAGAAGATGGGCTCCTGACACCCTTCTCTCGGTTTTCCGGGGGGTTATTCTACGCTCAAAAGCTCCGGTCATTGAAGATGAATCCGGAGTCCCACAAAACCCAACTCCGTCTCATGTTCACGTTGGACACGGGTCTCTCTCCTCGGGGCAAACTCTTCTGTGTCCGAGCGGACTCAGCAGAGGGGTCCCGGGGAGAAGTGCACTCTTTCTGCACTCTCTCTCAGCCCCTCATTCACGCCCACACCTTGCACATGCATTTTTACTAAAAAAAAAAAGGAGAGTATTATTTTTCATTATAATGAACTTCTTATGAGTCAGGTGACTATGGGAATGTTTCCTTTTTTAAAAAAAATGTGCCCCTGTTATGGGTTCCTAAAATCAGACTAAAAACGGTGTCACCTCCTTGGAGCCTGCCCCTTGCTTTGTACTGGCAGGAAGGGTGTGAACCCTGTTAAGGGGCTGATCTGGGTCAGGTTTAAGTTCAGGGGTGTGGCCCTGGGAACCGAAGGAGGGAGGCCCACGGAGGAAAGAGTCGGAGGGGAAGGTTGGAGGACCTGAGAGTCAGACCCCTGAGGCCACAGGCAATGCCAAAGCCAGAAGGAAGGAGAGGGGGGCTTGCGACTTCCCTGGCACCTTCCCCTGGTAGGTAGTTTCACACTATGTTTAAAAAATGGACATGCACACTTAAAAGTTCCTTCCCTTTCTTGTAAATATTTTGGTTATCAAAATGGGTAATTTATTAAAATGCATACCAACTCCAGCAATGACATTAAGCAATAGACTGTAATGTAATAAATAGGAAAAAATAGCAGCTGTACAAATCACTTAGCTGGAAGTAATCAAACCAAGCCCTTTTAAAAAAAA